GAGTTTGCTTCGATCATGTTTTAGGAAAGACTCTCGATTTATGCGGCGCTAACATACACGTTGTCTCGTATAGCTACATATATCAGAGCCGCTCGGAAAATAAATCGCACCGCTAACGAAATCAAATTAAGTACCGGCAAGGACCATATGAATTCATCCCCATTGCCGCTTTGTTTAGTTATGGGTTTGCCACACGTTGAGGCACAAATGATGGTATGTTGGAAAGTTGTTGAAGTTGAGGCAACATTACGGCACAGCAACCAGTGTTGTTTCGGTCCCCACAAACGCGACGATCTGTATGTTTTTGGTTACATCCTATGGTTACATGCGCAAGACTCTGCTCCTTTGTGGGAAAATGCCTATTTGGTATTTGAGTGACATCGAATACCATTTTGGCCAACGAGGCCTGTCTATATCCGAGGACTTCGGGTATAGGAGCTTGGTTCACAAGTTTGAACCGCACACCTTATCTATACCAACATATCCTAGATAAAATTTTACGTGGAATCGTGCGCACCACAGACAAATTCAAATTTTCGATGGCCATGTTGGTCTATCCACTGTTACGCATCAAACCAACAATTGGTTGACATAATTGGAAAGTGGTGCTCTACCCGTCACCGAGTAGCCCTTCTTTTGGTACAAGGGCTACTCTTCTCCAACTGAAGCGGGCCTCAATATTTCTATTTTCGCGTTGGTCATTTCCCCATCAGGAATATCTCCTTCACATGGCTGAAGAAACTCTCCTTCGAACGTCGAGATAGTGTTCTGACATAAGATACCTCAACTACCGACTTCAAACCACGCGGTATCTAGGTACCACCCCGTGGCGTTGTCAGAATGTAGCGGCGATCGTGATATTATCATTCTGACACGAGGCTCCGATTGACGAGCTTACTGAGTTTCCCGAAGCCTTGCATTCGTCGGGTCTTCCTTCTGAAGAATTCATCAAAGGCTCTGCTTTCCCATTTTGTTGTGCGAAACGTTGAGGAGGAGCGGGCACACTTGGTGCGATCGCACAGTGGGTCTTCCCTATTTATCCTCATCCTAAAAGGGAAGTTAGGAAAAAACGGTTCTGGAAGATCATGCGCCGCTGCTGCACTTTCCTGAAATGCGCTCTGCCTGGCAGAGTTTGTTTCGCACAGGCTGTTTCTGTTACAGTACTATTCATGGGTCATTGTTGATATTTTTGGTCTTTTACGCTGCCGAGAGGAGCCTTACCATTGAGGAGCGGGCGAGATCATGGGTACCATTCAATTTTTTTGTTACCTCTATTTCAGGAGTTTAAATATAGTCACATGTACTTTTATTCTTGCGGTTGTGTGCTATTTTTGAGCGTAGCCTTACACGGGTTTCTAGTGAAAACTTCACAAGTAGCTTGGCGTGTAGTTCTTGACACTTGCGTAGAAGCTAAATACTTAAACTAAAGATTCAAACAGAGAAAAAGAATATTGTATTCAAGAGCGCTGATATTTTCAAGGAGAAGTTTCCTGTCAATTTAGTCACGCGTGCGCACTTCAGGCTTTGCCTTATTCCAAGAACACTGTATTTTCTTCTTCGCTTTCTGGGCGTAGCACGTACTACGTTCTCTAAACAACGTTGATTTCCAGGGCCTACTGATAGATAAATTAAGTGTTGGCTAGCTAGCTAAACACATGATACAGCTCCTACCTGGGTCCATCCGCTCTTCTATCTAGTTTACAAATATTTTATTAGGATTGAAAAGCAACAGGCTACTGATAGGAGTAGAAGTTTGCTGAATTTTCATTTCCATACTTTGTATCATGCCTTGGCAGTCTTCTGATGGCATTTTGATGAATCCATATCATTAAATTTCTACGGTTTTTACAATAGTCTACACCTAGTGTGGCTTTGAAGTAAGAGCTACGGTTTCCTCTCTTGATGACATTATTGTATCTTTACATACGTACCTCAAGAATGAAATGATACTGTCAACTCAGTCACCCCCCTCAGAGTCGGAAATTCCTCTAGCACGCTGCACATAGCGTCCATCCACAGCGACCCCCAGGGACCAAAGTTACTATGTCAAGACTGCTTCTACATATTTGAAGACGTCACATCTCTCCACGATCTGCACACGGTATGAGTATGCTAAAACGGTGGTTCCGCTGGGAATTAGAACGAAGCTCCGCCGAGGCGATCTATGCAATTCGACGCCCATTGGGAAACTTATGTACGGTTTGATTGTCGACAGGATCGTCTTTGATTTGGTGTATTTAACGCGAGCCATGTACCCGACAATTCACACATGACGAGTGAGCGACCAGATGACCCAGTTACAGGAAAAGGAGATGTCGAAAGGAGACAGTAAGTAGTAAATAAGTCCTCGCCCCATTTATCTTACTGTTGACCTCGTCGGTTAGTGGATAAGTAGTTATAGTAGAAGATCGGTCCGAGGACTTCAGAAAAAGAAAGAAAAATATAGCCTAGAGGTCTAAAAACAGCGTCGACTTTCAACTCACCGGTGATGAGGTTCAAAAGAAGGTATGAAATGGTAAGTCGCATCGAGCGAGGACAAGCATGACGCTGGCGTTTGAATAATATAATATGATCGAGTGTTGAATCATTCAAGATCCGACACTGTTACAAACCCATCCGGCGAAGAAGCTTTGTAAACTCACAACTCTATTGCTGCTAGCTTCGCTAAGAAGATCGGGAAATTTGCATTGTCAAGTCATGAGAATTCTGGAGTCTGTGATGGCATAGGTAGCCACGGTTCGTTCTCATCTATTTCAAGGTATTTTATTTCCTAGATCAAGACTCTCTTGTACTAATTTGTCAGTCATTTCGTTGGGTTATTATCAGCAGATTAAAGTAGGGGTAGAAGATGGTATTGTGTTTCGTGAGGTTTCTAGCATTCTTTGCATCAAGCTGGGTAAGACTGCCACTGACGAGCTGAAGGATTTGGCGGGTCAAATTTCGGCATCGTGATTGAGAAGGTCTTGAATTGTTATTGCTTATGGGTTTAGAAACATGAATTACAATGACCCACCTCGGTCTTCTTATCTAACTCAACACTATATGACTAAAAGTAAGAAGATTTTCGCTGATTCGAAGACAACCTCCCTCTGCACTGCTACAACATCATCGCTAACCCCATTTCCCGTCTCATTGCTGCTCACCTACCTCTCCTTCACCCCCCATAAAGCCACCTCTGTCACCCACAACACACCCCCACCCACCTATTCCCCACCTGCACAATCTCATTTCACCTCCTCCACAAACACCTTCGTCTCACCCACTCTGCTCAAAGAAAAAGCTATTTCGCTTTATCCCTCTCTCGCAGCTAGCGTATCGATTCTGCGAGGAGACGTTGATGAGATGATATATGGTGGGGTTTGAAATGAGAGGATATGAGGTTTGTGAATGTAGAGATTAGATGTGCGTTCTTCTGGGTTGTTTCGTTTTAGGGTATATGAGACGGGTTCTGAGATAGAGGAATAGGTTGACAGTCTACATTTTAGAATCCTAAGGATGGAAAACTAAAGCGGGTCTTAATGTCGAGCTTTAACGAATTTACATGAAAAGAGAAAGAGAGAGTAATGAGCCATCAACCCCATAACTCTACCGGAACACTCACCTTCCCTTAAACCCCCCCTCATCCCACCAGAAAACCGAGTCACCATTATAATCCCTTCCACTCTCCCTCAATCCTCTCATTTTTCACTACGCACTACCATCTGCCCTCCATTCCCACCCTAAGACCCAGATGAACCAAAACCACCAAGCATACCAGACCTTCACCCCCCCCGTCCACCTCCACCATCTCGGCGACTCCACCTCCGCAAACTATACATCGATCTCCAAATCCCCTACTCTCACCTCGCTATACCATACTACGACTACGACAGATCACGAGATAAATAAATCTAATATATATATATATATACAATTTCACCTCTGATCTACTCAAGAAAGGATTTTACATCTCCTGCGTTTGCAGCAGAGATAAATAGGGACGTACCTCCCTACCACCAGTCGTCCCATCTTGACATGCTCTTCTTTCTGATATTCAGCACGATTGAAAGATCCAAGCTACCTTGCTCCTCCGTGCCCTGATAGCACCATCTAAAACCCCCTCTCACATATCCCACCCCCTCCCCTTAACCCCCCCCCCAAAAACCCAAACCCAAACCCAAACCATCACCCCACAACCTCTCCACACCAACCCCCCAGAAGCAGATATACATATACCCAACTTTCCACCATCAAAACACACTTCCTAACAAGCCTACACGTTATACGTGGCGCGTGATTATCCGCCAGGGGATATACTTTTCAAAAGTTCAGACGCAGGGACGTGAGTTTTTCTGTATTAGAATTGCGGGAAGTGAAGGAAGAGTGGTTATTGTATATCGCAGACGATACACAGGACATACATACAGCCTCCCCTCCCACCCAAAAAGAACGTGTATCACGACTAGTTCACAAAGCGCGTATACAAGACCTCCCGGCCTCCCACTCATCGAACTTCCGCTTAACATCGCACTTCTACATCCAAATCTATACTGCTTTCTACACATCTCACAACCTCTTCCTTCAACCCTAACTCCCTGAGTCCCTTTCCACCGTCACGTATAAACAGAGCCAAGCCAAACATCACACATCCAGAATCCCAATCTCTTATCTCATTCCTTTCAAACTACAAAAATCCCTATATACCACCCTCACGACCACCACCACCACTACTCCACTCACTCTCCTCCTACCTAACAAAAAAAAAGAGGGGGATATAACAGTTTTATCTCCACCACACCACACCACACCACACATACAGCAGCACACACAGAAACAGGAAAGAAAAAGGGTACCATCAACAATAGGCCCAATAATATTATCACTCCACTTCCCCTTCCAAAATATAACAAATGAAAATAAAAAACCACCGCTCGCTTGCTTGCTTGCTAGCTTTTAACTTCAACCTTCCACTTCCTCTCTTCTCTTAATTTACTCCTCCCACCTACTCCCCTCAGAACCCCTTAACGCAACCCAATAACACTCATCTCCAACGTCCACACCCTCCGAATCCAAACCTTCAATTTCCCCTCCACACCCTCGACCCCCTCCAACTCAACGCCCTCCCACCAACATCTCCTCGCGGGTTTCCGCCAGAAGAGCAGAAGCTTTTGCGCCATGCCTACGGCATTACTGGCCATTTCCGCGCCGCGGATATCGGTGCGGAGACGGGCGAGCGCGAGACTGCAGATGACTGCTTTGTTGGGCTCGTTGGCGCGGTGACCCCATTGGTCGTCGTGGTTGAAGCCGCTGGGGGATGTTAGTAAACCAATGACGGAACTGAAAAGAGAGGTCATACCCAGCTGTCAGCATTTCAATCAAATGCTGCTCCGTCGTGCCAGTCTCCTCGCTCCTTCGGAGACCAGAGAAAATACCATCTTGTTTCAACAACGCCTTTCCAGCAGCTCTCTTCACCTCGATCATTTCCGGTTGTTCGATATCTGCTTTTGGTGGTATGACATAGAAATCCAAGTCCTCTCTTAGCACAATTATACCAGCACGGTCTTGTAACATTTCTCGTGCGGAACCAGCCATTGGTTCAATTGGGATTGCATCTGCTTCAGGTCCCGCAGAAGGAGAGTTTGAACCAGAGGGGATTGTTTGGGCAACGTTGCGAAAGAATTCAAGCATGTATCGAAGGGAAGCAGGATCATACTGTGAGACGATGTCAGTAATGTGGAAGTCTATATTATATAATAAGGAACGAATGAGAGAGGCATCACGGACATCAACTTGGAAAGCATCTCCTTCATGGTATGTGTTTTGATGACCATCTGGTAGGAGTCCATTGGGGAACAAGGAGAGAAGAACGAATTCGGGAAGTGTCAGGAGTTCATCGCGTGAAAGAGTAAACCGCTGGCCCCTATTTTCATGTTAGTACATCGCAGTCGCGCGTAATAATTATTTCGTACCGAAGGTCCATGGTAATATTCTCATCTGCGCCAACATCTACAAACACGTCAACAACCGTTCACCGCAACTCCAATGCCCAAACATACCTCCCAAAGTATTAATCGGCGCTGGGCCACTTTGCTGCACCTGAGTAAGAATACTCGCAGCACCTCCTGCGGCAGCCATCAGATATGTAAAAGAGTCGAGTGGGCTAGAACCCTCTGAATAAGCGGGCGGCGGTTCTGAATCGTCGTCTTTCTTGGAAGATTCTCCTTTGGTATCCTGCGGAAGAGCAGCTTTGGTTTCGCTGACGACGTCTTGAGAGGATGTTGAGGCTTGATGTGATTCGGTAGCGACGGGCGCGTATGCTGGGACCGAAGCAGATGCGCCGGCTTCAGTGACCGCACTTTTGTATGCTTCGACGACTTCGGCGGTTGATGTGTAGAGAGAGGAGAACGGTGGAGGACGAGGTGAGGATGGCGCTGAGGTTGACGGCTCCGAATTGGGATATCGAGGAGGAGGAGATTGTGCGCGGGCTATTAAATCGGTGTCCAGCTTCGACTCTTGGAGTTGCTCTTGCTCGTCAATATCCAGCCCGACGGACGAACCGTCTGTGGCTTCTTCCGTACTTGACAACGTGGTTGCTGAGTTTGGGAGGGGAGCTTGAGTCGATTGGCAGCTTGTGTGATATCGTGAGAATTGTGGTGGTTAGCAGATGGACTTTCTGGTCCAAAGTTGTGTTGTCAATTGAAGGGTCATGCAACTGGACGACGTGAGGTTCCGCATGTGCAGCTGGGCGGTAAAGTTGGTTGCTAAGAGAGGTTAGACTGGCACTGGCCAATCCCTGTCCAAGCAAGACCGCGTCGAGTGGGCCAATCACCACGCAGGGCCATTCACGAGACAAGCTGCACCTATCCGGGTATCAAGCATTTCTTGTTTGTGTCGGACATCTAATGTATTATAATGCATCAGAGAATACATACAACTTATAGATTAATGTGAAAATCAAAAGTATCCCGATAGTAAGATTATTAAAAAGATAGCAAAAACACAGAAAGGAATCAAATTAACCCAGCCATCCAAATCAAATCATCTCAATGTATTCAACTCTCTCAAAGCTAACTGTTTAAAAATATCCTCAGATCATGCGTGTGCAGCTGGGTATTCGAAAACCCAATTATAACTCCTTGTGATATCTCTTCCAGGTCCCAAGTATCCAACACTCCGAAAATGATCCAGAAACAAGAGGCAGGCATATACCCTCCAACTCCATATAAAAACCAAAATCCATCTAGATAGTCTACTCATCTAGTCCTCGTCCGCCTGCTTTGATCACCAACACACTACCCTTTACGCCACTGGAAATGATAGACTCGGCAAGAATACCTAGAGTTTTGCGCATTTCGGAACCAGCGTTACCATGTGTTTCAATATCAGATAAACGAACATGTCTTCCACGACCGACGACGATCAAGTCTCCGGCATTGTTGGGCGATTGACCAATTTCTTGCTTCGCGTGCTCAAGGCAATCGGCAATTGGCGTTGTGGTTGACTTTTCTACAAAGACCACACGAGTTGCTTGAACTGCTGGTAAAGAATCGCGGAGAGTATGAAGAAGAGTGGTGTCTCGAGCTGCGCTGGCATGTAGCGTGTCCGTATCCATTCGTTCAGTGATGTCCAATCTTGAGGAGCTTCCACCTAGCGATGCAGGTCCTACGGTCTCTGTGACACTCTCCTTTGTTGATTGAAGAGGCAAGATAAAGTGAACAATAGTAGCCGTGATATTTGTATTGCCGGCGAGTTGAAGCACGAATCGAAGTGCAACGCGGTCATCGGCGCCACCAAAGAAAGGGAAATAAATATGATGACTTCGATCAGCGATAGGAGCAGTGAGAGGCTCCCGATTGCTTCTTAAGCTCAATCGACTGCCAGTCCGGACCAATGACTTTGGCTCAGAAATAGAAGGACCACCAAACCCTCGGTTGTAAAACACAGCAGTGTTGCAAACGGCGTCTTCTAGAGTTTTCCGTATGAAGACATCTTGTAAACCGCTGGAAATATTATCCTTTCGGCCATCCAACTCTGTGGAGCTATTCGTCTCGCTCCATGGGATCAACACCATATCCGATGCATGATCGGTTGCTTGTGATGCCAAAGTTTCTGCAAAAGATTCTTCTAGGACAATCTGGACATCACCAGTAACCGCGACATTACTGAGTTGCGCAAAGGTTCTAAAGGCGTTGACAACTGGGTCACGATTCGAAAACTCATCTTGCTCGGCAACCTGCATAACAGAGGAAGTACGTTCTGTCAGTTCGATAATTCGAAGTCCATGAACCTCCAGCGGCCGTTTTCCAATGACCGTCGCAGATGAGGATTCCGAGCCTTCCGGTACTGGAGCGAGAGCGAGTTTGTTCCTGTGAATCTTGGCAGCCGCAGACGCTTTATCACCCCCTAGCAATGATATAAATGTGAAAAGACTGGGTAAGCTATCTAGTCGTAGGTAGACCATTAGTTTTCGAACTTGAGTGCTTTGAAGCTTTTCGAATGGTCCTTCTGTATTAGAGTCGCTGCTGGCATTGTTAAGTGTATTTCCATCCCAGTCAATCTCGCCTCTTTTCCAAGCATCAAGCTTCTTCTGATACCAAGGAGGATATAGCGCAATTGTCATTGGTGTCGTAGAGACAGTAGTGATAAGAGCCATAACAACGAAGATAGTAAAGGTCCTTGTTGAGAGGATCTTGGCTTGTAATCCGATATTCTGTTTTTAATTAGCATGATTTCTTATTATGATCTTTGAATTCGTACCAATACGATGAGTTCGACCAGACCCTTGCAACTCATCAAACATCCAATCGTGAAACTTTCGCGCCATACAAGCTTGCAGGCTCTTGCGGCTAATGTACCACCAATGATTTTACCCGCGAATGCGACAGCGCAAACCCCAATAACGTAGGCCCAAGTGATGCCATCGTTCAATAGGCCAATATTCGTGCTCAATCCAGAAAGGGCAAAGTACAGCGGTAAAAGTAGTACGGACACCATATCTTCGAGCTTCTCTGTGAGTCCGATCGCAAAACCACCTTCGTGGGGACAGATTAGGCCGACAAGGAAAGCTAGAATTTGTTAGGTGAGTATAGACATGGGATGCAGAATTACTTACCTCCAAAAATGGCGTGGACGCCAATGATACCGGTAAACCAAGAGGACAACAATACCAGCAAGAGAGTCAACGCTACAGACGACTGGGTTGGGCCATTTTGAAGACTCCCAGAGCGTCTAAGGACGTAAATAAACACAGGACGAATTGCATAGCAAAGGAAAAGAATCCAACCAATACAGCAAAGCAGCACATAAAGCGCGGTGATGCCAGAACCGTTATTGACCAATGCAACGCAAAGAGCCAGGAGAATCCATCCAACAACATCATTACCTACACCAGCAGCCAGAACTGTGACTCCAACAGGCGTGCTGAGGAGTTTTAGCTCGGTCAGGATTCGACACAGTACAGGGAACGCTGTAATTGCGAGGGCAGTTCCGATGAACAGCATATAAACTCCAAAGCTGATATGCACAGTGTTGGGGTCGTTTCGGAACTCGTGGTACAGACCATATGCGATGGCAGCTCCTAATCCAAATGGTAATAGCATTCCAGCTAGTCCAACACTCAGTGCGACTTTCCAGTTGGACATGAACATCTTCATGTTGACTTCGAGACCAACCAGGAAGAGGAAGAGGATCAACCCAAGATTGGCGACCAAGTTGAGATTCGGCATTGCTGCTGGAGGGAAGATGGCAGCTTGAAATCCGGGTATCCGCATCAGGACGGATGGTCCAAGTATGATTCCGCCCAAGACTTCCGCGATAACTCGAGGTTGGCGTAGCTTTGAGAGAGGATAATGGAGGAGACGGCAGAAAATGATGATGATACCGGCCTGCAGAAGATTGATTAGCCATGATTGGGATGAAGTATACTCGCATGCGGACGAATTTGGGGGAATGGAGTCTTGAGCAGCTCTATTCCACGTGCAGTTGTGCTATGGTGGAATTGCAGAGCCTCTCAATAGCACAAGTACAACGGCTGGGAGGACATCTCGGCCAGGTTTGATCTTGTGTACTGCCTCATTACACCGACCCAAAGCACCGGTTCAGTGCTACTTTCCAGAAGCTATTAACCTACCTGGATAATAAAGAGAATGAGAGGGTTCTTGGAATCATAGTGACTCGGATTGATCCCATCCAACACCCCTCCTTGATGCGGCGCTCGCGGACCCGTCGAATTCGCAGTCGCCGACGGGGCATGGGAGGAAGAGATGACTGTCGACATGATTGCGACTTCTCAGATGGTCGCCGCGGTGGTTGGGGGATCGCGGATAGAGTTGCGACTCGACCGCTTTGTTGTTGCGTTGCTCAACAGCGAAGCAGATGGCAATACAAAGGATGGTGATCCACGGACGAAGATGGTTATATATCGCGCGACGACATGACCAGGTGTCCTATGGCGTGTCTGCGAGAACAGTGTGACGGTCTTCAGATGCCAGACGCAGACTAAAGATATCGTGAATCATAGCAGGTCAGTCCCAAGAAATCCAAGGCTTGCGGTGAGGATAGCTTTGTCTAGCTGGGATCCAATGTCACACAGGCATTTGCGCAGCAGCGCCCAGCAGAATTGCGGTGGTTTTGGCGAGTAAGAAGGCGAGCCGCTGGCTTGGGGGGGAGGATGGGGGCAAGCGTGGCGCAGAAGAACCCTGAAATAACGCGGTGGGGTAGCTAGGTAGCTCTCGACGCCTGTGCGGGCGGCAGTGGCGGGGAAGTCGAGTGTTCTTGCAAGCGTTTAGCAGCTCGGGGTCGTGGTAGGACGTGCCCCGCTACAAACACAAACAGCCCACATCAATCGAGACTGGCCTGTTTTGCTTCTCTCTCTTCCTCCTTCTCAACCTCCTCCCTTGTTTCCATCCAGTCATCATCCCAACCTGGTATCTCTCTTCCACACTCGGGTCCTCGCATACGAGAATTGATTAGGACGGGTATTGGCGGGAAGACTGCTCAAGGGATACATTCGAACGATCACGCCTCTCGTTCTTCCATCTCCATACGCCGCTATTCTGTTGGCGAAACACCCTCACCTGGCACCCTTCACATGTCTCTAGACCACGCCTCATGCTTGCTCACACTTCGTCCATACAATACACAGTCATGAGACCAGAACACGGCTGGGTTGAGTGGCGGTGTGTTGGCACGTAATTTCCCGACCAACTGTTCGTATTCTGATCACATCTTGAAGTTGGTGGAGCTACAATCTTTCGGGACGAACATATGGAGTTTGTGGGGTAGGGGTCAAGTTGGATCTACAGCGAATTATGGGAAATATCCGTCTCAGATTCCCGGTGTCGAATGAGGCTCGATATGCAACTCCTTCTTCCCTATCTTTCAACCATCCATGATGGCTCTGAAGGATTACAAAGTGCTTACATCAGATACGCAGCTTTTCTTTTCAAATTCACCTTGCCCGACGTCTTTCCGCAAAGTCATGCAGGATTTCCCCTTCCCAGATTTATCACGAAAGCGCAAAGAAGCGTTATTGCATAATTATATCACTTCATCTAGAGACTATCGAGTTGATGGCCAAGCAATGAGGCTATCTTGTCGGGCAGAAAGCAAGCCATGTTCAGATGGATACATTGACGACATGTATAACGGAACCCCCGAGCCGCAAGTCGTGCAACAAGCGCTGCAATGCTTCGACTTGGATTCCCTTGAGGTTTACTACAAAAAATGTGTTACTGTACGTTTTGCTGTCCTTTATTGGTTGTTGTATTGAATGGCTTCTTTACTTGGCAGTCGCTTAAGTCCTATTGTGACACGGATTCGGAAATATTCAAGAGGCGATATTCTATCCCATGTTCTAGCACTTCATATCTGTTACTAGCGTCCATCAAGACCATGTGAACCGTATCTACATGATCCAGAACCATGGGTCTGTTTCATATAGAATGCTGCTGCAGTGTCAACGAGCTCGAAGTCTGTCAGTCGCTAGTGCTGCACAACCACAATATCCAGCCTCTGCAGGAATCATGGTGTCATAGAGGAGATCTCTTCACAATTTTCGGATGTTTCTATCTACTTCTAGCACATGTTTTGTTACTTCAAGTCAGATATTTGATGTAGTGGAAAACATGTAGTCAAGAGTCATATGTCAAGGACGATCTATCGTGTTCTAGACTTCTAACATCGCTTTCGTCCCAACATTTGTAATACCTTCGAGTAAAAGGTCTTGAGATGAAGCTGAAAAGCACAAGTACAACAGCGGCCCGAAGCGCAGCATGGATGTATTTTTGAGTTTCCTGGTCGTTGGGAATCTAAAGTTCAGCTCTTTGCATTTCCAACCTTAAAGCTTATGGACTGTTCTCATATGAGATCATGTAATGAAGGTGTGTATTGATTTGCCAGGTGGTCAATTTGGATTAGATGTGTGGCTTCGGCTCTGCCAACTGCCCACATAGAGCAAATATCATGTTTGGTACCTCATATCCGAAATCATCTGGTCAGATTCAGTCCTGAAGCAACCCAAAATTACCGAATTACCGAATAGGGACTCGTTATCGCATCACGATGCAGCATTAACCCCTTTAAAAGAGGATCTAAAAGAGGAAAAAATCTTATAATTCGGCATAATTCCAATGGCAAACCCAGTTCCACCATACATCTCATCATCCTCGGGCTCTCAACACACCCACACCAATCCCAACCTTGGCAGGAGACGGAACAGTCATAATTACATCCTCCTGACCCGAGGAAGCGGAACCATACCTCTTGATTCGAAAGTTGAGTGTTGGGGGTGGGATGGAAGGACAGTGATTTCTGAGAGGAAGCACAAGATAAGCTGGGCGTACGATGACTACTTGTATCACCCCCACTCCAAGGTACGACTTCTATCAAAACTTTCAGATGGTTCCGCATTTGGCTTGGTGTTGTGCTTGAGGAAGGTATCACACGTGGAGGTTTGGTTGGAGAGGAAGTCGAGGGCGTGGGTTAGAGGTGGAATTGGGTATACTTGGTCGAGAGAAGGTGTGCTTGTTGAGCATGTAGGGGTGTTTTGGGTTAAACACGCGGGTGGAAATTTGGGTTGATGAATGAGATGTATAGGGTGTCTTGGTTGTTGAGGAGTCGGGTGTTGTACGTCTTTGATAGAGGAGTTTGAAGTGAGGAAGTGGCAGCTTGCAAGGTTGTTTGTGTCACCACTGTGACCTAGATACATGACAATAGAATGTATTCGTAGACAGAAGATATTAAGCTGGTGTAAAGTTTGGATGTAGAAACAATAAAAAAGAATATAAATGTGCTCGAAACTCCATTCCATCATATGAATGTAACTCTTCGACGTCCCGTAGGAGGAGCTAAAGCATTGACACCCCTCACTGCCACGTCCTTCACGTAAAATATGACAGGATAAAAAGATATGTTCTAGAAGCGTTAAGCTCTTATAACTAATGCTAATGGGGTTTCGTTGAATATCATCACTTCCCATCGCGTCTCCGACTACATGGCTTCCTAAACTCATCCGTATCTCAGCCCGCGGAAATTCTATTCTGCTCCTTACACCACCGAAGTGAAATGTTGATCTTCTACCATCATGCAGTTTTCCTCGCCGTCGCTCTTTCGCCGGAAGGCACATTCATCCAGGTTCTCTTGACGCATAACACGGTGTTCCTTGATCTCCAAGATGACCGTGTTCGAAATTTCTCTTATTCATTTGTCGCGGCAAACCGACGATAACTGCCGACGTTAGGACATTTCTGAATAACCTCATAGTGTTAGATTTCGATCTTAACATCAATTGAGTAGAAATGGCACTCCTGACATCTAGCTTCACAAACCAAAAATAAGGCAGAGTGAGAAGTCATGTTGCTTGATTTCCTGCCCATTTCGAAGATGAACGTATGTGAATATTATCTCCTTATTAGAATGACAAGATTGTCGATACTAGCTGCGACTTTTTTTGGGGGATATTCTAAGATCTTGGGTTTCGTTGTTGGTGTTAGTTGTGAGTAAGATAATGGCTTACGGAACAATGATGGCGACATGAGGACAATCATAGGGAATTGGATTTCATCATCCACGCATACCTGTTTCCGTATATCATAACCTCATTTTCTATCCTCCATGTGTCTATCTCACGTGAACATATTCAAGTTCTTACATCATCCCTCAAACCTACTTCTTAGTCACGCAACCCTACCCACTTTCACATCAATTCTCTTTAGTTTAGTCACATCGATTAGATCTTCTTAATTAAGTTTAGCCGCATCACAATCCCTGATCTGGTCTTCTCATTTTAGTTTAGCGGGATCAAAATGGCAGATCACGGGGGAAATGTATATGAGAGGTTTCTTCCCTCGTTTGAGAGAAGTTTTCTTTTTTCATTAGTATTCAGCATCTTTATCTTGCGACATCCCCGACGTCTTCGTCAACATCACCTCGCCACAACCGTAAGTCCTTAATTTTTCTTTCTGAGCAAGCGATTTTGGTCTTTAACTGAGTTTATGTTTTAGGAATTCGAAAGAACGACTCTAACGACAAACTCGCGAGATCTATGTCACGAACCGACCGGCGCTGCACTCGACCAATTGACCGACAGGGTATCTGCGAGCAAAATCGATCCTGACGAGCGAAGTAATTAAACGCAACACCGCCGATAAGAAAATTCGAAGGAAGTCGATTCTCGTTAAACGAAATCGTAATCGATACCTACCGACTAATAATATACGAACTTACGAGGGGGTTCCGGATTTAGTAACGACTTATAAATCGATAGAACGATAATAATCACCGACTTATAATATAATCTAACGATACTAAGAAAAAAGAAAAGAAGAAAAATTAAGAGTATAAAATTAAGATAATAAAACTAAGAAAATAAAATTAAGATTATTATATCAAGAATAAACTAAGGTTACAATTAAGATTATAATTAAGACGATAATTAAATCGAAAAGTAATAAAAAGAAGTAATAAGTTAAGACGTATCGAACAAATTCGAAATCGACGACGACGAAGCGACGACAAAATAAACGAGGAATGACCGAAGAAAGACGAAAGAGAGACGCCGGGCCCACGATAACAGAGTAACGATTAACCGGCCTCGAAAGAGAGACGACTAACAAACTAACGATCATCGAATAACCGACGACAAGCGACCGACCGACGAGATATTAACTTTTACTAGCGACTGATTTTACTAGTTATTAGATACTTTTATTAGCAATTAATTGTGTATTCTGCTAGTAGTAATTTCTATTAGTAATATTTTTAAGTAATTAATTCTCTACTTTAACTAGCAATTAACTTCTACCAGTGATGATTTATACCCGCGCTTAATTAATCTTATTAGCTTTTGGTGTAGTACTTCTACTAGTGATTATTTCTTTACGAGCGACATTAACGACGTGTACTAATTATATTACCGACCTGTTAAACTCGTAAAAACAATACTACGTCGTAAAAGGAGCTGAAAGGTGTTTTAAACATCGAATCAAGCGTCAAGCCTATAATCAACCCATAAAATCAAAACCCCTATCGATTCCGAGACACAGAGAATCATCAAAACTATTTTAAATATACATAAAAGAACTTAACATAAAGCATATCAGAAATGAAACAACAGAATTCATATCTTTCAGGCATGGAATCGAGAGACAAATTCATGTCGAGAGTGTTTAGCAATCCTCGAAATGGCTTGGGAATACTGTGCTCGCTGATTTCTGACGCTTGTTTGGTGCTTGTGTTTGGTGTTGGGGTTTGGAGTGTTAGGATGGGCGGGAGGGTTTGGTTTGTCGTAAGTGAGAAGTCGTTCTCGATAGGTTGAAGTTAAGAAACTTTAGGGAGTTTCTTTCCGCGATGGTTAATTGGCGGGCCGATTCTTCGTTTGTATGACGCTGTATTCAAGCTCACGAGCGATGCGTACTCCTAACAAAGGGCTGGGTATGACACAAAGCAAATTTCATTATTTCATAACCGCCTGAGTTGGAGAGAAAGCGTCGGAAGGATGTCAGCGAACAAAACACCATTCATACTACACACCAAGCATCTACGCTCCATCCTCCCCCTCTAATACTCAAACACGATATATTTCCATACGAATCTCTCAGGCAAGTTTCCAAGCGACCTCGGATCCCCAACGCCATCCTCTCCTTTCTGTAAAGCATTTCCCAATACTACAGCCGTTTTAATAGGACTCAAACTCGGCGGTTCGTTGAATTGACACAGACCCAGAGCAACCAGAGAGTGCTTATTACGGCAGTCGTTGTGAGAGCAAGGGCTGTCCAGAGAGATACAGAGGACGATTAGTATTTCCATACAGATTCGGATATTGCGACGCTGCTGAGATAGACCTGTGCGTCTTTTTGCAGGTTAGTTGTGTTCTAGTAATGAAAGTGTATAGTTCGCGAAGACATGAAAGAAGAAGAAGCAAGGTGCGCAGACTGCAGCCTTCTTCAAGGCTGCCCAAGCAATTAGGAGCCGCGCAAGCAACCATGCGAGATGTATTCGAATTAAAACAGAGGAACAGCTAGCAGTGAGCGATGATCTGTAAGTTCTTCAAACCAGTACGAAGAAGGCGGTATGAATGGACGGGGCTTTAACAGCCCCGTACTGTGAGTAATTACATGCATATTACAGGACAGGTTGGCTGGGTCTAGGAAATCGTGGGTAGGACGAACTGGAAGAGCTGAGGGTTAGTAGTCATAGTGAGAAAAAAGGTCAGAAAAGAGCGAATGAGAAGAATGAATAAAGACACACCGATCGACCCTTTACACTACCATTCTACCATTTTGCCTTCCACTTTTACCTACTAACAAACCCCTACTTACCCCCCTATTCCTTCTCTTCGCGCTTAAAGCTTCTTACCTGTCCATTTAGCTCTTTGCCTGCCTAGTCTCATAGTAAACTCCAATTAATATCTGTATCTCGACGATATTACCGAAAAATGGTGGACGAAATAAAATGATTGAGTTTTTTGTTTTGGGGACTATGAATTTAGTTAGATATCTTGTTGTATACGTATATAGTCTTGATTGCGCTGGATGCGCGAGGTTTCGTTGTATTTCTGTACCTCATCCATGAGCGAGAGAAAAACCGTCCTGGCCTCCTTGGAACCAGCTATTCCTCACCGTCGCATATTACCATACTTACTACATCTCCGTCTAGCTTATCTCAAAATCCGAGATCTCAACTCTACCTTCATCTGTACCATCCCCTCTGATCCCCATCCTCCACCAACACGGCATTAGTAAACCGATTAAACCACTTCCCCGGCGCCCCAAACTTGCTCTCGATTTTCGCCTGCCCCTCCCGATACCCCCTCTGCGTATTACCAACCACGCGCCCGAGATTTAGCTCGACCTCCTCGGGCGAGCCATTTAGACCTTCGCTCTCGAACTCCACGGTCACCCGGTCGCCGGGATGGACATGGGTTTCATAGCTGTCGGGTAGGATATACCGGTCTTGCATGCCGTAAACGGTACCACGGAGTTTGAAGGGCATTAGCTTTTTTTGATTTAGGAATTGGAAGTACTGAGGTGAGTTGGCGTAGATGTCTCTTAGTTCGTGGAGGAGGCTCTAGAGAGGGTTAGTTGGGGAAAGAAAGGGGGCTGAGTGAACGAATTTAATGGATGAAAAGAGATCAGTCTGCGAAAAGAGACGAAGAGGGGCGTACCCCGTAGCTTATACAATGAGAAAACGGGATGGTAAAGTCCCAGCCTCGAGAGTCGGTGAGATATAGAACGTCTTCTGGGTTGTGTTTAGTAGTACGACTTGGTCGGCGGGTTGACTGGCGGGGTCGCCTGTCAATTCGGGGTTCAAAAGGCTCCTGACCTCGACGCGGAGGCGACTCGTTATCTGTACGTCGTGAGTTGCTGGCCAAAGAACGGCTTGTCATGATTCTGATCTCCGGTGCTGATTGAGGAAAATAGGAATGGCTACTACTTGAGCTGTCTGTTGAGGTGGCTGAGTTAGCAATACAGTGTTTCAATGCTGGAAACCGTAACGGTAGGAAGAGTAAATCCCATAACATATAAGCCAAAGTACGTTTGAGCTTACAAGATCAACAATCCGTTTACACGTATGAAATAGATGGTAACTTGCCTTCTGAAACCTCAGGCGTTTCTGAATTTAAAGCATAATTTGCAAAACGAACGGTCGCTCTCTGGATAAAATCCATTTCGATATGAAAATCGAGAATCGTCTTTGAAGGTGTAAACTGCAAGTCATTTCGTGTAACGTAATCGTCTAAATCGTCTTGCTCACTCGTGGAAGGAGGTCGTAGTGCCACGATGTAGGTTCTCGGCTGTTCAGCTGCTGATGAAGACCCTCGACTTGTGTTCCCATAGCTCGATCTGATGGAGTTTGACGCTTGGCTTGAAGCTATAATGATATCTTCGTTTCCGGGCTCCCCCAGTCTATTTTTCCCTTTAAAATTTTGAACTGCTTCATGTCTCCCAGATTCTTGAGAGCCATCGATGCTTGATTCGACATAATTTGACAAGATTTGACAAGATTTGAAGCTGAAGGTTGCCGTTTTGGAGTATTCCAGTAAGTTCGAGGTATGCATGACTATGTCCCTGAACAAATGATTTCGAGTTTTCAAGATCCTCTCGAAGTAAAGACCTACCAAATCTCGTTAGTATACATACTTCAAGCTTGATAAAGACTCACTTTGTTGCTTCAGACTGTCTAGTCTCAACGGCAAGCGCAAAATTCATCCCAGAAAACAGCAAGGTCAATGTACCTTGCAACAATCCCAAAGACTGGCTATGAGCTGCAAATTTTGACTTTTGGAATAACCATTGGATCCTCAAGATAGCTTTCTTGTAATGACTTTCAGAAAGTGCAACAAGAGGACGCAAGACCTCAAGCAATTCTCGGCTCTCCATCAATAAATCTTCGCACATCTCCAACAAATCACCAGCCAAACGTTCGCCATTTGCGGTAGCCTCCGAGCCATTTTTCAAGGTGTTGCCAATCTGGTTGAAAACACGACATAGAGCACTAATCTCGTTCGCGACGACTTTCACATCTTTCCCCGCATTTCCAAAGGCTTTTGCGACGTCCAGAGGCCTTTGGATAACTTTCCCCCAACGCTTGCAATCCCGAGAATACTGGCGACTAACCCGACTTCGGCCATGAGGAGAAGAATTTGGGAATGAGCGCGTTTGCAAACCTGAACTGATTTCGAAGGATATGTAGAGATACATGGAGGTTCAAACACAGCCTCACATTAGCCTCACGACGTCTGGCTGCGCTGGTATTCGGGGCGTTTTGATCGACCGGCCTATCAAGTGAGCCTGGAGCTGTGCATACTGCAACCTCATCGGGAGGAGGAGCAGATGGGACAATGGAGTTGAGAACAGCATTTTGAAGTTCGAGGTCATAATCGTAAAATGTCGATCAAACATCCTTTAGCTTTGATCTGATGGTATTTCTGGGTGTTGGAATGTTGAATTTTTGAAGTTGGAGGAGTGGTGCAGGCTCGTCCAGACCAGATGTGGGCGGTGTAGAGTGGCAGATTCGCTTAATTGGGTGTAGAAGTAAAGTCATAGAAAGTCTATCCATGGGAAACGGAACAATAGCTTATGTTTTTGACTAAAAAGATATGTCTCTCTTCTTTCTGTCTTTCAAGTTTAGATACTCTTACCGATCGCTTATAGTCTACCCACGTGACCTACCTATAGATGTTCTTTAGCTAATTGTGACTTACCTTAAGACTATGTCGATAAATGTAATTAACAGTAAGTACTTTGGGAGGATAAGTACAAGAAATGAAGCACGACTACTGCAATTGCTGAAGAATGGCCATGCGCAGATCTATCCAAATAGGAGAGACAAGCGTGACTAGATCACATGACACACCCTCCTTACTCCAGAATCCCGCATCTCGTACAGGATCTCAGCAGCCGAAAGAAGGCGAAATTAACATTGCAGCAAGAAAGTAAGAAAGATGTTGCAGTCCCTGCAGAAATGGTATTGTAACGTCGTTTACAGATAAGTTATCCGGTGCGCAGCAATGCAGCATCTGCAGTTCAGCCTCTGAAGGCGTCCAACCAGAGCGGTCCTGCTTAGAAATGTCAACGGTGGTTTCGGGTGTGCAGGACTGCTGCAGAGGTGACTCATACGGTGTACGGAGTTCGAAAGTAGGAGATGAGCAGGATGAAGGAGAGTCGGAGGATATTCCATGATGGAGAACTAAAAATGATAGAATGAAGTTAATTCTGCTGAAGAAACCAAACGTCTTCATGACTTGAAGGGCGCATATGTCAATATACAAGGTGGGGTGGAGGTTGGAACGGCGGCCATTCAAAGCCGTATTTCCGTATCGGCGAGGCATTTTTGGATGTTGCGGAGTCCTGAATAGGTTCGGTCAGTGATCAGGAACCGGGACTGGGAGTGGAACATGAGCCGCTAGAACTGTACGTGAGCATCTCGCGGCGGCTGAATTGGAAGGAAGATGCTCGTCTTGACTCGTATTTCAGTATACCTATTACTCCGTGAGAACGTTTGGAATTAGGACTTGTCACGAGTTTGGCGATAAGCAAGGAGATATTTTGGAGGGGCTATCGAGGTATGAGGGGCACATGTTGGCTCCAGTTGCGAAGTGTATGGTGGTCTTTCTATGTGGGCGCCTGGGAGGCAGCGGAGAGTTGAAACGTCGAGGTTCATAGTTAGGCCTCTGGTGTACGTGTGACAGGAAAAGGGTACGCGTATCGTTGTAGTCGAGTATCGACCAGATTGATGTCTATGTTTCCGCCTAAATCAGACATGTCGGTCTGAACCGCAGCAATTGGGGCTGGTGTTTGATCGGGCATGGTTCCGTGGAACAGGGCGCTCCAAGTGTCCAGACGGCGTGAATACGGAGCTCGCTTAGGGAGGGGAGGGTAGAGCCGAGGAGAGGAGATGAGGGCAGAAGTTGAATGAGTGCAGGTAAAGTATCTGGATAAGACGGACTTATTCGGAGCCTCAGGAAGTAAGATGAAAGGATCTGGATCACGAGAAGTCATCGCAAGAAGACTGTTCGCAGAAGCGTTCTCGCTGAGGGTGTATTCGGGGGAGGCTGTGGCATTTATCGCAACTTCACTCGCCAGTCGAGGGGTCACAGACTCATAGTCTTGTCAAGGGAAACACGCGCGCTGCGTACTACTCGAGGCACCCACTCCATACGGGACGTCTCGAGGCACGGGGAGGCCCAAAGTCTCTTAGCGTGTGAGTCATTCGAGAAATCCAGCCGTCGTCTTACGCTGAAAAGCGGCGGGGGAAAGGAGCTGGGAAAGGGACTCGGATATAGGAAATGTGTGCCACCAAAAAGAGCGACAAAGAAAAGGACTTGACGGCCATGGACCACAATCTGGTGAAAACCGATCATAAAAACATGGCAAAAATTCTATGAGACATCTCAAATACTCACCTCCACAAACATGTGAATAGTAAAAATTAATCCATCTTCAATCATCGCTGAATCCCCTCTCATTGACACACCCGTCCGCATCGCAGTCAACCCTCGCCGCTTCAACCCGCCACGCCCTTCTCGCTTACCCACGCACCATCGGCTGGCCCCATAAAGTGATCTCCTGCCCAGCTGCCTCAGATCTCTTCTTTCCTCTTCTCTTCTCCATCCACAACTCTGACTCAACCACAACAACACCACGAACATCACAGACACGATGTTCTAAATCACCCGTTCCCCAGTCTTCCCCTTGACACATCAGTCATCATTCCGTCCCACTTCAAAACAGTCAACCACTCCCCTCAACCACCACCGTCACCATTTCTTCCCTCGGAAGATTTGACCTTTGAGCCTGCTCAGCGTTTTCGCACAGTTCCCTCAACCGCCACGATACCTTCACAAGACTCCCAAGTCTTCACCACGGATTCTCCACCACCATGGCTTCCCTCCAGTTCATCGAGCCTGCCGGCACAACCATCGCACAATCATCAACAGCACCACTCTCCAGCCGCCCAGCTAGATCAGGACTTTGTCTTGTTCGAGAGTCCAGCTCCTCGCAGTTCCCCTAGTCTGTCCCATAGCCACGCCGTAACAGGCCAAAATCGTCGTCACTCTGCCCATTTGGCATCCGCTCTGCAAAATCAGAGAGTCGCTGCGATCATACAAGCAACTGGACATTCTATTTCTACTTCGAATCTCACCAATCGGTTTCCTTCTGCGCAGAACCACCAACCGAATCAGTTTTACGCGTCTTCTGCGCCCTCTTCCTCTGTACAATTGCAACAGCAGCGCGCGACTCGACCGCCTGTCCCACTGTTCTCGCAATCAACTGGCAATATCCCGCAAACACCAAACATGGCATTCCAAGGTACTTATACATTATTCACTCCTTCGCATGCGAACCACTGTGACTCACAACCTGCAGACATGGATCTCTTTGACGAATTCACCGCCTTCGAGGGTGGGGCCTCGGCGAATAACAACTTCAACCACCACGGATCGGCTTACTCTTCTCCTGCAGTACCAACCATCTACGATCCGCAAATGAACTTGTCATCCTCTAGCTCCATCAACATGGGTACCGTTTCGCCTCAAGATCTACTTCGCTCGCCTTTTGCTGGGTCACAACCTCCTTCCACATCCTTCACGAATTTGACTTCACCTTCCACATATAACGAATCTCCAGAATATGACGAGAGTTTTGAAGCGTCTCCGTTTGTTCAGAGCGACAACGCAGTAAGTGGTGTGGATCCATGGTTCCCTCTTTTCCCTGCAGACGAGACCACCGTCGAACAACCAAAGTCAGAGGATTCGCCTTTACTGCCTGAAGAGGAATTACAAGTTGCATCTCATCTTCGATCTGCTTCTGGAGGTCGTCGACGATCTGGCACTGGAACATCGCCCACTGGAACGCATGCCTCTATCGCTGGTATCAACGCACGCAAACGGGATAAGCCTCTTCCGCCTATCGTTGTTGAAGATCCCAACGACACTGTCGCAATGAAGCGTGCTCGCAACACTCTTGCCGCACGTAAGTCTCGTCAACGAAAGATGCAAAAGTTTGAGGAACTGGAAGACCGAATCGCAAATCTAGAAGCAGAACGTGATCATTGGAAGGATGTTGCTTTACGGAGAACAACTGGACAATCAGGCTGAATCTCGATGGATAGCCACCGGCATCTCATGGATTGGAGGGGAGACTTTGAGGTTCTCTTCCTTCGGAGGTAAATAGTAGCAGCAGACATAGGGGTCTCATGCAATGACGCTATTGACCGTGGATATGTTTCATTAAAAGTTTCTGTATCTCGAGAGATGTTTTTTCTTTACCGGCTGGAAGTCTTGACAGAATTCGCAGCGACGGTTATTTCACATTTTGCAGCATGGGGGTTTCACTGAGCAAAGGGAGTCCACTTGGATTTTCTATTTGCTTATGGATGGCATGCATGAGGTTTCATTTTCGAGCATCCTTGATTTCCTATCAAGGCGTCGGGCTCAGTTTATGTGGTATTTTTTCCTTTTACGACCAACACGATGTGGTTTTGTCCTCGTTGGGTTGATGTCTCCTCCACTCTGTCTGTCAACGTTTTCGGAGACTAGGGAATGGGTGACGCAAATGTGTGGTGCGTTTTAGAATCATAATACGAATCGTCTTTGATACAAACTTGAGTATTTTGGTGACTGTGTATGTATGTGACTATGCTTTTGACGTGACTTTGTCTTTGACATGACTTTGTTGTTGCTGTGACCAAGCCTATGTATGATTCTTCTCACCACTGGTTTGTCGTTTGGAGTTAAAAGTCTGACTCTAGATTGTACCTGGGTGTTTGCCCTCTTAACTCCCTCCCAATCTTTTTTAGGATACAATCACAACGACCAGCACCACCCGCACAATCCTGCGGGTTTCGCATATGTCGTTACCCGTTCACGACGCAAAGCAAACCATCCCAACTCATTCCTTTCCCTCTTCTTTAACACTTAATAATCGCACGTTCTTAATTTTCTTTTTTCTTTACTTGATTTTCTTATTCTCGGGTTCTGGGGTTATATCTTGTTAGGAATTTTTTTTATTATACATGGGGGGAGGGGTTTATGGGTTTGTCATGACTTGGGGGGAGGGTGGAGGGTAGAGTCGGACTCGCCTTTTCATCCTCATCCTCATCTTCACGTGGCGCACTTAGGTTGTGGTTCTCTAGTTGGGTGTCTCAGGGGATTTGGGTGTGGCTGTGTATTCACTTGTCCTACATTAAACACCAATATTTACGTGTGATATCCACAATATCCTGTAATGTGAATAAGAATCAACGGTTGGTCGTGATCACGATGGATTTTAGGATGTGAATGAGGTTACTGCTTTCTGAATGTGTCTCCTACCTACCTTACGCCTCTATAAACGAACCATCCATCTCTCATTCACTGACAGCCATATCTACAACCCTAGAGCGAAGATCTTCTAGGGAGGCATGATGAGGTGGTGATTTTATATTTCGCGATATAGTAGGATTACTTGAGTAATTAGTTGGATAATGGGTGTTGGAAGTAGTCGTGAGGGTGATATCGAGGTGTGGGATCGGGTAGATGTGTGTAGAAGGGTATAATATTTCATTCATTGAGTTGTAAAAGCTACATAATTCATATCATCGTGATTCAAACTCCTTGTCCAAGAAAATCCCCACCTCCGCAAACACCAAATCCACACCATCATCGCTTATACCAAAGCGAAAGCGATAGCAACACCAACCACCAAAACACTAACAAACCCAGGACTCACTCTCCCAGCACCAGCCTTCGTCTCACTCGCGGCCGGAGCCCCCGCACTCGTCGCACTCCCTCCTGTTCCACTCCCTCCCACAGTCCCAGTACTCACACCCGTCCTCTCCATAACCCACACCTCACCCGTGCTATCGCTGCTGAACCACAGACGTCCCTTGCCATCTAGCGCGAGGCCTACAGGACGGAAACAGCTGTCTGGACATACTTTGTTATCTGGGTTTTGGATGATGATGTTGGAGGTGTTGGTTGAGTCGGAGGGGAGGGTGGGGTTGCCGCCGGCGAAGGGGAGGGAGGTTATGGAGTAGCCGATGGGGGAGTCTCTGTTCCTGGGGGTATGTTAGTGGGAGGTGGGAAGGGAAGAGGTATGGGGAGACTTACCAAGAGCCGTGGAATGAGACGTATGCTTCTGAGCCGTTTGGCTGGAAGAGAATATCCAATGGCGCGGTATGCGCCTGGAACGTCAATCTCGGCGCTGTCGTCTGAGTCTCACAATACTGATCATTCAAGTTCGTGCTCTGGTTCAACGCAAATTGATCTCCAACCTTCAGGTCCCCTAGATCGGGTATACTCGTATTCCAGAGAGCAAAACAGTTAGGGTACCCGTAGTTCCCACGCTCAGTGGTATCATTCAGGTAGCCGTGGAAATTAAGTTCCTCGCCAGGGTTGTTAACGTGGATGTCAACGCCATTACGCTCGACTTCATCAGCGGAGTTCTCAACACTGTAGATTCCACCAGTAGATGGGTCTTCTGCTACACCGACCGAGTTGCGTAGACCATACCCAAGACGAACGCCAGAGGTAGAATAATCCAAGGGCTCAGTGATATTCGTGACGTCGAAAGCGCGGATCTGAGCACGACCCGAACTTGTAGATGCGGCGCTGAAATCGAGGTTATCGCCGCTGCCACGCGATACGACGAGCATGCCTGGCTGAGACTGGGACATCATGAGCGTTCGAGTGACGTGTTCGCCATTTTGCATGCCCGTGATGAGGGTTGTGTTTGCGCCGGTGACGGTTCCGGTGGTGGGGTCGTACGACCAGGAGAAGACTGAGCTACTGGTGGATGCGTAGATGGTTCGACTGTCTGCTGAGAGAGCTAAGCCGTGATTCAACTGTCTTTTGTGAGCTTAGGTTGTGTGAAGAAGGAAGGGTACCGACATTGGGATTGTCGATAACTTTTGTCGAGTTCAACACAGACAGACAAGTTCCTCCTCCATCTTCAAATGCTAATCGTACAATCCCCTCGCTACGGTCTGCTACCAACATATTCCCCGCTGAATCAAATACGATCGAGCGCGGAGCATCGAGTTCTTTGTATACAAGCTGCGCACTCCATCCATTCGATGTGACTGGTGCTGGATAGTCTGGTTTGAGAGTGCAGTTTACCTGCGCCAGCGCTGGCACGAGGAACGCCGCAAGGCTTATAATCGTCTGAGTGCTTGAAATCATCTTCTCTTGCTTCTTTACTTGCAGAGAAATTCTGCACCATCCCAAGGGAATGCGCTCAAAGATAAGGAAATCCATACTTCAACCACCGCAAGCAACATGATGCCGCCAAGTCCATCTTCACCTACCAGAACTCTCGTACCCCGCTCTTGTCCTCTAGTTCCAAGCTCGATACCCCTCCAATGGTGGGAGGTGGGAGGAGAGCGGGACGGCTCGTGAGAAATGGATTGTATGTGTGCGATGAGCTCATTGAAGGTTGAAGGCTCTTGGCCGTGATGTTTGTGGTCGTGGGGTGAGGACGCTAAGCCGATTTCGGGTGAGGGAATAATCCTCCGATCGGTTCCGTGGTGTTGGATTTTATGTGATGCGAAGTGTCAGCGTATTCCGGTTTGGGATTGATGGTGTGAAGGGTTGTATGTCGCTGATTTCTAGATGCAAGTTAAACAGTGTTGTTATAAAGTGCTATGAAACGTATATTCGGTACGAACCGCATGTTGACCCCACTATTGATGCCATTACAGTCCATGACGCTAGTTTTGTATCGGTGCCATCATTGTGGAGTTTGTCTCTCAGAGAACATGGAGTTTTTTCTTCGATAGAACATCTAGAGTACTCCGCTTTAGAGTAGTATTAGCCAAGCTTGTCGTCCTGGTTCTGGAGCACCTCTTGTCGTCTCGCTTAGATAGGTTATTGCACCAACACCGACAAATAACTTTCCTTTTTATATATGCCAAGATTAATTCTCTCAACCTGTTCAAGCCCTCGTGACAGGTAATATAGGTCTTGGGCCAGCCATCTGTGTTACTGGTGTGAGTGCTATGATTGAACGTGTGGGAGTGCCTGGGTAGCTGGATAGACATCGAAAGACCCATACATTGTGAACAAAAGTCAAAAGGCGCACTCAATAAAATTTTAACATATCCTATATTCCATCCATCATCTCTATTGAACCCGAGCTCTCTTATCCTCGTCCCTCCCAAACGTGTATATGTACATCGATATTATTAACCACCACGGTGCCCCCCTTGGGGCTGGGGCTGGGGCTGGGAGACAGCACTTCGTTGCGAATCTGACGGGTTTTCAGATTGATGAACCCGCGGCCGTCTTGACTGCTGCCAGGGCCAGACGCCATCTTTAATTCGTACCTCGATGGATGCAGCACACCAACCGAGGACGAATAATCCCGCCAGGCATCCTATAACTATCCCAACTACTTTCCTATAATCTTTTGCATCGGCCGGGCTGGTATAGTGGTAGTAGTACATGGTCGGTGTTGATGATGATTTTGAGGTTGGGAAGTTGATATGATGATGGGGATAATTGTGAAGTGTATGTGTGAACTTCTTTGACTTGTGTGTCGATTCCGGAAGGGTTTTGCTTTTATGGGTATCTGGTGTAGACCGTTAGTTTGAAGAGGTCTGAAGTGAGGATCCTGCGGGTTTGTGTAAGAAGGGGAAGCATTCTTTATATCTAAATCCAAGAATTGACTAGAAGTAATCTTCTGTACACCTGACCCCTAAGCTGTAGAAGAGTTTGGTACCTAGTTATTTAGTAGCAGTATAGTTTGATATAGTGCTTCAACGACCAACATAACCGTGGTTACGGAGCGCGACTAATGAGACTAACGCCATGTGATCTCACAATTGAAGAACTGCTTAGGCTCTCCACTTAGAGAGTGCAACTACCGACTACGTCTTTACTTTGCTTCTTATATCTGCCAAGATTAACTCCTTCAACTATCAAGCCCATCACGGCTTCCAATGAAAAGCGTCTTTCTGCTACCAAGTCATCTATCAAACTAAGCGTAGCAGGCGCTCTTCTGAGACACAACTCAATAGGCGGATTTGCCGAAAGCAGTTGACGAGAAATCGTATATTTCGTCAATAGGTTTAAGTAAATATTATAGTCGACTGACACTTATTTGGTCCACCGCGAGCAAGGGTAATGGAGGTCTTAGGCGGCCTGTTTGTGTTATTGATGAGAGTCCTAGATTCAAACGTGTCGAGGGGCTTGATAGATGGAACATTGAACGAGCCTTCCATTTGCGAGCGGAAGACAGACTCAATACTTTTAAAATTTTGTTGATACAATCATTTCCTACCACCGCTTTATATCTCCTCCATTGGAGCTAAAATCTCCACCCCGCCGTTCTCGCTCAATTCTGGCATCAAATTCCGCTTGCGCATCAAGCTGCCCATCCCTTCTTCCGCTCCCTTGTGTTTCCTGCGATGAAGAAGCCTGACTCGGGGCCTGACTTGGAGCCTGACCTCTCCTTAATCTGTCCCATGCTGAACCTGTGCTTTGGGGTGCTGCTCTCGTGTCTGCAGATATACCTTGACCACCTGTAGGCGATGCGTCGTCGAAGAAATCAAAAGACTTGGCTTCAGCTTCCGCCGGGGCTGGCCTCGATGGAACAACTGGAACTGCTGGTTTACTCTGCTGGAAGTCCTCCTCAGTATAGATTCCCCCAGTTGGGCTCGCATCATCGTAATCCTGCTTTTGTGGTGCCGGCATTGGTGCTGGTTGTCCTGGCCGTCCGTTTTGACCCTGTGGCATTTCCAGACCTCCTCTCCTTTGTTGTTGCCGTTGTCTAACCTGGCTGATAAAATCCTTTAACCTAGGATCTTGCATCTCACCCACAGTAGCTACACTCAGAGCATAACTTCCAATGACCATTTTGGCTAGAAAGTTACCCGCTGCAGCATACCAAAATCCTCTGGCCAAATGCCAACTCAGAACAGCGCGATATCCAACGACCCAAGGCGCCCTTGTATGCGGAAAGACTTCTCTGTTGAATGTTGCTTGGTCTGGCTGGTACATGGGAAACCGAAATGTACTCGCAGTTGAATATGCTCTATATAATCCTCCTCCAATGCCGATGATCGGCGCATAAGACATGATTTTAACCTGCTTGCTGGTCCAATAGACCATGGCAGTCATTTCTTCCTGCGTAAGATGTCGTTGCAAGACTCCCCCAGCACTCTTCGTCTTCGAATTCACCCCGCGAGCAATAAGGTCATCGTTATATCCAAACAGGGGTCCGATAATTGGAAACGGCCGTGGCATTCCTTCCATGGAGATGTCATACTCGGCTTTGCCGCCTTCGCCGGAATAGGTATCGAAAGCGGAGGGAGGGGGGTTTTCAGTGAAGCCACCATCCGACTCGGATGCGGTGGAGTTTTCGAGCACCATTGTGAAATACTTTGACGAGCGTCTACCAGCTCTCAGTAGTATGTAGATGGTCTACCTGCGCAAATGAGCGCCGGCGTGGTTGTGCTTGGGAACTGCTTCTGTTTCTTGTGCCAACCAAATATGGTGACGTCCGATGGAAGTTTCCCCACAAGAGGTACCAGTTTGAGCTTGGACCCTAAACTGCCCAGAGCTCTTTTCTCAACCACCTTCCGGAGGACAAAATAAGTGGCAGTCAAAAGACGACATCAAAACAATTCACGAAATATCGTCTAGTTACTCAATGAACTTGGCACCCTATCATATATTTTGTCAATCATTTTGATTTAAGAGATCAATGTTTTCTTAAGCTTTGTTCGACTTATTCAGCCCACAATTTATTGAGCAGGTGACAGACACTTATCTTGTCCTCTGCGAGACCACGTCTTCATCCTCCCTTCGCACCACCTCCAGAGACCCAAAATGAGATTGCATCCACGATCTTGAAAGCCAAGAAGTCTTGTTCTCCAGAATCCTTCGTATCGCGTCCAACCAACTAGGATATCTGAGACATCTGGAACCAGAGAGAGTCGTGGTCATACGACCCTATCACACTGGCTGTCGATGATCTTAGCGGAACCACCTGTCTCAGATGTGTTATCATCAGCATTTGAACTCTCGAGATGAGAAGTACCTAACGTTCTGCTGCAATACTCGTTTATATCGTTAAGCAGATGTCTTCTAGCGATGCCATATCTTGCCGACGTGGATCAGGCTGTAGTGCTCTTTATAGGAAAGCCCCTCAGTCGTTACTCGTGTTCTTCGTAGATTATTTTGGGATTTTGGTGAAGGAGAGTGCATTTCTGCTTGTTCAACTTCGGAGACCTCAATGTTGGAGCAAGAGCTCTGCAAGAGTATCAGCTGAGCCACAAACCGATTATGCACACCCTTGAGCAATGGTCTCAAGTACTTTCAGGAATTTAGTGCGAAGTGATGTTTGAAACAATATTACGAGTCCAACTTTGAGTTGGTCTGTCGTTTGTTGGTGGCTGCCAGAGTCGTCCATCGGCTTCAGATAGGCTGTCTCAGATACCTAGAGGCATCCAAGTTTCACATATCATGTTGTGTCGGGCCATTGTCCAGTTTCAATCCATACGCTCATATAGCCTCTGAGAACACCGCATTTGAAAAAATAACACAGAGCTCAAAGTCATTTCAAACCTATGGCGTCATCGAAGAAAGACAAGAACTACGCGAATAGTCGTGCTCGACGACACTCGGGCACAGTGGTCGTCACCCATGGAAAGAAATCGAAAAAAAACAAAGATACTGATTCAGAGTCCTTGTCTTCATCTTCCACCGATGCAACTATAGCCGAGACGAAGAAATGCCCTCTTCGATTTATGATGGCGGGCATGTTAGAGTCGAACATTGAGGGAGAAAGAAAGGGTCTGGGTTGTCCTCTCAGACGCGTACAACTCTGGCATACCATACCTCTTTGTCTGCTCGCAATCATCAACCTTTTGCTTGTCATAATAGCGCTTCTGGGATTGGCAGGTTATCGAATCGCTGTCTACACGCAACTCTTTCTACTTCGCGCCTTTGATGTCAAACTTGGCGACGCATTAGACAACGAGAATGTTGCGATTTCGGATGAAAGATCGTTCTCGAGCGGACACAGTGGCTGAACCTGAGTACGCTGTGGCTTTTATCATTCGCATATACCCTTGTCGTTTGTATCTCGTTCTTGCGGTTAGGAGGCCTCATGGAATATGTGAAAGAAATATTGAACCGGCGCTGGGGTCACAGATAGGAAGTTCAAGTAGTGCTCGCTTACCTGGAGAGTCGGGAAATGAGGGCCAAATCGATGATACTACCCGGCGATATGGTGGCATCTTTGCAGTCCAAGCTGCTCAACGTTAGGTCAAGTCCTAGCCTATACTTTGAGCTCAGAACGGCCCTGCATGGCGGGGAATGAACAGATAAGGTTTAGGAGGGGAGCTTGACTTAAAGGACTGCTCTGCTTTTGTCCACGGTTGGGAGGCTCGAAGTCTGGGATGTTAATACATACATACCTTGTCAACCGTAAACAGAAGTTTTTTATCAAAGCTATCATGTGCATTTTATATCAGCTATTTCTCATACCACGACTTAGCCGCCATGCAGATAGTTCTGATCCAACAGGCTCGAGAGCTTCCATCTCTAGGGCCTGGATGCTGTGATGTTCACTTGAAAGCTCGTTGTACCTCTCACTTGGAAGCTCGTACAGCGCCAAGCTATCCGCATGTAATTGTGCTTTCTCTTCCAGTGTATCTTCCTTCTTTTCCTCCGTCGTAGTTACATAGGGTCGCCTTTGTCTTCTACGCCATATCATAAGAAATGCGAGAACCGTACAAACCATGAATAATGGCCCTAATACCGCGCCAGCTATCCAAGTAGGTCTCTTCTGTTCGACAACAGGAATGTTTGTAGGAGTACTCGTTGGGGGAGAGATTAATCTGTCTGAATCCAATTAGCAATGGCTACTAAGCTTCCTAGTCTCTTTACTAATTGTGGTGCTAGAACCTATCTCGGAAGCATTCCTCGTCAAATACAATGTCGTTGAAAGTGTTGCCGTACTGAAAAGTCCCAAGCTTGAGGCTGCCGATTGAACGCTCATAATATACGCAGACTCGCCTCCGGGCGAGGCCCCGCAGAAGCTTAGAAATGGTTCAAACTCCGGAACAATATATGTCGTCTGAGATTGCGTGAGGTTAACGGCCGAGTTCTTTACAACGCAAAGGTTACAAAAGTCAACGTCTACAAGAAATGCAGACCCATCGGCACACAGCGCTGGTGATTTCCCAACCCGCTGCGCCTCGGTGTAAGCATCATCTATGGACGACATTAGATATACCATCTAAGCTCTTAATATTTGACGCTAGAGAATCTAAGACTTACTACATTGTGCAAAACAGACTGTCGGAACGGAGAGGACATTCTGTCTTTTGGAATTCCCAACCAGTTTAAATGCTCCTAGGATTATTCGACGAGCCAGAGACATGATGCGATAGGGATTCTTTAGGCGTACTGGTCCGTATTAACCTTTATCTTCAAGTTTGACGTTGATTTCACAAGCCTGTGAGACTCACCTGAGCTGTGTTTTTACTCTGAGTGGGGATGCCATGACCACATAGTTTTGGGTGTGAGGCTCTGGTAGTAATACAGGCCACCACAAATGTGAAGCACTTAACCGTAACGAATCATATCATGGTTTACAACCGCCGGGTATGGTTGCATCATATGCTGTCTTTCCATGCACGTTGTGATTGATTGATAGGATCCTTATTGGGGGCCGATCGTCAAGTTCGAATCGCACAATAGTCTAAGTTCGGATGAGACTACCAGTCAGGTCGCTGAGTCCGTGAAAACTGCTGCCGTGCTATGAATAATCTCATAAAGGGGTTTGATCTACAGATCACCAACGCTGTCCCAATCCTGGGGGTGAGCGAACTTTGGGGCGAATTGTGGTAGGAGCGCTGTGAGGTAACACGAAATCTTAACCTACTATGGGTACGTTTGAAATGGAGATACTAATAATCTATTTGAGACTCCAGATAGCAAATTTTAAAGAGGTAGCTCTTGGTCGCTATCATAAGTATATCTTGCTGCACAAACTGTACCAGACCACACAAGACCGAAGAAATAAACCCTCACCTATCACGCCAACATCAATACCTCTAAGATCGGAGATTACGTGAAGAACAATTCGTCTTTGACTTTGCACTGATTCTGTCCCTATTTCTGAACGATCTTTACATCTATGGTGTGAGGTTCGTGTTAGTATCGAGTATCCGTCACATTATGCTACGTAAAGGGAAGAGTCCTGAACATTCGACGAGTGGTGTAAGAGCCGAAGTAAGAGCGCTTCATTTGATTCAATTTCTAATAAGTAAGATGCTAACTAAAAAATTTCAACTGCCGAGTCATTCCTTTTTCTGTACCAATTTTTTCAATGATTCAAATAGTTTCACTTACTGCAGTAAACTTTTCGAGTTTCTTTCCAAAGAGATGACGCCCAAAATATCATTTCGACCCCTACAATTCTAGACCTTTAGAATCCCACAATAGATTTTGCAACACCTCGCCAATCACCTGTGTCCGCACGGGTTTCGACTTTCTTGTCATAAGGAGAGGAGTGGGCAAGGCGACAGGCGTTTTCTTTGAATTCTGACTAAGATATATCTTGGGAATCTTGATCGGAAGATTAGCTGGGAGCTCTATTGAAAGTTTATTGCGATACTTACTTGGGAAGCGGATCATGCTCGAGTCACATTGACAGGTAGATCAGCTGGTACGACTGGTGGGATGGCTGGTGCTGGTATTGGAAGTGCAGGTACCATTGGTGGCCCTGCTGGAACACTTGGGATGCTGAGACTTGCGAGACCGAGGATGTGTGCTAGAGCTCCGCGGATGAGAACTTCGACGTTGGGGATGATGAATTGTTGTCTTCGAAAGTTAGTAAAGGTACACTTTACCATCAGCGTGGAAACTTACAATTGATCCAACAAACTTTTCGCTTGTGGCGGCGTTGAAGCCGGTGTACCGTTAATCAGAACTGCCTCGAGTCCATATTGCGTCGACGAGAATAAATTCAGATCAGATGTTTGTGGCATACCAGTGCTCGATTCTATCAAGCTATTCTGTGCGGGAATGGAAGCTTTGATAGCTGCCACGGCTTTAGTAGCCAAAGAGTTGATATCCGCTTGTGTTACATTGCCTTCTAAAACAGTCAAGATGTCTGAAAGGGTTTGGATGAGCGCGAGGAGTAGAGCGACGAGTTGTGGGAGCTCGGTTACGGCGGGGATTGGAGAAGGAAGCACCACAGGTGGAGCTGGGATGTCGGTTGGCGTTGGAAGGATGGCGGGTGTTGAGTTGGTGGCGGGTGTTGAGTTGGATGCGGGTGTTGGGATGTCGACTGGCGGTGTTGGGAGTCCTGGTGGGAGAGGAGGGAGATTGACTGGTGGAGTTGGAAGTTCTGGTGGGAGAGAAGGGGTGACTGGTGGGGTGATCGGTGGAAGCGGTAGAGGCAGTGGTAATGCCGGAAGTTTTGCTGGTGATGTTGGAGGAAGGATACCTGCTGGTTGGGACTGTTAGATTGATGGAGAATAATTTGGTCGGTTTCTGCTTTTACCTGGCAAAATCCCAGTTGGAGCAGCAATAATTGGCGTTAAGCATAGTGCTACAACAATTGCAGCGAATGTTGATTGAATTGCCATCTTGAAAATACGATTATTTGAAAATTGAGCTTGTAGCGAGGAAATAGCTATCCTTCACTTTTCTCTTTCTGTCAAAGCAGGAACATATATATACGACTGTCGTTGATCCCTTTCCACGCCTAGGAATGCGTCTCTCTCTCACCCCATCGCGTGGTTTTTGGTACATCTATACTGTTTCTATACTACACATGATGCTGATGGGCTGGTCTGCGCAACAGCATTCCAGACCAGGCGTTCCGTGTTGTTTCATGTGCTTCGCGGTTTGGAAGGGGTTGGAATGGAGCGGAGTCGTGTTCCGTAAATTACGCGTAAATGACTTTCAGAATATAATTGAACTCCAGAGAACGCGTTTAGTACCACGCTTGACCTTTTTATAAGTGATCCCGCTGCTACCAAGATCTAGATGAGATCGGGAACTTTAGGAGAATGAATAAATTTTCACTTCTACTACCTAATTCCAATTGCCACTGACTCATTATGAAAGTCTCTTATCAACTGTTTTCTTCGCTTATATTGACGTATTTGCATTAATCCACCAGATCCCTCAATAACAACTTAGTATTGGCACATACTCCAACACCAACAAATTCAATTGCCATAATTTTCTGCGTTTGTTTATTTAATCACAGATATTCATTCATACTATATTTATGTTAGTAAACCAAATGATTGTCTAGAAGGTCATGTACAGTTCGCATCCGTGCGCACAAGAAAGGGGGGGCAAAGTTCAATTAAGCGAGCCAAGACTATGGAATCTAAAGTACAGTATCCCTCCTTTACAAGATCGTCATGTGCGTAAGGCCGATCATTCCAAGGTTGATCTGAGGTAATACTCCCCATCTAGATGACCCGCATATCGATCCTTTATGGTCGGAGAGCTGCAAGATGAACCGTAGGCGCGGCAGCTCTACTGGCAAGGTGGATTATGTCGCTCGCTTAATTATGAAGTGCTGAAGTGAGATTTATTCTATCTTATCCACAATTTGGGTTTAATCTATCAACGTTTGTCACAACATGATATCGTGTTCAAAGATAGGCCACAGTAAAATAAACTGCTCACCAACAGGGAATAACTGTGTCGATAGGATCTTATGCCTCATCAGATGATGCCTTTGGGATCGTTAGTAACTGAGACCCAACACAACTCCCAACGCATCCGTAGTGATTATAGCGCTTACGGGTTTCAGCGTAATCTATATCTACAAGTAAGCTCTTGAATAGGACCCGATGGGTGTGGCTATGTTCGCTTCATGGGCTACAGGTACGGCTAGCGTTTAGCGAGTGCCTTCTTTAGCCGAGTACAGCTTCGAAACATCCCAAGTACAACGGTAACTTCGGTACTTACCTAGGTACCGTTGAAAAACAAGCAACAGCTTGAAGTCTAGATTGGAAGGCAATAAATTGGTGTCTTGAAAATATGTCGGATTTTGTACGCGCTCTATCTCGTTGAAAGGGAACTATCAACCACGTCTGAAAATAAGATAGTTGAAGAAACCTGCATCAAAAACAAATTGATATGAATGAATTTACAGCATGTCGACATCAAATAACTATGTTGGCTTTAGTTTGGGAGGAGTTTCCTCTGAAAATGTCAATGGTATCTAAATCCTATGCCATTGCCTCAAATAACATCAAAGTATCAGATAACAATCTAATACATTAATCAATATCAGCCCTAATCAGCGGAGGCAAGTCACCTCCTTGGCCACTGGCAAGACTTGCTGCATTCATAAGCCCCTCGACACTTGGAACCATTCTGTCGTTCCTGAAATATGTTAGTTTATTGCTATGTCCTATCGAAAAGGACTTTTCTTACCAGATAACGCCCATTTGTGTTACGGTATTAAAAAAGGCTTGGTCGGTTAATCTGGCAAAATCAACAGCCGCATTCGGTGTCCCCTCTAAAGCCTTGATCTTTCCATAGAAACTCTCGTCCGTAACGTCTACGGTGGAAGGCGTTACGTCTATAGCTCTACCGCTGGTGTCGATAACTCCATGTCTTGAGATTTCTAGGTTTGAGAAGATTGCGTCGTCGTGATTGCTACTGCCAACTGTTACTTCTACAAGCTTCCTTCGGAGGAAACCAGTAGGAGCAACAATCAGAAATATGTCGTCGCAGACTGGTCCGATTGGCGTCCGTTTGTCTTGGATGGCTGGATCTCTGCTGATTTCGACTATACGGCCGACTCGGACTGTGATTTCGTTCGTGGAGTTGCTGAGATCTTCGATGAGCATGTTTACGAGGGAGGTTACAGCTGGATCTTGGCGTTTGATGAATGATGATGAGATAGATGTTGGTGCTGCTATAGTTGAATGAGAAAGTAGAAGCAGGAAGAAGAGAGTAGCAGCATATTGAATTGACCAAAACATCTTGAAGACGAAATTTATTTAGGTTGTCTCGGTATGAAGAATAGAGCAAGAAACAGGAAGTGTTGTAATAATTTGTTTGAATCTTTTCGACTAGACTCCATAGCTTATATGTGTGTTCGAATCTTGCGGCAAGTCTCTAACCAGCCTAGACGAAGCGATTAGTGCCACGTAACTTCCGGGCCGGACTTCCACCACATGTCTTTCGGACCAACCCGTTTGCTCTTCACGTTGTTTATTTTGTTCGTTCAATGATGGTTCTTGTGTGACAGACGGTCGCGTTACGCGCTGTTCCTCATGCGCTTGAAGATGTGGCTGTGCTTCCGGGAGTTCTGCAGCCGCGCGATGGAACCCGCGTAAGCGCTATTTTTGTTGAAGAATGAGTGCAGTGTATACCTCTCTCATTAAAATGAGTTTTTTTTCTGTCGTGGGTTTATCTGAGGATCTTGGTTCCTTTCGTGTTAAATGTAATAGTTGATTTGTTTCAAAGTCTCTCGCTTATGTCTATTTATACAATAACCAACAGTCCTCGAATCCAGAGCCAACAAGTAACAAATCCTTCATTAAAATCCCTTGCTCTCAATCAAATTCCAACACCAGAAGACCTGTTCTTACAAGAAGGGTTTCTGAAATACCACAAATAACCTTTTACTCCATAGTCATGATTCGAGGTTAGTAAGAATAAGCCCATACCAACCAAAAGGTTAGTTGATTCGGCAACTCGTCCATTTTGCTCAAAATTACTAAACCCAAGGTCTCGTAATACCCTTGGAAATTTGCCACTAATATTCCGCAGACTCCTCAGGAATCTCCTCGTCGGTTTCCGTGGCGGAAGCGGTTGGTGAAGCTTCCGAAGTAGGCTCGCTCTCAGCTGGGACAGTAGTTTGGGACTCATCGATGGCAGTAGTAGTGGGGATTCCTGAGATATCCCCCGCAGTACATTTAGTCAAATCAAGACCCGATTTTTCGGCAATGTCTGCTGGAATTTTGATTTCGGGTATGTTTGGCAGATTAACCGTACCCGTGGCAAGCTTCTCGGCCTCGTCGACCAACACCTTAATAGATGGAAGCACGTCTTTTGATCTGCACGCAAATTAGATCTTATCTTTAAAAGCCACAAGTCATGTTCATGGTACTTACAGCGTACAGGCAACCTTTGAAGCTAAGCCGCGGACCTTGTCTAAGGTTTCTCCACCATTGTTCATCAACTCAAGCGGATCGGTGATATCATCTTTGATATCATTATACGTTTCCTCTACTTCATCCAAGATTCCTTGCAGACTTTCTGCAGCCTTTTTTCCGATTTCTGGAAGGTCTGGTACGGAATCCACGATCTTTTTGGCCAGATTTTTGATATTCCCAAGCCACTTGCCCCCCGACCCAGCCAATTTCACAACATTTATAGCGTCAGTCGCACTTATATCTCCATCGAAGAGGCCCTCTAGACCCTTAGTGAATTTAGTCGCATCTTGCATGAGATTGTTAGCCGCGTTAACGGTTTTGTCATTCTTGAGTTTATCAGTGACGAAAGAAGGCGCGAAAGTAACTTGGGGATTTGGGGAAGGGAGAGCGAGAACTTGAGGAAAAACTAGAGGTGCGATTGCGAACACTGAGATTAGTCCGGTAGTGAGCTGCATGGTGGTTTGTCGAGTATTTGCCAGAAATGACTCGATTATGTGTAAAAGTAAGAGGAAAAAATACACTGAAAGAATGAAGTGAGAAAGTAGATATTGCTGGAAAACGGTTCTTGGTGGAGGACGAGTTCTTATATACTCGTTCTATTTCAAACTCACATGTTGTGCATTTGTTGGTGCAATGGTCATTTTCTTCTCGAACAGTCTCGAGAAGCTCCTGAAGTTGGTTTTTGATGCAAACATCAGTGCAAATGCACAGAAGTTGTTGGTTTGACGATCATTTTCTCTTCACCAACTCGCGAGACTTCCTGATGTTGGTTTTGTGTCTTTTGTACGAGCAAATTTATATCCTGGCACGACTCAATGATATTGTGTTCCTTCTGCCCTCCCTATAAATCAGTCACATGCGAGTTATCCGAAATTTATAAAATCCTGCTTGGATCCTTTGGAAGTTCATCTTGGCAGCATCGAATTGAAATCCGCATCACTGATGTCAATTATGGCATGTGATCCTATTCGCTTCAGTAAGTGCCCGGCAGTAAAACAATCCTTGGCATCTAAATTGACGTAGAAAAGTCTCTTCTAGTTGTGATTAACTGTAAGTATAGCGCAAGTGATAACAAAGATATATGCACGATTGTCTCAACAAAAGAAGAGCACGTTCAATCCGCACATATTCTAGATTTCAAGATTTGCAGGCTAGATTGATCGCGTTAATTCTTCCAGCTCTTATATCAAACCATGGACACTCATATGAGCTTCTGTATTCGTAACTGATCGGTTCCCAGCAAGTAATTGCGTCCTCGTCCCCATTAAGATATTGGTGATTGAACAATTATCGACTAGTCTAAAAGCAATTACATTACAGGGCTTGAAAGCCAAAGCTGTTAGGGACGGTACGCTGGCTCTTTCTAAATTTGTATCATAATTACTCAAACTTTCCAGGCAATGTTCCTGTAATCATAAATGTCCCGCATTAGATTCGGTGGAACATATCACCCAGACTATCGCTTTTCTCAGTCGCTTTGCGGCACTTTCAAAACCTCAATAGTCGGCGCATCCGTGGGTAAATTAACCTTCTGATATGCTGCATTTGCTAAAATTGTGACTTGCTTTACAAGGTTCGAATTACTGTGTATTGTCAGTGTTTAAGTAGTGTGTTCTAGGAAAGTTACGAACATATCGTGTGCCTTTGCAAGTAGATTGTCTTGAACATGAGAAATATCGGTTGGGTTGTCGATTATAAAGTTGTACGTCGAGAGAGGGTTCTTATTATCTTCTGTTTCGGTGACACAGAGTACGCTTAAGCTTGCGTCTTCTCCAGGGTTCGGGCTTGTTACAGTGCCTTCCCCTCCGCTAAGAACAAATAATTTGTTGCGCTGGATGTCAGCATCTAGCGTACAACTGAGTGCTATCCTTGCCAGATCTATGATCGTTGTTTTGTCGATAGGATTTTTGCGATTAAGAAGCTCTGATATTGCACCATTTATTTGTGCAATATCAAGAAAGATATTCGATACAGCTGTGATGACTTGCTGTTGTGACGATAATGGCTCTCTCGGCGTTGGGAGTGCAGTGACGGAAGCAATTAAGAGGGGAACGACAACATTGAAAAGCGAGAACATGTTGGTCAGATTATACGTTCTTGAGAAATATTTAAACATATAGATTGGTCGATGTTTTGAGAAAAAGAAGGAAAGTGAAGGATTTGAATACCAGAGAAATATCATGTGTTTGTATCTGAATGTTTCTTACCAACTTCACAAGATGTTTCAATCCCTGATATCTCAAAAGTTTCGGTACCTACCACGCAACCAGATTCTTTAAATAGTATCAGAGTGAAATTAGAAAATACCAAGGCGGTTGAAACGAAGCTATGAGCGCTTGCGATCACCGCTGACAGTGCTGACCATGCGGCAAGCGCACTCGCCAAATGTTGGTGGTACTGTCGTGAAACAAATCATCTTGAATGCCATCCAATGGATCAGTCAGAACATATAATTGGCAGGCTGAAAAGCTCTCTCACTATCTATGAAGGTCGACCTCAATGTTTAACCACAGATATCTTGTGGTGGCTGCATTTACAGTTAATGGAGTCTGATCACACACAACCTTTAGGCGCTTTTGGTTTCGGACCAGTCGTCAAGATTTGGTTTTGAATTTACGAGACTTCAGAAACTTGCAAGTACACTAGTGTAAATTGACTAGGCTCGCTGGAATTCTTTTGTGCTGAATAGGGCAATTTACAACCAATGGAACCTCTGACGAATGAGAATTGGATCGAATAACAATACATGGAATAAGCCACTAAGCATTCCTGGACACAACACTAGATTTTAAAGAGCCATATGTTTGCTCTTTGCTTGTTATCGAGCTTCAAAAGCGTAATAGTATCAATATATCTAGTATTAAGTTCCGAGAAAGTACGCTGAAATGAAAACCATTGAGATTACACTAGATGCAAGACGGTATTTTGGCATCTAAGTGACGATGGCTCTAACAGCCATAATTCTTGGGAATGTTATACGCAAATCATTTCCTCTGAATCCCTTAATCAGTACCTTTGAAACGATTATTATTCTTCTTCTTTGTCGCTTTGTTGCATGTGGTGCAATGGGTCAACTACTCAACAGCCGGTGAGTGCGTAAGTTTGTCAATACATCGTCTTAAAATAGGAAAACATCTCTTCTCTTGAAGTATCTTTTTAGGATCAAAACGTAAGTGCTCACACTCTTTCAAAATAATTACTTAACGTGAACTCCATAAAAAAAGGGATCAAGTTTTATCAAGCTTAGAATTGGGACATTTGACTTTACAGGAGCATTTGAAAGATCGGGACGAAACCAACTACTAGTGTTCCGAAATATCTTCAAAGCTAATTATACTATAGCACCCAGTCCTCCAAAGGCGCAAAGACCAATTTGGAGCGAGTTACCCTCTGGAAAAGTACCCGCATCCAATCCCAGACCTGCAGCTTTCTGAGCTTCGATAATAAGAACCTTAAGCGCCGGATAAATGGTTTTATTCCTGTGGGACCACGTTAGAAACGGCGTAATCAAGTGTACAGAAAATGAATAACTCACAGTAAACAAAGAACCAACTTAGCGTTCTTCCTCGCCAGCGCCACGTCTGTAGGGTTTGCTACTACAGCACCAAGTGCGTCGGTGACCAACGTCAACTTCTGAGCATTTCCGTTTGCGTCAGCTGCAACGTGGGAGGGAGGCTTCAACCTTGCAAAAACTTGCGAAGAATCTGACTGGAGACCTCTGGCCATAGTCAAGCCCACTGCAGCGAAGTTTTTGGAGAAGTTTGGGTCGTTCTCAATGGACATCTTTTTCATGTAATCCGTGAGTTGTTGCGCTGAATCTCGCATACTTGGTGCCTCGTAAGAAATTACATCTTTAGAGGAGATGGATGCTTGACTCCCGATTTGATGTGTGGGAGAAGAAAACACCGGATTAAAAAGCGAAAAAATGAGGAGGGCGAGAGTGAGTAGAGCCTGAATAGTGAAATACATGCCGTTGTTAACTTAGAAGCAAGAAAAGTCAGAAACTTAAAATATTATGGATGAAGTAATGGGGTAACGAAGAAATAGTTATTGAATTTGGTCAAGAACGTATTTAAAAGATTGATTGCCCGCTAAGTGGGTGTTTTACCGTTATAAGTTAAAGGTCTCATTGAACCAAAAAAAGAATCCCGCTTCGGGTTATCAGTCAAAGAAAGCAATGACACATGGCGAACAAACAAAGCCAAGCCTCAGCTGAATTTAGACCATTGTTGGCCTAGTCTTCCAACCAACCGGGATTTTCGGAAGTTAGGATCGAGCCCACAGGGAGAACAAAGCGTGTGGCTAGTTTCATTTCATACTAGTGCTGTTTGCCTCCTAGTATATTCCAGTACTCCTTCCTTTGGTCAGATTGAATCGTGTAAGTAGGCACCTTCTATAAAGAAATTCTGGTTTACTCAGCTCATAGTCAAAACCCCTCAAAAAACACCTGCCAATTGCTAGGGCTCAATGCATGACGAAAAATTAATAATCATAATTTTTGTATTTTAGATATCCTGTAAATAACTTACCGCTATTTGCTGCGCATAATTTCTAGTTTGTTAGGGTAACAAGACCGAAGTGGGTCAAGTCAATTAAGCCTTCTTGCTTTGTTCTATCTATAGCCTGGTATAATCACCATAACTTTATACACAATAGCAGTGATTATGATTAAGTTTTCTGCGCATCATCTATAAGCAGCTGTTTATTGGTTGGGGTGAATAAGGACTAACAAAAGTAGCTATTCGTCTAGAATTTAATGAGGTGCTTTGCCGGTTGCTAGGCTTCTCGACATGCGCGAGCGAAATTACCGGCCGTCAAGTGGAGGGATAGTTGTCATGTTATTCGGTTAATGAGTATAAGATCTGATTTTCGGTAGAAAGAGCATCCGAAGAGACTCACCGGCGAACTTGGAATGTATGTTGTGCTATTAAGGATAAACCCTTTTTGTTGGATGCTTCATATGTCCCAGCAGGGACTCTCGACCGAATGTGGCAGAGCGGTAGGCGATATTTAGCCATCTGATGATCTGATTGGAGCAGTGATACCTCCAATCATTCACACTTTCATAAAATTCTGCATGATAAACAATTGTGTGACACTATGATTTGTAGACCACGACTGTGTGACTAAAGCAAAATGCCTGATAATTACTAGCAAACATCCAATTGTAAAATACGAATGCAAATGATCTGAATAATCTATGCATAAAAGCAGAATTTTTACACATACTAAGTCTGTTGTCAAGGGGCAATACCCTTCTCACAAATCCCATCTACCTATATTAATGAAGACCAAATGACCCCACGGGCGAAAGTCCATAATAATGATAATATGTACCTGGCTCAAATCTTTGTTGGAGCAGGTACATTATTGCCTACAGTGATAGTAACGTGACTCTGGAGCAATGGAATCCCATTTGAATTGGGACCCTTTGCGCTGACAGCAAAGGTCTCTGAATGTAGTGTGAACAATTCAACGTCACCACCTGGGATCCCCTGCTTCTCGATAGCATCCTGAACTAAGCAAATTACATCGGGGACTTCTGTTATGTTCCTATAACACATATCAGCACCCAAAAGTACTTCCCAAGTACAAGATTTTAGCATGCGTACCATTGTCCTGTAAGTATAGGAAATTGAACAGTGACTGAATCAACATTTCTTGCTACGGTCTGGAGCTCTTGTTCAATAATTGAGAGAACAACTTTGAGCCCGGCTGTAGCTTCAGAATTATGGTCGAATACTTTCGTGCCAGCGGATGGGTCGGCAGCCAATGATAAAATATTCTTTTGAGCGAGGAGATCACCGGAAAGGGTTTGAGCTTCTGCAAAAACTTGGTCGAGCTCTGCAGTGGCGTTCTCACTGCTAACAATAGTGCTGATAAAACCGGACATCTTGACCATTTGGTTAGTCACTTCTTTGATGGTATCGATAGTGCTTTGTGTATCGACGGTACTTTGTCGTGTTACCGACCGAGACTTTGCGAATACCAAGCCAATCGAAAGAAAAATTATTCCGTAGGAAAGACGCATGTTGAAGATGTGAGGTTGATTGATATGTGAAGTGATAATAACAAGGATAAAGGTGGGTTTGGAAAGAGTTTCGGCCTTGGTATGATGATATGTGATGTTGATACGGAGAATAAATGAACAAGATCTCAAGGTGATTGATGCCAGGAGAATATGAGAAAGATCTATTGTATTTAAGAACACTTCACTTTTACTGGGCTATGTCGTCCGTGTTGGTTTCCATAGCTTAATTGTCTTGTGCAAGGCGCCGGCTTACCCAACAACCTGTTGGTAGACCATAGTCATTATTAATAGATGTTCTTAATACAAGTGGCTGGAAACAAAACCAGCCTCACCCACCTAAGACATAACCAACCATTGGAGTACCGTTTGTAGAGTGCGATCCGCCGGGTAGGGCTACCATAAAATGTGAATTTCTTAAAGGACTAGAGACGGTTTTACGACCTTGCAGGACCAGAAGCGCACAAGCACTCGATGTCGTCTTACATTTCGTGGGTATAGAATCTTACTAAATAATCGCCTACTCATCAATACACTGAAATGGCATTCCTCTTGCGGTAGAATTCAAAGTGGCCAACAAACAAAAGACCCAATACAACAACGAATCTATCCAATCTGGAATAAGATTTTTGGTAACTTTCAGCTGTGGCTATCTCCTGCAGAACAAACAATGCAAAATCCTGAACCGCCTCGTGATGTAATCTTCCGAGGGCGTGTGGTTGTTACATGGCCAACACAGCCGCAGCACCAACCGCCAACATCACCCAACATTGGATATATTTGGGATTAGAATCACCACAGCCGAACGATTCACGGATCACGAACAAGCCGAGCTGCGAGCGCAAGAAGCGTTCGTTGACAGAAGTTAATTATAGATAAATGCTCCTTAAATACCATTAAACACCCTCACATCCCAAAGATTATCCCCATTGAATGCGTAAACATGCTTTCAATCCCATCACAGCATCATCTGAAAGTTCAGTTCGATCAATTTGACGTACACAGCGCAGGTGTATGAATGGTAACAAGAAATGTTTGCTGTGTGTTGACCTGAGGGACACCTCCTAGAATCTTCTGCTCATCAACAGCATTTCGTACAAGCTGTTGCATATTTGGCACATCAATGGTATTCCTTTCCACAATATTAGCTAGCTCTACTAAAGAGAGAGATAATACATACCATCTGTCAGCGAGACTGCGGATTGAATCCGAGGAGCCAATAGTATCAACCTCGGCAAAGAATTCGACGATTGAGTTGGTCTCCAGCGAATCCCGAATTTCGACATTATCCGTAGCGAATTGATCAGCAGCTTGGAGTAGAATTTTGCTCTGGATGAGAAAATCGCCTCCGGAGAGACTTCCTTTTTCTGCGAGAGGCCGAGAGAGGTTGATGTCTTGGCAGACCTTTCTCTCCAAGAGACGCGTGATGATACCAGCGATGTCTTCCATATCTACGGATACTAAGTCGATGGCGTTTAAGGTTCTTTGAATATCGGCTGTGCCTTGTCGGGCGTCAAGCTGGAGAGGAGCTGCGAGAACTGAGGTGAGGGAAAGAAGAATCATGGCGGCGGAGAAATGCATTTTGTGAGGTCGACTTTGAGTTTGACTGGTGTTTAAAGTGGGAGAGAGTTGAATTGAATTGAGTAGATAAGGTAGAAGTAAAGATTTGTGTTAAAGAGATGAGAAGAGAGGGCAAGATATAATGATTGGCGGCAATGAAATAATTGAAAAAAGGAGACTTGACAGTAAGAAAGTAGTGAATGGTGTTTTGGATGAGGATAGAGAAAGGAGAGTTCTCGAGGCAAGGCTATTTACTTATACTTTTTCATTACCTCAACTTTCTTGAGGCACTTGAGATTTACTTAACCCATACCAGATAAGCCCAAAATCAATGTGTCTCATTATCGCCTCGAGGAGTAGTTGAATTGGAAAAGCCAAGTCCAGCTCCAAAGAAATACGAGATATCATGGTCAAAAGAAGACATGTCTTAGATAGGATAAAGCTATGAGTTGGACAGTAAGTTGGAAAGAATCTTGGCCAAACGAATGCCTTGAGATGAGCACTTCTCATCGAGTCTTTTGAAGCCGAAGTTGATTGTTAAGATTCTGAGAACCAAGCTGCCCATGCTCAGAGTGCTTGCTCCCAAAGACCAAGTTCAAGATGCACTCGAATGTGAGTCAATCAAAAAAGAAGATGCCTCACAGAATCCTGAAGCTAGGTTCTCGTCAACGTTCTGGCTTAGAAGATTGAAGTAATGTGGATAGCTAATTTGGAGATGATATGTTCAGCGGCCGACACCAACTTTTATGCGGCGTATGGCTTCCAATGTGCTGCTGACTGCAGTAAATCAATGAAATAGCAACAATCCAAGCGCGATACGTGACGTGGCTATCATTCCGGAGAGCTGTCGACTTATTAAGCAGCACTATGTTTCCATCCACACTCCCCGGATGTTCTAAGACATCGGGACTGAAACACATAAATCTCAATCCATTCGACCAATGTGGTGCTCGAGTACGACCAAATGGGATTTTCCCGGTTGGCTTACAGGCAACAAACATGTTGGTGGAGGTATAATTGGGATGAAAAACAAATTGAGAAGACACAGGACAGTCGGTTTGGGGATGCTCAATCTATTCCGTTGGCGAGTGAGACCATTCAGCTGTAAAACTGGCCTATCTGTGGTTCATCTTTGAAACAACAGGCCCCATCCCTTGATTTTTGTGGTATCAAAATCACACAACTTTAACATATCCCAGACTACTGTGGTCACGGTATCGAAGACCGGTACATGATGTCGCTTTTCCCAATGCTCGACCCTGCGTGCGGCAACCAAATTCGTACAGAACGTAGTGATTGCATCAACTTTGTTGCCGCCAATTACATCTTCGAGAGAATCATCGAGCACTGCTTCTGAAACCTCAGCGATATCGCAATTCTTCTCAATTCTTAGGTGCTTTTCTGCGCTTCCAATCTCAACACCAATCGCCTTGTAATTTTGTATGATCTTTTCTTGTACGTCATCCAAGTACGGGGTGACAAGAGCGAGCTTTTTGACTCCCCATAATTCCAATGCCTTGTTTAGACCTACAATACTACTTGTTGCTTTTATGCCTGTCGCCTTTTCGATCTCGTTGCATAACAGCTCATCACGGTCGAATCCTAGCCAGCCTGCAGATGTACCAGACCAGCCTATGACATCGACTTGGGCATGCGCGAGGAGGGTAGCTGCCGCAAGTATAGGAGGAAGATCGAATTGTGCAAGGCCGGATGGATCGAGGGAGATCTTAGTGACCGGGAAGCGGGAAAAGTGTACAGTTATTTTGACTGGATTTGTACTGGTAGAAAGAGCTATGTTGATATCGTTTATCATACTGAAAGTAAGTGGCTCCAATGCTGTGTTAGATGACGGAACCAATATGCCGAGTCGAATGATTCTTGGAGTCGCCATATCGAAGGAGGATAACTGGAAAGAGCCGAGCAAAGAAAGATGTAACGCAGGCTGGGAACTAAATGTGATTCTCGTTGAGCACTCTAAACCTACCTGGCTGCCTGCAGCTTGAAATGTCGTCTTGAGTCTATCACCGATAGTGGGGTGTTTGTTGATCGGAGATCCTAAACCCATCATTGGGAATGCTTTCGGGTATGTCTTACATACTACCGACTAATTCGGAAAATGTTTGATATGTTCCATGTCTCAGGAAATTGCCAGAAGCTCGCGCGAAAGCGATGTTGTTTGCCCAGGCGGAATATCAAGATATAATAGTTCCTTACTTTGATGTGAAGATATGTCAGGGAGTGACATATAATGCGTTCAGGTAGCCAATCGAGCTATAGAAGCTAGACGATCCTTTATGTTCCCTCGTTGCTTCTTCAAAAAGAAGTGATAATGCGTCGACTCTTGGTACTAGAAATATAACGCGTTGGTTGTTGTGATCACCGCGTTGTCCGACTGCCCAATTTGTGCATGCATTTTGCTTCATTTTCATCAGCGGCACCTGCTCAACAGTATGGAAATCGATTCTGGTCATATTGCCGCAATTATCTTCTAGTCTGAAGATGTATATTCTGTAACTCTTCGTGAGTCGGCGCTTGAGATTGCGTTTGTGCTCTTGGAGGTCGTGCAAATATCCACCAACACCTCGGACGCCAAGACCAACAATCATCTGACTTCATAGAGCGCTTCACCCCTCCTCAATATAATGTAAAATGCCAGTTTTTCGAGGTGATCATCATCCATGTCGCATTCGTCGATATTAGCTCGAGTCTCCTAATTTTTGTGTTACTAAGATCAAGCATTCAAAAAAATTGTCACGTGACCTTGTCGCAACCTCTAACTATTGGCAAGAGAACGGTCCTCATATCGAAATAGGAAAGCTATGGCCATTGGCTGGATAGCGGTTTCTTATTGGATTTGATTAGCAGAAGTCGAGGATTGATTGAAAAACGGTTAGAGGAGTTTGTACAATGGCTGTAACCGGTATTGTATATTGACATCTGACGGAGTAAATTGGGTTTGGTTTTTGATTTGTTCTTTGACTGAGCGCCCAGAAGCAAAGAAATTCATAATACATTAACAACCTCATACATACAACTGAGCAAAGACATGTCCTAAAATTACAAACGTACGCCTTCTCTACCACTTCCTATCGCGCAACTTAAGCACCACCCTCCCTCTTAGCATACTCGTCCTCCATCCTTTCCTCGTAAAGCTTCTCCGCGGCCTCCTCAGCACTCATGCCAGTCCGTCTCCCTTCTCCTCTATCTTCCTCTGCCTCTTCCCCCTTTTCAGTAGTTTCCCGTGCAGGAATCTCATTGGAGGTCACTTCATTTGCTTGGGTTGAGGAGTTTGATGGTGTTTCGGTTGTGGGTTGGGTGATGGATGTTGGGATTGGCATGGTGTTTATGTGATGTGTTATTTGCGTAAGACGAGATGAGGTTATTGGATTTGATGTGAGAGGTTGAGGATGTGGTTGTAATTGAGGCATTGTTGGTATGAGTGAAGTGAAGAGGGGGGGTTTTATAGAGGGAATTGTGGCGAGTGTGTGGCGCAGTCGTCATTGGAGGTGCCAAGTGGGGCAACATCGTGACTTTATTTCATCCACTTTCTGACTTCCTTGAATTCAAATTATTGTGACTGATTTCTGAAGATGACTTTGTTACCATGATTTTTTCAATCCGTTTAAACAATTATGAAAGTCTAATATCGATTCTGAAGGAGCCGAAATGGAGAAGCTACCTGGTCGAAGCATGACAGGCTATGACAGCGTAGTGTTTAGCAAGCACCTGTTCAATAGCAGTAAGTCATTGCTAGGAAAGAGGTGTAAGAGTAAAGACTGTTATTTAAACCCAATGCTAAAACATTCCCTCCTCCTAATTACCCACCGTGATCAAGAACACACCTATCAAGCGGAAGGAACTCCAAATCCAAGCCTACAACCCTACTCCAAACCAAAGAAACACCCTCAAACCCTTCCGCCTAATCCCACTTCTCATTGACGATATTAGTGTCTTAGCATTCACACGCTAGCAATTAATCTACAACATTAACACAATTCCCAGACTCAACAACCCTATGACCCTTGTGCCACCCAATTTCGAAAACACATCTAGCTCTTGCCTTCACGACCTTGCCATTCTGCACAGCACTCAGATCCCATCCATGGAACACCGTTCCAGTCTTACCCTCAGTATCTTTCGGGATGACTGCAAATTCTTGTTTCAAAATGACGAGGCTGGTGAAGGTGTGGCGTTGCATGAGCGTGAGCTTGAGGAGGGAATCATAGTCTTTCGGTTCGCCGTTGATGCTGTGTGTGGTTAGTTTGATGGATTGGAAGTGGAAAGGGGAGACATACAGGCCCTCAAAAGACTTGGGGACGTTTTTCTCGAGCGTTTTGCGGAAGATAGCGTCCGAAGGTTGGACGGAGAGGTCGTAAAGGAGGGTTTGAAGGTAGGATTCGAGGGATTCGAGATCGCTGGGTGGGTTGAAAGACATTTTGAGATATTTATATGTTTGGTAATTTGTGAATTTGTGAATTGGTAGATTGATCTTCGTTATAATGGTGGGATAACTTGGAACTGTTGTCGAGAGTATAGATGGGGTCTTGGAGGGGTTCTTATACTTGGAGGATCCTTAGCGAGATCACTTCTCACCGAAATATCTTTCGTACCTAAAAGTTCAATTCTTGATACGTCAGATGCAGCTGAGATTATTGGTCGAAACTCAATGTTTGGTAGAATATACCGAATCTACCCGCCAAAATTGTCAATTTATCTCACATACAAAAACATCACCTCAGCCATTTCGAACAACCAAATCATCATAGTGGCTGAGCCCTTCTAAGTCTCACCCTAAATGGCCAGATGATCAACCAGTAAGATGTTGTTTGTTGGAGTTCGCTCAGTCACGCTTCCAAAATCGACGTCAAGAACATAAGCTCTTCGCCGAGACATAAAATCAGCGTGCTCACACAAGATAAAGCGTAAGCTTTAAGTAAGATTTACGACATTTTGAAGCGAGATCCGAACTTCAATCTGGGTTTAAATATGGCCCCAAAACTACGTTCCAACGCGACAGGTTAGGTTACGAGTAACCTTGAAATATTTCGACCTTTTCTAAGCGTTTATGAGGCGCAATTTGATATCATCTGATGAAGGATGTTGTAAACTCGTAGTCTTACTGAATTGATCATTCCTCTATCTATGATAACCTGCTCAATGTTAACGTACATCTGCTTTCAATTTATCGTCATAGATTTCTCACTTTGAAGTTTGAGCAGTCGGCAAGGTCGAAGCTTGGAAGATATTCAAGATAGCAACTGGGTACACATCAGGCAAACCCCAATTTCCAGTCAAACCTGGGAGACGCCAATGATCAAACGCAACGCCTTTTAGTCTCGAAAGCTGAGAAATGCTGAGGCACAAATATAGTGTTTTGCGGAGATCAGGAATTCCCGTCATCTGACACGAGTATTGTGCTCTCGTAGGTTTCGTCGAGGTTTCAGCAAGACATAGCTTCGCCGCAGAGCTGACTGCGGTTGTGAGGGGTTATCTTAGTCTATTACCGGGTTATTTCGTTGGAATAAAGTTATTGTTTTTAGAAACTTACCTTTAGAGACATTAACTCCAGTAGTCGCAAATTGATGCGTTTCAGTGCTTGAAGGAATGAGTTTTACTCATCAGCTTTCCCGAGTCGTATTTGTGACTTGAACTAACTCATCCCCTAGTGGTCTGACATCTGGACTCAATTACCAACGACTAGATTCGCTTACTCTCCATACTGTCTTGAAAGTACAAGTAGGTACGATATTAACCGCAACTGACGGCTTGCATATCACCTTCACGGTTAACTTCAGTACTTTTAGTGTGTAGAAGTACCTGCATGAGATAACGTTTTCTAGGCACCGATTCCGTGCAGTAATTTTCGGTTCTTCCCCGCAAAGCTGACGGGTTTTCAGTAATTGGCTGGTATTCCAACCAAAGAGGGCGGTCATCAATTGACTCATTCCAACAAAAAAAAGGTCGGCCGCTTGCTATTGGCCTGTGACAGCGAGGGTACATACGTAAACTCTCCTCGCGAGTTATCTTACCATTGGTTGATATTTCGAAAGGATGATAGAAGTAGCTGACGGCATTTGCAGGATCAGTATCTGCAAGGCTGGAGCTGCTGGTAGTCCTGTACTGATCCAACATTCGGTCTCATCCTCAACCGTACTTCGCTTTTACTCCCATTACTATTTTCCTCAATACTTCCAGTACTCTACTTAGACACCGCCAGATTAACCGATTTGACGACATCCACTATATGTCTTCCTCAGACACCTACGATTACATCATCATAGGTGGCGGTCAATCCGGCGTAGTCGTAGCCGCAAGATTACACGAGGCACACCCTCACCTATCAATTGCCCTTCTCGAAGCCGGTCCAGATGAGTCTCATAACCCAGCCGTCTTGTCTCCCGTGCTTTATCCAACTCTGCATGGAACGCCACTTCAGTATAGCTACCAAACGACGAAACAATCGCAGTTGAATGGAAGAGAGATAACTCATTGGGGCGGTCGGTTATGTGAGTAGTAATTAGGAATTCCGTATCCTTAGTTTCCTTCTGCTCATGGCTTCGGACAGCTCTTTAAAATGCACGATAGATGCGTCGGGAGCTATAGAGAAGAGGCTGACTAGATTCTATCGTCAGTATCAGGAAGCAGCGCCATCAACTACGGTGCTTGGACTCGTGGAAATGCAGCCACATTCGATGCGTGGAGCGCCCTCGTTGACGACGAACGTTGGTCATACAAAAGCTTAACACCGTTTTTCCAAAAGTCCGAGCATTTTCATGATGCTGATGCTGACACTTCTCAACATGGCTTGTCAGGACCGATGCACACGTCTTCGGGAGGCCGAGACTATGCTCTCCGAGAGCCAGTCAAAGAGGCATTGCTCTCAACTGGCGCGCCGTTTAATTCTGATATGAATGATGGGGCTCCTAACGGTTTGGCTCGACTTGTGGAGAATTGGCACAATGCTTCCCGCCAGCACGCTGCTATCTGTTACAGCCTCGATGGAGTGCACGTGAAAACAGATACAGTCGTCTGTCGTGTTCTTTTTGACGGGAAAAAGACCACAGGAGTTGAACTGACTTCCGGCCAGACGCTCACTGCTACCAGAGAAGTCATCATCAGCTGCGGGGCTCTACGTACCCCACAACTCCTCATGCTCTCCGGTATTGGGCCTGCTTCCGAAATAAGTCGTCTTTCCATCGCCCAAGTCGTTGACCTGCCTGTCGGTCAAAACCTCCACGATCATGGCAGTGTCAACATAGCATTCAAACTCAAAAACCCAGCAGCAGGCTATGCCGTCGGCTCCCCATTATTCAACAAACCAGAATATGCCACCGGAAACCCCATGGACTGGATCGTCTCCGCTGCTGCTCCAGACGCCGATTTAGAGGTTGCGGCAGCGAAAGACGGGACCACTCATACGCCAGTCCCCAGTGGGGGTAGCCGTACTGACTACGAGGTAACTGTGATGTATGCTTCCACTGCTCCAGAGATTGCGCCTATGGACGGTAGTCATATCACCGCGGGCGTGTTGTGTCTTTCACCGACATCTCGCGGGACAGTCACATTGTCATCGACCGATCCAAAAGACAATCCCATCGTTGACCCTCAATACTTCACTACAGAACATGACCGCGCTGTCATACGCGCTGGAATACGTACAGCATTCAAAGCCATGGAATCCGACCCTTTGAAACCATATATCGAGGGCGAGACACCTCCGCCAGGCTTACCAGCGATCAACTCGAATAGTACGGATGAGGAACTAGATGCTCGTGTCCGTGGTATCAGTGCCTCTTGGTTCCATGTAGCAGGGACGGCAAGTATGGGACAGGTGGTTGATGCGGAGTGTAAAGTGTATGGTATTCAGGGATTGAGGGTAGTGGATTGTAGTATCATGTCATTGAGTATTTCGGGGCATTTGCAGGCGCCTATGTATGGCATTGCGGAGGCGGCTGCGGATATTATTGCGAAGAGTGTGTCAATTTAGGGCTGGGGTTTGAGGTTTGTGCTTGAAGCAATCAAGTGTAGTTTGAAAGGAGATTTTATTTCTAAGATGGGTATCTTAATGTTTCCTCGTAGTGATTTGACTGCCTTCTATCTAACTCGGCTGAAGACAAGTTAGCAAAGCGCAAAATTAATCCTCATGAGGAAATTAGGGATCGATTGGTGATCGAAGGATGAGTCTAAAAATTGAAACCCCTGGCGTTGAGAAGAAATATTGAGGTAATGGCCTTGGTGATGTGAGAGGACTCGCGAACAATGTGAGAAACGGGGTTGACATGACCAAGTTCAACAGATTGGTTGATAGAAGACTTATTAGAAAGATTTAAAGAGAGAGCAGATATATTACTTAATAATCCCGATTTCTGTGAAGGAAAAAAAAAGCAAGGCTAAAAAAGATACTTCGCGTATATTAACCAAGGACCGCAAGAGTAATTATGTATTTTTTTCTAAATATATATGCTCTTAAGGTGGGCCAACATAGAGGTAGTAGAATATATTGTATTGGTAACCGTAGGTGCTACAAAACAATATAACTTTAATAAAAATAGAGGCTACCAATTTCTTACTTACCGAATCATCGAGGAGAGTGTGTTTATCCCCGAAACTAGCATTGAGTGAACGGGAATACCAACATATCCATCGAGATGCTGCAGACTCGGTGGGCTCCTTAGCGGCGCGGTACGTAGGAATGAATGCAACCGCAGGAGCGCACGAGGTTGCGAAAGGCTTGCTCCATTATAAGACTAAGGTAACCAAAAAACATTACATAACACTTTCTAGGGCAATGATGAAGGCGTTAGAGAGAAGCTTGGTACAGATTTCGCAATGCTTGGAACGAAGTCCGAATTGGAGCGGTTCCCCAAAGAAAAAGAAATCAAGAAAAACGGTCACGTGACGAGATCACATTTTGTTCTGTGGATTTCTTCTCGACCTTCCTTTTTGGTAACATCCCCACATCAACACTACAGCTTGCGTCCTCAGCGACGAGTACTCCCGCGTCGAGTATGGTGTCCCAGCCTGTTGGTACTTCAATAGCACTTCTGTGAAGCGGTCTCTAATTAATCCAAGTAGCCCCTCGTCATACTTCATATCGGCAGGTCCGCGTCCCAAGACGCCAAGATGCTATATCTTTTCACATGCGGTGCTCACCACGAACGTTACGGTGGCCTGCCAGTTATTTCGTTGACCTGACGAGAATGGTGTCTAATGATCCCTGAAGTCAGTGGTCATCCTACCGCGACCCTGGAGAAAACTTGGCGATACAGTACAGTATCTGCACTTCCGCCCGCGTCGGAATTCTCACGTTGATGGAAGATGGAAGTGCGTTTGGATGGGGCAGAACCGCACTCGTGGTACCGTAGCTTGACACTCGCAGACAGGACAGCAATTATTGCCTCGGAATCTACTGTAGGTTGCTCTAGCTTCGGAGCTAGCCATGGTCCGCCGATGGATGGTCCATTATTTGGGTTCCCTCCTACACCAATCAACATTACAACTATCATGATAAGTCACAGTTACCAAGGCCTTGGGGATCAATTGCAAATCATCGATAAGCTACTGCGAATTTGCGACCGGATTCTCTATCCAAAAAAGACCACACCACACGAGGGCCTTCTTATCTACCCAAGCAGTTTTAGCAGCATCTTGCTAGGCCTCTTGGAGCTTCCCCGGTCGATTCCAGGCTCTGGACGGGTGGGTGGTGGCTAAACAAGGTGGGGGAGCTGCAGGGACCAAGCTCCAACCAAGAAGTCGCGGGGTTCGAGGCAAGCTCCACGAAGATTTCTTGTATATTCTTGAGCGAGATTCCTCAACAATCCTCTCTTCATTGCCCAGCTTGGCAGATCTTGGTCCTGTACAAATACTTGGCCACCGACCCGCGCCTGCCACAGCTCTCTTGAGTTCCTTTCGTTGTTCCTCAGCTTGCAGGACAAATTTGCGAAGAATTGCAAATTTCCATGCGCACAACACAAAATGTCGAAATACAACAATCACTCTACGGGTGTGGACATCCCAGGATCTGCAATGGCAGAGTACGAGGTGGCAGCTGCCGAAAAAGAGCGTGGCAATTTCAATAAAGAAATGCATGATGAAGCTCGAATTGATTCTGATTCAAATGAAGTCAAAACATCCTTCGATTCAACCCATCGCCAGCTCCGACCGCGACACATCCAATTGATTGGTATCGGTGGAACTATTGGAACTGCTCTTTATGTGCAAATTGGACGTGGTTTGATGAACGGCGGCCCTGCGAGTTTATTTATGGCCTTTACAATCTGGTATGTGCTGCTTCAAGGGATTTTCTGTCTGTCACATCGATTCCACAGTGCTTTTGCGCCACGAATTGTTTCAATAGTGCTTTTCAGCAAGGTTTCATTGCCACTGGATTTGTTTTCAAAAACGTCTTTGCAGCATATGATCGAGTACCTAATTCCATCACATCATTGGTTCATGTCATCCAGATTCGGTGTCCCGCTTCTGCGGCATGACCGTCCTGCTGCTCGGAATCATACTGACTATCAACTTATAGGTGTACCTTCATCTTGGCCGTCACAAACGTTAGTTTTCATTGCCACAGCGCCCAAGCCCAAAGCGTCTTCTGAAGAAGAAAACTAATCCCGTGCTGTATAGTGCATGAACGAATTGGTGACATACTTGCCCATATCTTCCCCCTTCATTCGCTTCGCAGGTAGATATGTAGACGAAGCCTTTGGTGTCGCGGCTGGATACAATTTCTTCATTTTTGAGGCTGCGCTTGTTCCCTTTGAGATTGTGGCTTGCAATGTAATCATTCATTACTGGAGCGAAGCAGTTCCCGCCGGTGGAATTATTGCGATCATTCTGGTGGCTTATGGGTAAGAAAATCTTGACGCTTTGCAATTTCTCATACTGACACCTGCATAAGTGTTATCAATATTTTCGCTGTAAAGTGGTATGGAGAATCAGAGTTTGTAAGTTGTTATTTTAATTTCATGTGCAAGTTTGTGCTAATTGATGATTGAAGTGGTTGGCACTCGGAAAGGTTCTTCTCATTGTTGGCCTTATCGGGTTCACATTTGTTACCATGGTAGGAGGCAATCCGTTGGGTGACAGATTTGGTTTCAGGTTCTGGAGAGATCCGGGAGCGTTCGCCGAACTCTATCATACTGGAAACTTGGGTAGATTTTTGGGATTTCTTCAATGTCTTATCCAAGCTTCTTTCACGATTGCCGGACCCGACTACGTCTCTATGGCAGCTGGAGAGTGCGAAAACCCTCGAAAGGTCATGCCAAAGGCATTCAACGGCGTATTCTACCGTCTTACCGCTTTCTTCGTTCTGGGCTCTCTTGCTGTTGGTATCCTTGTCCCTCACAATGATGCCGAACTCAAGGCAGCTTTCCAAGATGGGAAGCCTGGAGCAGCTGCCTCACCATACGTTGTCGCCATGAACAGATTGCAGATTCGTATTCTGCCTGACATCGTCAATGCTATGGTCTTGACCGCTGCATTCTCTGCTGGTAATTCGTACGTCTATTGCGCATCTCGATCCCTCTACGGTCTAGCTCTTGAAGGAAAGGCGCCAAAGATCTTGAGAAAGTGCACTAAATCAGGAGTTCCGATATACTGTGTTGGAGTCACTCTCGCCATTGCTCTTCTCTCGTTCTTGCAGGTCTCTAATAACGCGGCTGTTGTGCTCAACTGGTTCGTCAGTCTTGTTACTGCGAGTCAATTGATCAACTTTAGTGTCATGGCCTTTACTTTCATCAAGTGGAAGAAGGCGTGTGATGTCCAGGGGTTTGACCGAAATACGTTACCCCACAAGAGTTTTTGGCAGCCATTCTCCGCTTATTATGCGTTGACTGGATGCTTCATCATGACTTTCGTTGGTGGCTATACCGTCTTCCTACCAGGTAAGACGCTCAAATAAATTCCTCTAAGGTATTAATGCTAATTTCTGACAGGCTACTGGGATGTTCCTACCTTCCTCTTCTCTTATCTCATGATCGGAGTCTTCCCAGTTATCTTTGTTTCCTGGAAGGTGTTGAAGAAGACCAAGTGGCTGAAGCCCGAAGAAGTTAATCTTAGACCGTCAGAGGTGGAGGAGATCGAGGAGTACACGAGAAACTACGTTGAAAGAATTCCAAAGACTAGATGGCACGGATATGTTGATAGACTCTTTGGTTAGGTCACAGAATCTTCGCGCGCCGAAGAAATTGACAGAAATACCCAGAAGAATACACATCAAGTCAGCAGCGGCTTGCGAGCAAATCAAATGAATTAATATTCGAATTTTTGAAAACATTTTAAATTGTTGAGAGATGAGCTTCAACGCCTCATTTCGCAAGTACTAATGCTGCTGAGTGGATCGCGACTTCCCTTCCTTTTCTCTCTCGCTGTCGGTCTCGAGAAGCGCTAATTTCCGAGCTACATTCATGAGTCTGTCGAGCGACCTTCGAGTGCCTCGAACCACCAACTTTTCTTTCTTCTATTGTCCTCTTTTCATTCTAACTTCCCTGATATGGAGAAGAGAGGGAGATTTTTGGAGTCACAAATATATACATAATATTGATGATGTCGAGTCTCACTAAAGGAATGGATACCTTGAAGCTTGGATGCCTTAAGGCTTGATTTGGTATCGTACAGGTACTCACCTTGATATGTACCTATGTAACGACCTTACGGGGTGGGTGAGGCGCGCCCAGAGTCGGCTGTTAACTGGCATAAAGCCGAGTTCTAGGTCAGCTCGTCGCACCTCTCTTGTTCTCCACCTCCAAAGCCATCCATTAGCATTATTAACCTCGACTTTGCTCCAAGGGTTTCCGCTTCATATCTAGATATCCATCTCGTTCAAAATGTGGCTGCTCAATACCAAGACCATTCAGCTCACGCAATTTCTCGATGAAAGGAAAGCTCCTTTTTACGCCATCCTATCACATACTTGGGGAAATGAAGAAGTTTCTTTCCAGGACATTCAAAATCCAGATCGGAGGGCAATTTCGAGCAAAGCGGGATTTCAGAAGATTGAAGCCTGCTGTAAAAAAACTGCCGAGGAAAACTTCGACTATGTGTGAATTGACACTTGTTGCATTGATAAGACGAACAGTGCCGAGCTCTCTGAGGCTATCAACTCCATGTTTCGATGGTATGGTAGTTCAGTAGTGTGTTATGCATATCTTGTGGATGTGGATTCCGACAATGATCCGGCTGGTGATTACAATCAATTCCGGAAGAGTAGATGGTTTACACGAGGCTGGACTTTACAAGAGCTACTGGCGCCGAGATCGCTGGTGTTTTGCAACAGTCATTGGGAGGACATAGGTACCAAGAAATGCCTGGAGCACATTATTTCTCAAATCACAGGGATTAGTGGGATACATTTCCGAGATGGCTACTCATCCCATTCTCCAGTGGACATGGGGCGCCTTAAAATGATTAGTGCGGCCCAGAAGATGTTCTGGGCTTCATACAGGGAAACTACCAGGGTGGAAGATGAGGCTTATTGCTTGATGGGTCTTTTTGATATCAACATGCCGATGATTTACGGCGAGGGACCAAAGGCTTTTCAACGTTTGCAGTTGGAGATAACCAAATCATCCCAGGATCAATCTATTTTCTGTTGGTGGCGACCCACGGAATTCGCTGTCAATCCATTAGCCAATTCTCCCGTGGATTTTCAACTCTCTGGAAGTATTGTTTGTGGAGGTTTATCAGCGACCCTAGAAGAGTATTTTATAACCCAAAAAGGGTTAAAGATTACCCTGCCTCTTATGGTTACGAACCACTCAGCGATTGGGCTGCTAAATTGTTATCGGCTGGGTGTCTATGGCAGTCAAATTGCTATTCGACTTAGAAAGGAGTTCGACGGAGGAGTGAATACTTATTGTCGCGTTATGGGAAGCAAACTTGAATTGTTCGAAGATGATGATGTCGGGTTTCCTATGGCAAGCATCTATATACGAGACATTAGGCATAATGATTATGAAAGCATGATCGAACCAATCCTAGAGTGTCGAGATATACTTGAGCTTCGCCATAATAACGAATCTCTATCTATAATTGGAACTGAAGGATGCGCAGAGTCGTCGCATAGCTTCAATGGACGGGTAGAGTCGTCACACATCTTCACTTCTGATGTTACCTTTCAGAGATCGGCGGACTTGTACCAATACACAAGTCATCTTCGTTTACACAATGATGAGGCTGCGATCCCAGGCATTGTAATGTTCGAGGCAGTTGCCAATAAGAGTCTTAGTTCTGATAGATCTACTGATGCAAAAGACGAACAATTCGCAGTGGTGGTCGGTTTCACCAGCTTCGATTCTCTTTACTGCTGCTTTGACTTGGTCATACCAGATTCGTCTGACGGCAATAAAGTTGATCTTTTCAGAAACATTGCTGCTAGAAAGGATTGGCATCATTATGGAATAGGCGTTGACGATACCGACCGAAGATGGGCAGTTCTGCAAAAGGGGACTACTATCCAGGTAGCGCTGAAGGATATAATCATCGATGGAAGAGTAGGCTACCTATTAGACGTGAAATCGGAAAAGGAGTTCGACCCGGTATTTGTAAGCAATGTTTGTTGCTTGCCAGCAAACCTATAAGTATACGACACAGCAATAAGACATTAGCAAGATTTAATTAAATCTAACACCCTACACCCCAAATACCGGCATCCCCAAACCATGCAACCCCTCATACCCACCCCCCCTCCGATTAGCAACCTCACTCTCCCTCCACCCCTCCAAAACCTCATCCCGTTTCCCCTCCACAATTTCCAGCACCTCCACCCCAATCGGCCTACACGTCTCCAACATCCTGCGCGCACTCTCCTCTCCCCACCCATAAACACTCAGATCGCCCCCGGGACACGTCGATAACGCACACAACAGATCTGTTTCGGCGAGCACTGAGAAATAGTCTCCGGGCTTGGCCGGACAGGGCGACATGAAGTATTTCCCGTCGCGGTTGAGACCCGTGACTTGGAAGACGTTGAGGACGTCGTGGACGTCGGATTCGTGGAGTCCGTAGGGGAGGATGGCGCGGGTTAGGTTGGAGTGGCAGTGGTAATCAAACGACGAGTCCGCCAATATCTTGTTTACTTTCCACAATGCTATTAGTCCTTGCTCAAACCTCAGGAGTGGTGTTGCGTACCGTAAGGATCACATCTCGTCCCCAATAAATCATGTACACGTCCTCCATTCCCATCAACTCCATAGTTTGCAAGCGAATCCCCGATTATAGTACATAACGGACGTAAGTACGGTAGATTCGACCATAGTCGATCGCCGATACTCACGTGTGAGGCGTGCAGTTGACGCGTTCGTGATGCCCAAAGGCGTTCACGCGGATTCGTGAGAGAGAATATGTTGAGATCGCCTACTTGGGGTCCGTGGGGGGTGGTGAGGGTTAGGACTTGTCCTGTGGAAGTCAGAAGATATCAGAAAGTCAAAAGGTGTGATATCGGGAAAGATGTGATGGAGGTGATAGGTTGTGAAGGGGGATATAGGAAGGATTGAGACCTTTCTTCACGACCCAAGCTTTTCCGGAGCGGATTGGGATCTCGAAGGATTCTACTTGTCTTAAATTTGTGGTGTCCTTTTTGGATTGATGGTCTGTTATAAGGGTGTTCAGGCGGGCGTAGAGGGCTTTATCGCCGTAGACTACTTGGCTGTCGTAGGCGGGTGTGGGGTTGGGGGCTTCACTTGACATTGTAGGAGACTGTGATGAGTGTCTGGTTTGTTTTAAGATAAGATGTTGATTGAATGTGGTTTTTGAGGTTATTTGAATTATTAGCTGGAGTTTTACGAGATTGTGAGAGTGAGAGGAGGATGGTATGTCAATAAGCGGGGATGAGAGTGGGGGAGTGTCACGAGTGTTGGCTAAGTAGTGTCAACTAGAGAAAGTGTAGATTAGAGACGAGTGTATATCTTTTGATACTCGGAGAATAATATATTTATACGAAGATACTAAATGAAGATACTCATGACAATTTGAAAAGCGGATGTTGAAAATCAAATGCAAGGCGCAGTTATTTTACAAACAATACCATCGATTAACGTGGGACATCTTATCATGGAAGTAAGTAGTACTCTTGTTACACACACATACATCGAGGTATGCTAACATTATAAATAAGAACTACTTCGTTCTTGTCCAATGTATGTACACCCACTTAGAATCCGATCTAGCTCCATTACCAAGAAGCTAGTTCGGGGTAACGAAAATGGGTAATATTATATTCTCTTAGGCAAGCACTGGTATTTTCAAAAGCTAATTATTCGTCTTTATTAATTGAGAAAGCCAAGATAGCATGCGGTCTAAAAGTTGGGTCATCTTATAGCGAGCGTTGCAGAAGCATTATGAGTATCATGTGTATATTTATATGGGCCTATTCTATCAACAGTCTTAGATCTTTCTCCTCTAATCAACTCGATCGTAACGAGCATCTATGTAAACCACCCCTGCATCTTCTTCTTCCAAGTAACAGGTCCAACCGGCTCCGCAACCTCATTAGCAATGACTACATCAATGCCGCTATGTAAATCCACATCCTCACTAGCATGCGCCCACTTATCACTCCAGTGAAAGGCGCGATGCACAAAGTAAATCACCAAGAACAACGGAATACCAACATAGGCCGTAAGGAACGAACTAGCATTGAATTTCTCTGGGAAGAAAACATCGAATCCGTTGATGAGCGTGAGGATGATGAAAGCGACCATGGCAATCCATGCACCGTATGGCTGAACTATGGAACGGTAAGGAATGGCTTCGCGAGGGAGGTTTTGGACCACAGTCGCTTTGCGGAATCGAATGTAGACGATACAGCAGCAGATCCAGGAAATAAACCCAGAAGTGTTGGTAAGGTTTACAAACCAGGCGAAGACAATAGAACCACTGTTTGCGCAATTGAGATATGCGAGAGGAGAAAATAATGACGCTGCTGCGACCGCCATGTAAGGCACACCACCCTTTGTGCATTTGGTAAAGATCTTTGGAGCGTTCCCAGCAACAGCGAGAGAGTAAAGTGAGCGGGATGACATGTAGAGGAACGAGTTTCCAGAAGACCATGCGGACGTGATGATGATTGCGTTGATAACGCTGCCCAGACCTGAGATACCCGCTTCTTGAATTCCGACCACAAAGGCTGAGGATTTGGCACCTACGCCACCGTCTGTGAGGGCAGCAGCATTGAATGGGGAGATGATTCCTATGGCAAGGACACTTCCAATGTAGAAGAAGACTATCTGGTATTAGCTAAGTTCTCACGGGTCGTTCTAGCAAAAGATAGTGGCCAATCTCTGATTGAATGGCAACACTCGCACGTAACTTGCAAAACATGCCCCTTGAACAGACTGATTTGAATATCGTGGTAGATGAAAAGATAGGGTAGGAAAATTCCACGTACCTAGTCGATAGAAGTATCGTTTGGCAGCTATTGGAAGGTTGCGTCTTGGAGACTTCATCTCACCACCAGTAACAACCAACAACTCCGGTGCGAAGGTAAACGGGAAGGCGGAAAGAACAATCACTTTCCAGAAAGCAATGAATGTTCCTGTTCCACCACTTCTTAGATATGTCGTTGTAGCTCCCGGATCTTTCCAGTTATGAAAACCTAAAATGCCACTATTTGGCGTTAGCAACCATTCTTTGAATCGCGTAACGAACTTGATTGATGTTCGATGGTTTTCTTTTCAATTTGCTTCGGCAAGTGCACCAGAGTCGAAATGGAGTAATGGCGGGGATTGAGGAATTCAATTTGCTTACTGTTGATTCGCTACAATCATGTTAGCATCGACTCGTCAAACATGCTTTTCGGAAAACTTACGACCACCTCCCCAAAAGAGGATGAACGAGAGAACCAATAGACCAATCATCATGAACACTTTCAATGAAGCGAACCAGAACTCGGTTTCGCCATAGAATTGGACCGGTAGAGTATTTAACCCAACAATAACAATGATGAATATCGTAATCCAAACACCAATATTGACAGGCGAATTCCAATAGTCGATTACAAGACCAGCAGCAGTAATCTCGTAAGGTACTAGTATACCAAGCGAATAGAAGTATAGCCAGCCCATGGCGAAACCGAGTGAGTTTGAGACATTGCGATGTCCGTAATAACTCATCGTACCACCGCTAACAGGTAAATAGGCCGCAACCTCAGTTATTCCAGTGACAACGAATAAAACCAAGATCGATAGGATAATATAAGCAACGAGAATGAACGCCGGTCCACCTGTTGCGAGTGTTCCTCCGGATCCAACGAACAGACCAGTACCTTAGACTCTGTTAACCAATTGAAGTATGTAAACCACAATAAGCGAACTTACCAATTGTACCACCAAGGGCAATCATCTGGGCATGGCGAGCCTTCAAACCTCTTTTGGTTGTCTCAATTGCCTCTCCTTCACCAAATTCGGGATCAGATGTTGAAGATCGAACATTCTTGTCATCATAGGTTGGTTTCTCTTCCGAGATGTGCACAGCTTTTTCGGACTCCATGGTGGATGGATGGGTAGCATAGATACACTCTGCGCTGAATAAATTACAGCTTCAAGCTTTCGATCTCGGGGAGGCCTTGTAGTTTATAGAATATTTCAGACCGTGATACGGATAACAACGGGCTGGAGCTCCCATGTAGTGCTCAACCCTGTCCTACATGCTGCACTCCGGTGAATACCACCTCAAGCAGATTAGCCTCTCACGCGGGAATAGGCCTGTTTGCCATGCAACGAAGAAAGCCCCGAAGCTTAGATCATCTTGAGTTCTTGGATCTGGCCACCAATGCGGAAAAGAAATGCGGCTATCTTGCTCGCCATATCTGGCCGCGGGGATAGCTGCTCGCTGATAATAATCATGACTTATCTAGCCACGGGATATGCCAATGTTAGGATCTTCAATCTCAAGTAACGAGCTTCTGAGATTCCAGCTTTAGAAGAGGCGCAAGGAGCTGCGATACACCTGGTATTCGTGGTCTGAAGCCTATCAGCATACCCGCCGCTCCGTGACCCATAGATCTTTCAGCGAGATATCCTGCAGGCTTGCGTGGGAATGGACGGTTTGAGCGTTTCTGTGTGATGGCCTGCATAAGCATGGTCAATCGTTACATGGCCGCCGCCATGGATACCACGAGCTCGCCAGATATGATAGTTCGAGTGATAACAAAAACTCGGGAACCCCGAAGACATTCGGTCCATTCCCTCTCTTCAGTTACTGGATTACCTCCATAATCTGTCGGCTACAGATACCGGGGAAGTTGGGAAACAAATCGGTTGGATAACTGCTCCACGATTATGGCCTCGCGAATAGTGATAAGGATGGCGATGGACAGTGTTTCGCCGCAATGGAGTAAGGTGGAATATGCGAGTATCAAGGGTCTTGGCCTGTCTGTTTAACGCCAAACACCGTGAGCATGGCTGGACTCATGGACAAACGTAACAGGATGCAATGACCTTCTATCAGATCTCGATATGTTTTCTTGGAAAGCAAATCGTCTTAGGGAAACGGTATGATCCTCTGACTGCTCCGTAATGATTATTTGTGTTCTGATGTCTCCCCACAAAGTAATGAGCTGTTGTGTGAGGGATCTGAGGATGGCGCAAACAAGCTCGGTGGCAGATCTCAAGGGACCGGAATTTGCCCATGTCACTCCACAGCAAAGATAAGACGGGAGCTGCCGATTCACGTGACAGAGAACTTCAAGACCGCGCCAATGCATCCATTCTTGGATAGGTACCCCACGCGACCACATTGATTATCGAATCGAGAGCTGTGAAGCAATGGCAGATCAAAGTATTCGGCGTCGAGGCGACGGTCATGAGCGAATTGCAAGATCCAGGTCTCCTCGGCAGCATCATTCCTCTTCACATCGAACACGATCCCCCCCTCGACATCACCACAAGCGCAAACGCGAGCATGTCACGATCCCGCAAGAGCTGCCTTATAACTCGAGGCCACTTTCCAAACACGATTACAGAAACTTCAAACCGATGTTCGCGTTGTATCTTGATATACAGAAGCAAAAAGTCCTTGAAGATTTAGATGATGTGGAAGCCCAGGGTTGGTGGAAGAGCTTTATTGGAAAATGGTAAGGAGTTATGGCTCTGTCAAGCACTACCAAGCACTTTTGGGCTAACATACGTGAGGAATCGTGGAGAACTTGCAGAGGGTTGGTATGATCCCGAAACTCTGCAGAAAGCAGTACAAAATCAAGCAGCGGAATCAGCATTTGATGGACCTGAAAAGGCAATGAGTACTGAGCCGCGAAGGCGTTCGCCCAAAGGCCGTGGGACAGAATCTGCGGGAAGGAGACGAAACGAAGTCGAAGACAACAGCGACAGCGATGGCTCTATCGGGCCTGCTTTGCCCGAACAGGATGGCAGATCAAGAGGTGGCAGAATGGGACCTAGCATTCCCAATATGCAAGACTTGGAGCTTAAACGAGGTAAGAAACGACTCATTAGTATGCGATGACCTTACTAAAAGAATTTTAGAAATGGACGAAGAAGATGGGCTTCTGAGACGAGACGATATAAGATTCGCTAGAAAAATTGACCGTAAAGAACAGAAAGCCGCTTTGGACGAATTAGTCCCACGAGCAGAGGCAGGGACTCGAGAGCGTCAATTAGAGAAAAAGAAGGAAGTGAACGAAACAATGAAGGCATTTCGAGAAAAGTCGCCAGGGGCCGCGGAAGTGCCTGACACAGAATTGATGGGTGGTGGTGACGGAATCAATGATTTCAAGAAGCAGAAACAAGAGCATGAGCGGAAGAAGAACGAGAGGGAGCTGAGGAAAGAAGAAATCTTAAGAGCACGGCAAGCAGAAAGAGATGAGAGGCTACAAGAATACCGTACAAAGGAAGAAGGCACCATGGCTATGTTGAAAGCTTTGGCTAAGCAAAGATTTGGATAAAATTCCTAATTACAATACAGAGATGAGGTGGAATCCTTCCTGATATTCGGAAGCGGTAGCTTATCCTTGAGCCGATCCGCCGGGAGCCGGGATTCTGGTTCAATTGACATCCGTAAGGGTTCGTACACTATCCTTTCTCTTGACAGCCCACCAGATGAAGGGTTGACAAACGTCAAAGGACACTCGGCAAATATCCTGCTTATTGCCGAGCTTGAAAGTTGGTTGATCCGATATACACCACCTGCACAGCCGAAAACCTTTGCAATGTTAGTCAAGGATTTACCATGGTAGTAAGCAATTAGACCTACGCAGCAGTCGCTGCGAATATGTCAACAGCGCGGGCATCTGTCACTAACGACAAGACCATTGAAAAGCAAACAGCTAGCCCAGTGGCCACTCCGATTCTTTTCACCATTGTGTCCATCAAGTACAGGAGGATGATCGAGGCAGCTGGCAAACTCGATGCCAGTATGGTTGTGATCATCTTTGTCACTTTTGCTGCTTTAGCGTCATCATGATACACGCTTCCCGCAAAGTGCGATTCGTTTTCATCCGTCTTCTTCTGCTGTTTTCCTTAATATCACGCTGTATGCTGTATGGAGGAAAAGGGAAGTACCTTCCTGCCAAATAATCCTTGGTACCACCACAAAAAATGATCTACAATCCATTTCGTGAACGGGTCATTCACGGGTCGTTTCCTGATGGTGAGAAGTTCCAACAATTTCGTCTCGGTCCATATCTCACTATCCTGTCCAATGAGGCTAATATTCCCCATATCACTGCTTATCATCCAGTCCCTCAAAAACTTCAGATCTTTCTTGTTCGGGTAGTCCGTTCTTGCTAGCTCTTTTTGTTGTATGATAGCAGCATCTGCTAGAGGTCAGACTCAAGGTGAAATTACAGCATCTTTCTTTTGTCATTACTATATTCTCTGAGCTTATCGCGTATTTTCAAAAATGTTTTCCATTGTCGTGCGTTATCACCTGATGGGTTAATCGAAGCCATCTCGATGGACTGCCCCAGTGTGTACCAGTCTTTTGCATACCGCATTCGATGCGCTATTCCGGATGTCATGTCATCTGATTCATATGATCTAAATTTCAACTCTAGCGTTTGTAATTCTGCTTGCAAATAGAGGATATTATGGACATTCAGTGCAGCAAAGCGCCTGAATATAGCGAGTTCGGGGTACTCGCCCATGTGTATCGCCATTTTCGGATATCCTTCCATTGTTGCTGTCGTATTGGACGATCCTTTGTGAATTTGACACTCCGCTCTTGAGAACGTAATCTATATTACTGGCAGTACCTTGACTAAATCATTTTTATCAGGCTTTTAAGCAGCAACACTTTGCTGGGTGGCTTGCGAGGTAGTGAAAATTCGAGCAGCCCACCACTATTGACCCGAGGAGAGCAATACCTCATTCGCCCAAAAGCGATATCTTTGGTTTCACCACAGACGCTACCGCCTGCCTACGCCGAGTCTGCCTCATGCAACCAGTCAGCACAATACCTAAACGCGCAGGGTTGGCCCAATTGCAGTCTGATGACTCGACTATATGAGCGGGGTTTCTGCTGTCGTCCTTTCCAACATTTTCAAGTTTGTATGCCTAACCATCTATTCCAGAGCACCAGCCGGCTACCACGACGCAAAGGGTGCGTACCTGCACAGCTATCGATCCGAGTTATTAGATTTAGGGGCAACGATTTTTGTGTATACTAGACAAATCTCCTCGATAGGGATACTAGACCCCGTTCGTCGTGACGAGATGCTAGATCAGATTTCCTTCCAACGGCAATCAAAGCCTTCAGAATGTTGAGTTTACTAGTCCTGGTCTCGGCAGAAATCTAACATTTTACAGCGGAAAAAGAGGAAACACGTAGGAAGGAAGAATATCGCATAAAGGAGAAGAAATTGCTAGAACTCGTGAGGAGAAGGAACAGGGCAGCAGACCCGATGGCACCGGGCTCACAGTATCCTCCAGCTCCATACCAGCAGCCGCAGGAGACACACGAGAAGGACAGATCAAGTCGCACTAATTCGCCAACTACCACACCGGAAAATAAAACATGACTTTCGAAGTCGCGACGGTATTTGGAGATGTAAGAGTGAATGATGTACTCTATTCAGATTTTCGATATCATGTCCAGCTTAAAGCAACTTGCTATCCTCGAATAGCAGCGGGAGAGAAGAGGCACATCTGTGCGTAGGACCGGAATGACTTAGCAGCAGAAGATCTTCTACGCTACATTACTTCTTGTAATCTTTCAGCGCATATTTTCCTTTCCGCGACGATGGAATAAGTAAGTTGAAAAATCACTAAAGTGTTCTTACTCCTACTCTTGCGAGCCTAGTCTGCATAGAAGCGAATGCGCCTTTGCAGACACATTGTTTTCTCGCATTCTTCCAAGCAATGCTTGCATGTATTATCTACGAAAATATCTTCGAAAAGAACACCCGTTGAGGTAGGGTTTTATTATGTGCACAGGCATAATTCTTCTCGAGAGACCCTTGGACATACTGGGTGTTAGCACCTGGGCTTAAACTAAGTCAGCGCATCTATCTTTTTCACCAACCAAGCCACCCATAACATTTCCCTCAAATCAACCAGTTCATGTACCCCACAGTACCACTACCAACGAGATCTGGTGATCTTATATACACCCCGGACATTGATTCTGTAGAAGTACATCATGCAAACAGGAACCAGGAAAGGTTAAACGTCCCTGTCTCGTGCCTGGGAAATACCCACAAGATCTCCCGGATGGTGTGCACCGGCAGTATTCTGATTTGTCTTTCCCGCGCAGTGCCGCAGAGAAACATACCTAAGATGATTGCTCTGGAATTGTCTCCGGGAGGTAATGTATTATTGATTGGTTTGCGTGCGTGGATTTAGTTGCTGTCGTGAGTTGTCCCTGGTGGCTAGTGTGTAAGTACCAGGAATAAGCTCATAGCATGAAATGCACCGTGCCACAATTCTAGAACGGAGGAACATAAGCTTTTCTCCTCGATCTAGTAATCGCGGATGAAGAGGTTATATCGGTCTATTGATCTGAAATATCCGCGCTATAATGACGGAGAATTCACAATCAGCCATGTTGAATGCAACGGGAAAGTGCTCTTTTCCCAATGCAATGATTCCTAAGGGCCTTATTAGCATAATATATCCCTGTCCAAAGATGTGAGATTTGGATATTTCTAGGTATGGAACAGAACAGTTGAAATTGACATAAAGAGGAGGTAAGATGTAGCATTCTGTTTTCTTGACATCTTCGTTATCACACTATCACATATCATATAATTGGAAAGAAACTACTCCACCATGAGGTCGCTACTTCTTGCCGCTGCTACTGTAGCGAGCTTTGCTTCTACCAATGCTCATGTAAGTGACATCTAAAAGTACCACCTCTTCAAATGGAGTCTGACGATCAAATCTCTAGTACGTTCTCCCCGAAGTATTTCACAACGACGTCGACTACGGCCACTGGGAATACGTTCGCCATCACGGAGATTCCAAATACGTCTACAACAGCTGGGGCGACAACTTCGAAGCATTGTACATCGACAAACCAGAAGAGTAAGCACCCTCTCCTCTCACCAAGTCGATCTTGCAAAGCCCTAACCTCACCACCTCACAGCGCACTTAAAATCGACAATCGCTGCGGTTTCAACGCTACCTTTGCGAATAAAACACTCGCTGTGAAAGCCGGCGACACTTTCGGGTTCTATGTCAATGATAAAGCTTATGCGAGCTCTCAATATCAGAAGGGCCTGTATCATCCGGGACCGCTTACCGCATATATGGGCAGAGTTCCGGAGGGGAAGACGGCGATGGATTGGGAAGGTGATGGACAGCACGTCAGTATCTCCACCTTAAACTCTCTTAACTCCATTCTAACAGACGTGTATCTCAGTGGTTCAAAATCTACGAAGACTTCCCCACGAAAGACGCAACTAATTTCCCGACCTGGCCAAATTTCGGTATGATATCCAACCCCCGAGACCAATTGTGAAACGGTACTGATTAGATCCAGAGGTTCAAAAGATTCCTTTCGTCATCCCGAAAAATGTCCCGGATGGAGAATACCTCTTCCGAATTGAGCATATGAATGTGAACAGTATGCAACCATTACCCTATAACTCGGCGGCGCAGATGTATATTTCTTGTGCTCAGGTTGGTCATCCTCACTTATCCCCTCTCTCCTCTCGCTCGATTGCGCCTTGCTGATGGTCTTTTGTGTAGATTTCTGTTTCCGGCGGCGGAACAGGAAATCCTGGACCGCTGACTAGTATGCCTGGGGCGTACGAGTATGATGATCCGATTTTGCATCAGTGGTTTTATGAATATGTGAGTTGATGTTTTGGGTTTATGGGGATGTGAAGGAGGCTAATATTGTGTAGGAGACGAAGACTGATATGGCTTGGGATAAACGAAATTTGGGACCGGCGGTGTGGAACGGGTCTTAGATAGCCGTGGTGGGTTATGACTATTGAGGATGTGAGGTTTGGATGTGTTGAGAGGACATAGCTGGAAGGGTTTTCATGGCTCATACTTCGCCATCGAGTATCGTTGCAAGAAGTCTGGACTTGTGAGATGTTCCGCTAATAGTGGAGGTTAATGAGCATATCAAGTTTCAGTAGGAGAGAGCTCATGACATCAAATCTGGGGCTTCAATTTCTGGAAAGTAGACTGATCACAATCGTCTCTTGCTTGTCTGCAACTGTGAAGCTGTCTTTATATTGACCCAAAGTCGGAGAATTCAAATTACTAATACAGCCCAAATGACCAACATATGCTGCAATGCGCTTGGAGCCTCACAGCTCGAATTGAGTTGGACGGTAGGAGTTTCTGAGATGAATTGCCTAGGAGAATAGAAGCAGAAAGAAATTTTTAGCAAGATTATTCCTGAACGCAAAGTTTCATACTACTCATCTAGTTACTGCCGAATACTCCACCGTCACCGAAAACAGGGGAAGCGAAATGTAGAAAAGATTTGGATGAAATAGTTTGGTCTTTCTACTGGTTTGTAACCCCAACTTTCATATATCAATTTAGGAGGATGTGGGAATATGTGAGAGGGAGTTAGCGGTTCCGTGAGGTCTATTGCTGCAACCTCGGCCAATTTTTAGTTCCAATTGCGTTCGATCAACCATTGCTCCATCAACACTCTATACGCCAGTTTCAAGTACGCACGTATGCTTCTGTGTTGTGTTCTTTTTGCAACTGTTTTCCCGACTTCTAATGTATATATAGAACAGCAGTGTACGTTCGTAGTCACTGATCATTAACGGACCCCCTGGTGCCCTTAAATCGATGCCATGCATGTTGGTATGTTGTGACATTATTCCAAGTTATGATATTCTGTGCTATACCCCAATCATAGAAGACTTTGTATATCGAAAACGAGTAATTCTCCCTAAAACTATAGAATCTCGTAGTATCGCCATTCGTTTTCAAAAATTCTTTATTTTCGTGGAAATGAACTTGAGCAGTCAAGCGGGTAGTACAAGAATTAACTGTATTTCACAGGTCGGCTTCCGGGCACTAGGGTGAAAGTCAATTCAAACATTGACCGCCATGAATGAGCACTTATATATATATGAAGTCTAATTAATTGACTATATTAATCTCGACTTAATTACCTATAACGGATATAGAATTTGAACGAATGTCTCCATAAATCAACATTAGACAATGCGAATGTATAAAAGTTTGCCCTTTCAAACAAGATGCGTAGATTCTTACAAATCTCACGAAATCTCAACTCACATTTTAAGTTCTTAATCCTGTTTTTCGGCTATTCTACTACTTTTCACTTCACCTTTTTACTCTCTACGATTCCAAACTTTCGGAATCATCCGAATACATCAAACTCAAACCTTCCTATTCCTTTCCACTGATTGTCTTGTACATGAAGCACCTATAAGTCCCTTTATTTAAACCACGACATGCCCAACACTCACATGCTTCAGACGTATAAAAAGCTTCTGCACAGCACAAACATCACTACATCGGGAGTCGTCTTCTTGAGCCAATTCTTCCATAGCCAGAAACATGCCCTTTTAAGAAGAAAAAACACACAGCCTTACAAACACTCCGTTGTCATCCCTCCTATCACTACTTCTCGCACAAACCCCTCGCCGCCGAATCCCAATTCGCCATCGAATCCTACTCTCACCATAAGTAAAACCATCCTTCTAACAGAGTCACAAACACCCCTAGAAAATCAAGATTCACGAACACAAATGCCACTTTTCAGAAGCTTATATCTTAAACTCAACAGTTTACGAGCCACGCACTTATGGAACTGTTGCTTCATAATTGAGACCGATGATGTTTCAGTGTTGCGTTGCAAGCGGGGGTATATAAGGGTTGGTTGGTTTTGATTTAGGGAGGGAGTTGAATTAAAAAGTGAGTCGAGTCAGACTAAGGGTGAAGTTAGTTTGAATAAGAGTCATAATAAAATAACCAGGATCATTTCAATACATGTAATCTTCAATAGAATCGCTCATTATGATCTTTTGCGATGAGATATTGGGTATCGATCTGTAAGATTGTAGGGTTTGGTTAAGAGGCTATGGACTTGCTATAGCGAGGGTGTTAAAGTAGCGAGACAAACAAAAGTAAAAGAGTACACGATTCTACACTCGAGCACCTAAAAGAAATATTTCTACCTACTATTATTTAAAGAGAACACCACAAAATATTCAAGGCCATGGAACATGTTAGTGTTAAAGGAAACACTCTGACCTCCAACGAACGCCGGGTCTGTATACAATATTGCGTACTAAGCGTTCGCTAGCACGAATGACATATCCAAACCAGATCCATTCTAAATGAAAACAAAATCTCTCTCATTTCACAAACCCATTTTCAACTCCCGCAAAACTCTCATCTTTATCACCGTTTCCCATACCACCACCGAATCCAGCCACATCACCATCCACCCAGCCCATCAACGCCATCACCGTAAAAAACCAGCATCTAAAAAATATGAAAGTTTCGTCGAACAGGCATGAACTATCAAAATTTTACAAGTCTAATGCCAGGACAACCTCCAGATTTTGTCTATAAGATGTAAAGGGAGTTTGTACAAATATGAACAAGGGAGGGGAACGGTTATTTATACACTTGATTCTTCACTGGGGATGGGTATTGAGCGTGAACGTGTTCACAACATTGGCCTTACTATCCGACAAATTCCCTAGGCACCCTCAGCAGTCCCAATTCTCATCCATGACCTCTGATGTCTCGGTAATTGGTGGATTCGTAAAGCCTGCACACTACTTTCTCGTAACACTACTTGTCGACTAGCGTAGACTTGATTATAATCCCTTCCATGTGAGTATACTTCAAGCGGACATGATGATGACATTTTGAGGTATGGTGAGATGAGCATTTTTATACGAATTTTCATCATGTTGTGGTATATTCGTTCCGCTAGATCTTATAACTTTGAGGAACCAACCACAAACCATTTACAACGCAACCTGCGAACACCTTCTCGTCTTTCAGCCTTCAATCTTCCTCCTCAACCCCAAAATCCCACTCAACCTAACATCCCCCTTCCCACCCCACCCGGCAACACCCCCCTCAACCTCCGGCCTAACAGCGACATACCACCCCCAAGCCCTCCTCTCCAACTCCTCCCTCCCCAGCCCCCTCCAACTCACAAACAGCATCTCCAGTGCCCCCAACAGTAACCCCAGATTCTCTTCTTTCTCACCGTTAATCTGCGCCACCGTCTTCTTCTTGCCCTTCACATCCGGCGGGCCAGGAGGTGAAGGGAAAGATTTCAACAGATAAGCCCTCGCGCCTTCAGGACGATGAATCGGGAGTCCCGCCCCCGTAAGCGGAGAAGTGGTATGCGACGTTTCTGAGTTCTCAAGATCCAATCCCCAAAGCGCTTCACCTCTTACGACGCCCGCGACGCGTAGACGTTGGGAGAGGGCGTCGCGGGAGACGTCGCTCATGATGCGCCAGCGGTCCGGGCCGAGCATGATGCCGCCGTACCAGCGGGTGACGACCAGCAGGACGTTTGTGAGGTTGGAATCTTGGAGGATTTTGAGAATGTGACGGCCGCCGCCGGATTCGCCGTCGTCGGAGCAGGATTCGTTGATGTGGCCTGAGGGGGCGAGGAGGCGGTAGGCGGTTATGTTGTGGGATGCTGAGGAGAGGTTGAGGGTTGGGTCTGAGAGGAGGGTTGAAAGGGCGTGGGTTGCTTGGGTTTGCGAGGTGATGGTGATAGAGCGTGCGACGAAGGTTGATTTCTTGGATGTGATGGTGGAGGAGACAGTCCATTTTGTAGTTGATGCTTGTGTTGGATTTGTACTCGATACTTGAGTTGGCGATTGAGATTCAACTTTCAATGTCGCTTCTGAACCTGTTGGAGCTTCTTCCTTCACCCCTCCCTCACCCACCTCCTCCGCCTTGACATCACCCCCGTCAACCTCAACCTCCTCCCTCCACTCATACCCACTCCTCTTCAGCACACTAACCTCCCTCCCCATAACCCTAACCTTCGGCTGTCCCTCCCCCCAAGAATCCTCCCCCTTTACCCTCTCTTTAATCCCCAAACTCACCGCTTTCGTCCTACTATTCGCACTAACCACCGCCTGCGCCAGACTCAATCGACTACTCAACGGTTGTTCCGGCATCGTATGTTTCAACAGCTGTACCGCGAACGCGAGCACCAACGGCGCGCGGTTCGTGTAGATGGTACATTTCGAAATCGCCTCTTCGTCTACAGATGGTGTGGGCAGCGCAAGGGACGCCTCGAGTTCTTGTGGGGTCTCGGGGACGTCGTGGAGGGAGAACTGGGATTTCAGGCGCTTTGAAGCGGGAGATAGAGGGTCGCTAGCGGAGCGTTTATTTGAGGGCGTGGGATTCTTGAGCTGGGCTTTACATGCCGTGAGGAGAGATTTTGCGGTTTTCTCGTCGGTAGAAAGAGCGGTCTTTAGTGTCTTGAGGTCTGTGTTTGATACATCTGTTATACTACTTGAGTGGTTAGCTTACTAGATCTATAAAGTGACTGTGTTGAACGTACCTACCTCATCAATCCAGCAGTTTGAAGTGCTTTGACGCGTCCCATAGCGGCAAGCATTGGGACCTTATTCCTCCCCGTCGTAAGGAGACGCAGAAGATCCTGCACATCTTTTGCTGCCATGATAAGTTAAATTTGAACTGCTATTTTGTTATGACTGGACGTTAAGTTGCCTCCCTCGCTCAAAGTATAGCACGTATACATTAAAGCCGAAGAAAGCCCGACATAATCCGGGGAAAGCTTCCCCCCTATTTGTTCGTTTATCATAACCTTACTCGAGTGAGACCCGACGCTTTGAAGTTACGAAAAAACACTCATAGTTTATATTCCAATCAAGATCATGACGTACTCAGAACTTGCACTCCAACAATTCAAGACATCATCGAATTCGATTTCGTTCATTCTACTACATCTCTCCCGGGCCATCCACTAAATAACTAACCAAAATACATGAATCAACACTACGCTAGTCTACAACTCCTCTTCCTTAGGAAGCGGCACCTCGCTAGCCTTCACCGTTTCCACAGAAGCAGTCATAGCGTCTTCTTGATCTTCCCGTGCCTGCTCCACTGGCGGCAACTGCGAAGTCTCGAATTTCGAGGCGACAGGCGGCTCATCGTTGACTTTCACTGGCGCACTTTCTTGGTCCTTTTCGTCTGCGCCCTCAAGCACGTTGATTTTCTGAACCTCTTCTCGATGCTGCGATTGTTCGTCTGCAACGGCTGAGGGTGGGGAAGATGATTTTTCAGCACCCTCTGCTATCTCTAGTGGTTCATGGACAGGATCTCCAGCAGTATTGGTCGCCAGTGTTGGAGTCGCAGATTCTGATGCTTTTGTCGGCGCAGTTGATTCAGATGACTCCTTATGGGAAGAAACATGTAGGAGATCTTGTTCAGGATGAATTTCCCACAATGTTGCTGGAACTGAGAAGCTCAGAGACATGGATGGCTTCTCCTGAGAGGAGGCAGCAGCTGCGCTAGGTGATGGACTCTTTGCTGCGGGTGCTCTTCGTGCCGGACCTCTAGCTCTGCCCTTCCTAGCATCGACCAATGGAGCTTTCTCCTTTTCCACTTCTGGCTCAGGGATAGGCTCTTCCTTCTTTGGAGGTAGAGCGCCAAGTTGCAACCGCTTATTCAAATCCGCCATAAAACCACCCTGCAAAGCTGCAATCTTGCTGCCAACTGGTCTGGTCGGAACTGGCGGCTTTGGTTTCGCTGCGGCTGCAGAACCTTGATCTGATCCAACAGATTTGGCAGAAGAATTGGACGCGACTTGGCTGAGAGGAATGTTCTCAGACGATTCGCGAGTAGGGGGTTTTGACGGGCGAGCAGGAACCACAGGCTTCGTCTTCGTTGGAAGTGGTGGGGCCGTTGCGTCGGAAGTCTTTCGTGGTCGATCAGGGATGGCCGGTTGTGGTTTTTCAGGTGACTGAGCGAGCTTAGAAGATTTTGCAGGTCGAGAAGGAATAGCAGGTTTGAGCGTAGCAGCAATGCCGGTCGTAGCACGACCTTCACCATTTCCTAATGGGAAACCTGCAGCAGCCTTTTCCTGGTGATACGCAACGCCACCGGTTGTCGGTCGCTCCTCCAATGGCGCCTCCGATGGACTAGCGATCTCTCTTTCTGGTGATTGAGCTCTCTCGACAGTAGTTTGCAATTGCAGACTATCCGGTGTGTCTTCCCAAATATCTCTACTTGGGAATCGTTGGGCTAATCCAGGTCGGGTTTCATCAACAATATGGGCCTTGTTTCCCCATGGTTTCTTTTCTTTATTCAAAAAGCTACCCTTGTCATTGGCTTCCTTCTCAGCTAGCTCTTCCTGTCTACGAGCAAAGGCTTGTTCTGGTGTCTCATCAGGTTCAGCCATCTTTTCGGTCTCTGTCTCTTCCGGTAGTTGAGGTGTTGAGACAGTTGCTGTATGGTGCACGCTGTCTGGGCTGTCCTCCCACACATCTTGGCTAGGGAACTTGCGATTTTTTAGATCTGGCCGCTTGAACCTGTCCGCCACGCTCGATGGCCTCTTGCTATCATTTTTCTCATCCTCCTCTGGGAAAAGCGGTTCGTACTCCTCCAGATCTTCCAATTTGGTAGAATCAGAAGGTAGTCGGAGGCCAGACATATTGCCGTGAATGCTTCCTGGTCGGCTCGATGGTCTGCTATTCGACAGGCTCGTTTGGCTCGTCGATCCGTGATGATAGATTCCACCGCCTTCGTGATATGGGTTATGTCGCTCCTGCAATGGGGATACTGCAGGTTGTAGCTCGTAACCAAAAGGCTCCTTCGCAACTTCGTCCGAGGCTAAAATTGGAATGCCATAATGGTGCTCGTCGTGGTAACCATCATTCTCAGCAGTAGGACCGAGGTCTTCCGTGGAATCCAATCGGCCCGCGCCGCCGTGTTGCTTGCTCATATGTCGTATAGGATCAACGTGAATCACATCTTCGTCCTCCACTTCACTTGACAATGCCAATTCGGAAGGGGCTTTCAAGCTCATGCCGAGAGCACTTCCAGCATCTTTGCCACTCGTATCGGCGGGGTATGAAGCCTTTCTCAACGGTGATTCGACATGAGTTTGAGACGAATTCGAATGCCCGTGGCCATATACAGCTGATACTGGACGCGTCTGTGGAGAGGAAATACGAGATGCGTATTCTTCTGAAGCTTGAAATCCGACTTGCTCACTTGGTGTGCCCATAACAGCTGGGGACGTTCCTAGATTATATTAGATTTCTCATCTCATTCAAGCGCATACATCACATCTATAGTCCTTACCAAGTCCAGCGCCTCGGCTAGCTGTATCCCTCACAATCTTGTTTAGATCCTCACTACTCATAGCCCACTCCGGTCGACCCTCTCCATATTGTCCTAGTTCTTTCTTGAATAATTCTGGGTGTTTCTCATAGTAGGCTTTCTCGAAATGATTGTGGTGATGAGGAAGGATTTGATGGCCATGTCGACCATATGCTTCAAGCGGTACATCATGGTCGCGAGCACTGAGTTTGCGACTATGGTGTTTAGGTTTGGAACCGTCATTGTGGAAACCAATACCAGGTGCAAATGGCTGCGCAAATGGAGCTGGCGAAGGAGCTTGCACATCACCCGCATGCGGGTACATAGGCACACGTTGGCCAATTTCTGGAATACCATGTTCGCTGTCTGCACTTGATGGTGGTCGTTCCGTGTTGACTGAAACTTCCGACTTTTGGCTTGCGAAACTAGCCTTTTGCTTCAATGGACGAGATGACGGCTCTTTATCATCAACTGAACCTGCTTTTCCAATCCCGTGTGCGGCAGCTTGACCAGAATCGGTACGAGTCACCGTTGACACTCGTTGCTTGGCGGTCGAAGTTGGGAGAGCTGGCTTCGGGGCATGAAGCTTCAGATCATTGGCAATATTCCTGGTCTGCGTAGGTGATGTGCCCAGCTCATCAGAACTGTCAAATGCTTGTGCATACTCGGTTCCTTCCTGCCCAATTGACGGGAGGACAACGCTTGGGGGTCGTTGTGGTAAATCTGAGTGCGAGTGATCCCCATTCCCGTTCGTTCCCTGGCTCGATGGCTTGATTTGGCTGGGATGATTTGGAGTTTCGTTGAAGGGTGATCTCGCGAAGCTCTCCCGGCCGGGCGAGACAGACCGGTCTACACGACGACCAGCTGGGCGAGGAGGAACTCTGGGCATCTCTGGAGATAGACTATTCGAAGATGCAGGAGCGTCTTTCGTAGCCCTCGAAGGGCGTGGGGGAACTTGGGGTACTGATGCCGACATTTTGGAAGAGGTTCGAGGAATGGATAAGAAGTATAGTATCTGCGATCGTCTATCTTCGGGTCAGTACTGCAGCTAAAACTCAGAGCGAGTCACGCATTAGGCGTTGGCAAGTCTGGGCTTTTTCGATAGATTGACATTCTATATGAGGGGTGAGATTTGGGGGTATTCTGCAGCTATTGTCGACTCTTACGTGGCATCCCGACAACGTGATTATGTTGTGCGAATGATGGGTAAAGTGCAGGTAGGCAGGGCGAAGTGATGCCAGACCGCTCAGCTAGCTTTGAAGTCTTTGTGACGCTCGAAAGACGTGATAGATGGTATTGATGATGCCCAACGCATAAAGTGACAAATTTGAGGAAGAGAGGAAAGTGAGAACTTACAGATTTATGTGTCAAAGTGCCGGTTCTTAAAGGTCAACCATTGAAGTTGTGTGATGTTCTGTTGATGGAGTATATCCCGCAGTGAAAATGGCGAGTACTCGAAGACAGACTGGTTCCAAAGGTCAAGGTTCGATCAAACGCTAAGCGTCATTGGTGCCGGAACGCGCAACTTTCTGAGTATCAGGAACCGTACCATGGCCACTCATTGTTCTAATTTTGTATATTCACAATTCATTACATGATTCTATACACTCTATAGCTATCTTTTACTTAAATTATTTATTATCTTATGTACTGAATCAAAGCTATTTCCTCACTTCCATCTCCAAGCTATCATAACGGCTTCTTGCTCCATATGCACTCGATCGATACCCTCACAGTGGAGTCGCAATGATTGGGTCGACGCTCACTCCATTGACCTACAAGCGGCTGTTAATTGGACGCCGAAGAGGTATTTTCTCACCAGGTTGTCATGCCCCTCACCCTCCCCACAAAGTTGGCCTGGACTTCCAGAAACCACCCAAATCGTAATCCTGCTTCCAGCAAGACTTGATTTGCAGCAAATACGCATGTCATGAGCCAGTAACATTTTTGCTAGGAGAGAAGATCAGCAAATAATTCTCTCCACCGCTTGTTCATTATCCTAAAGCTATCGCCCATATGTTTAATTCGCAGACCGCCAAGAGAACCCGGAGTCTTCTGCCCAAATATTTCGATTCTGCATATCTCGGCATCACCGTGACGACCTTTCCTAAGTCATTCCTCAAGCCATCTAGAAAATCTGAAAGTTCACGGGACTGCTGAACCTGCAGTAGTGCGCCATCTTTAAGTCCCTTCCCCGCGATGATCATGGGTTCGAGGAAATACCAATCATAACCAGTCAACGTCAATAATCATTTTGTTAGGGTCTTACGAGTTAGGCCGTGTTCCACGGGTTTTTGCTTTTTTTCATGACGCTTACGTTTGGTCGTCTAATGCATAGTATCGTGCTGGTAAAACCTGTTCTTTTTCTCTGGCTATGGTTGGTAGATATATCACTTACATGCTATACTATCATGCTGGCTATGAAAGTTGACGTGCGACCAAGGTATTGCATGCTTAAATAGCACAGCTAACGAGAAATGTGGTTGTATAAGCTTAAGAACTCGATTGCTACCCAGGTAATTTCTATCCAACTTTTCTCTAATGTTTCGTGGAAATCAATGAAGCATTCTACTCGGGTGTAGGCAATGTGAAGGGTATGACAGCTTTTCCAAGAACCGGCTAGACAGACCGTATGGCAAGTCCGTCTAAAAGTCGATCCGGTCCATCTATTTAGCTGGTGATAATGCTGCCAATTCTGGAAATGGTACGCGGGACTGTCCGCCCGCCTTTAGGACGACAGCTACTAGTACTCATAACTGACTACATGACAATAATAGCATGCCCAGCCGTATCTACGTTATCAGTATCAGAGAGCCAGACCTCACCCGACATAGCACTCAAAACAGAGGTACAGATCATATAGAAAGTTTTCCTGCAAAAAGATATACCATAAAAGTACACTACCACACTCAAATTCCGAACCAACAGATGTCCCGCGAGACGCACAAAAGGTCGATAATCCCATCGTGATCAAAAGCCCAAATTCACAAAGCGTGAAAAGGTTTAGCTTCCAGCCCATAAACGCCATAGCCCAATGCTGCGTTCCCTCGAATTGTCGAAGTCTGACACTCCTATCATTCGCTCATTCCGCTCCGTATCGACCAATTCAATCGTCTTTTGTACCTCGATCCCGCAAGTTCTTGACATATCCCCTGGTATCCGCGCAGCGTTCTCTCGACGCGCACCAGATCTCGGACTTGTTCATCCCTCAGATAATCATCTGAGCAACACCCTGTCCACCAAGTGTCTTGCTACCCACGAAACCCTGTCCCTTAACACCAGCAAGAGCATAAAAGCTGGCTGCCAACGTCAACATAATAGCTGCCGCAATCAAGCTACTAGCCTCCTTGATCAAACTAAGCCATTGAGTGATGCCCATAACCAGGTAGATTCCAGCTCGCATGTAGTTTGTGGTGAACCGGCGCATGAAGGTGTCGAATTTCGCCGATGTAGGACAGATGCGGAGGAGTAGCGGGATTTCGATGAAGATTATGAGGAAGGAACTCGCGCTGGAAAAGGGATGGTTAGGTTTGTCTTTTGAGTGGGAGGGGGGGACTTACAGGCAGAGAGCTCCGAAGAGGATCATGATGGAGACGTGGAAGAGATGGGAGATTCCCAGGGCGAAACAGAGGAATATGCATATCACTCCGGTCCTGTACGCAAATAATCTATTAGCAAGTAGCTCTAGATACCAAAACTGTCGCGCATCTTTCTATTGCCCAAGCTGTTCGACAATCCAACATCCGATCTAGTAATAATGCTGGAGGCTATTGAGGATGTCTTTGTTCGCGCGGCATATTTCGGAAATGCGAGCATACAACTATATGAAACCACATAGAGCTTACCATTGACCATAGATACCTGCAAACCAATTATTAGCCAATCTGCCATCTAAAGCTTCGTTTCTTAGATAGACCTACTGAAATTCCTTGTCGCAAACTCCTCTGCGATCGTCATATTTGCGATTCGGTGATGAACCTGTGCTTATGCTGATGAATAGAGGTCGAATGCGCCTTCTGGGTCTTTTGTCCAATTGCTATGGTGAAGAAATCCAATCACTTTCAAGTATAAGACTACGAGGATGTTGATTTCGGTATTTGCGGTGGATGGCCGATGAAAAGTGTTTTGAAAGGTTGGTGTTGTTTGTTGTTGCGTGAATGGGTTTCTTGAGGTGGTCAGAAAACGTGGCGTTACAGTAGGAGTCGCAAGCTGCGAGGCTGAAGCTCACAGGCAACCGAATTCCCAAGGAAGTTCAACAATTGGGGGCCAAAAGTATCCCCGCGATCGTTCAAAATATTTCTATCAAGCGTGCGTCTTCATTGATACTTATACAATTGTCCTTTAACTTCAATTCTGCATAAAATTATCTGTCTTCAATTCTCCCTGTTACTCATAACATTGGCCACGTGCTGCCCCTACATACTATTTCCAGAAGTTGACTCCTACCGCGTGTCAAAAACATGGGTAAAGAGATCCTTAGGGAGTAGGGAGTCAACAGGATTAAAGGCGCACAACACATAGTCATTTCCCTATATTTTTCGATAGGTTCTCTAAGGTCTAATCTGGTGTAATCGCAAACTTTAATTACAGACTTACAGTCTTGATGGACAACTCAATAACGAAATCATGAAAACTTGAAAACTTGAAACCAACCTGGAATTTCAGTGATGGTCACGGTAGAGATTTTTTTTTGAATCTCAATGTTCATTCCTTAGCACTCATATGTAGGGGAATCCCAAGGGTACTTGTAGGCAGGAACATTACACATCACACCACAATGAAGCAGCAATCAATATATCTCAATAAAGACTAGTAAAACTCCCATTTTATGATACATACAAAGGTAGAACCCGTCCATTCCATGCCATGCCTACACCGCTTCGCAGAAGAGAATAGCAAAGGCAAGTTACGGTAAGCAAAAAAGCCGTCTACCAAAAAACACAACACGCGCCCTCCTTATGTCTTTGTTTTAATCCCGCGCGCCTCCATGCCCCGATTTTGATTTGCCCCATCGTACGTAAACCATCTCATACAAATAAGGCAAAAAGAGGATCGAGAAAACATTATCATGTAAGATGCCATTAGAAAAAAAGGAGAAACTAAGAAGTTCGAAGAGTGCAGCAGTTTCCTAACCCGCCTTTCCCAGAAGTGTTCGCAAGTCTCATGTAAAATAATCCCACCCCTCGCTCGCTATGCAGAGAAGAAATCTCGAATTGATCTGTGGACCAAAAAACGCCGATTGTGCTTGATAGAATATGTAACAGATGTAAGAAAGCGGTCGTCCATGATTAGATATCCCTTAATTATGAAATTTGGGTTAGGGATTTGCCGCTGGGAGGAAGGCTTCATTTTATCGAATATATAGCAATACGCAAACACATAAAATTATGCTGGTAAGCTTTATTACATCGAAGGATATGGGCGTGCTGCAATAGCCGCGAAGCGCTCAGCGACCTTTCTCACGAGTCAGTATGGCCAGAAATAAAACAAGGGATGAGTGATCACTTACATCGGGTGTTGCAGACTTGATAAATGGGAGTTCGAAGAACATGTACTGATCGTTCTTGACGAGCTCATGGATGGTGACAATAAGTCCCCATGGCTGTGGCCATTGGCCAGCCAATCTTTCCAGCAGAACCCGAGTGATCTGCTGGCGAATATCCGACTCTTCTTGGTCGTTCATATCGCTGCCAAAGAGGTTCAACAACGCTTGACTAAAATAGTGCGTATGTGAGTTTGGATATCGCAGCTGATCAACCATGCTGCTGAGAAAGTAGTAGCGAGCTTCAGGTTGTAGTTCATGCACAAGCATCTTGAACAGTGCTGTATCGGAAGTATTTATTGCGAAGGTCGGTGCATCCTTCGCCTCCGCTTTTGCAATAGCTTGCATACCCACGTGAATGATCAGTGCTTCTATCAGTCGTCGGTCAACGTTGATAGGGGTGAAGCCAAGACTAGATTGGCGCCCTCTTTTGCGCTGAATGGTATGAGATATTTGAGCCACGACATCCTCTGAAGGGCCTTGCTGGATTGATTTGTTGAGCAGCTCCAGGAGATCACTTTGTGCCAAGATCTCCTCAGCATTGGTCACAATCTGAGGGCTGGTTCGCATCTCTTCGATGCGGTCGACCTTTAATCCAGGTTGCAGCGGATCGGGCATCTTCTGGAATCGAACCGGGTTCGCATTGAGTATTAAATTGTGCAACTGAATGCAATGACTTGGGATCTTAGCGCATAGTCTGGAGTGATTGGCAGAAACGAAATCTGGGAAATCATGTTGCAAGACGACAAGTATTTTGAGAACTCCGCCGTAGACTCGCTTTGTCATCTCTGCGAGATGGATGGGTTTCAGCAAATCGCCGACGTAAGTTAACAAAGTTTCCATGATTTTGGCAAACGGCTCCCATCCTTCTTGTTCAGGGAGTCTCAATAGATTGGGCATGAAATCTCGGTGTGAGATCAAGCTGAACCATTGAAACACGAACCCAGGGAAATATGATGGGTCCAATTCTAGGAAGTTGCGTGCGAAGACCAACAAGATGTCGCGACATTCAAGCTCACTTAGCTCGTCCTTGGAAAGCGGCTTCATCTGAATTAGTAAAGCCGAAAAGAAGCGAGCGAACACTCTCTGGTTAAAAGCTTCCCCACGGGTGAGGTGATGGTAATTGAGAACAAAGACAGCCAGCGAAAGTATCATTCCTAGATACTTAGCCCGGTCATTCTTCACTTCACCATCACGCTGGGGCCGTTTGACAAGCAACGAGACCAGCTTAGCAAGAGCGTCAATAGGTACGTAGGCATCAACAATGAGGTGGGTCTGAATGAGGTGCTCGAATTTTTCCACAGAGCTATCGATGGCTTGTCGGAGGAATATGAGGAGATCGTCGCGATCGTTGATGAGCTGCGTTTGAAACATCTGCTCAATAAACTCGGCAGAAGATTTCTCAGTTGCGATGCTGTTGTCATAGAGACGAACCCATGAGTCAAACACATATGCCATCTGTTCCTGCTTGGCGTGCAATCGGTCATCTACGCTGCGGATACCGTGTTGTGGGACAGCGGAAGCCTTCATGACTTGCCTCAACTTTTGTCCAACTTCAGGGGTTGCAAGGGCCGCATCGTCAATCCAGTTCCAGGCAACTTCCAAACTTCTTGCGAGATCCGTATAAAGTGCAGAAGGGTTGTCATTGCACAAGAACTTCGTAACTATCTCCAACAAGAACTCGAGTGCCTCCTCCTTGCGATGTTGGATGGCTTTAGAGATTGCTGAATCGACACGTTGCCATTCAAGTAGTCCCTCTTCAATTAAAGCAGCGGCTAGTGGGAAATTCAGCAGTGACTCGCTGGGCTGTTGGCCAATTCGGAGTGCGATCCGATTTGTATATTTGGCGCCAATCCGGTAAATTTGTGTTAGTACCGTGACCAGACACTCCACTAGCAGAGACTCTTGCGACGAGCCGCTGAAAACAAAGGCACACAGACTGTCCACTAGAATGATGTCCAATTCAGCTGGGGTTCCTGAACATCTGACGATCAAGTTGAATAGTGCATCCATGAAATCGACCACAGGATTAGGCCGCGGAAGGTCTTTGTAATGTTCCTCTGAGGATTCAGCCGCGACTCGTTTCAGTTCCATGAGAGTCTTTTCAAAATTTTCAGTGACAAGCCTTGATTCCATCTGTGATTGCGGCATGTTTGGCAGTCGGCCATTGGTTGTGGTGGCACTTGGAGCATATGGAAGCTGGTGGTTGCTCGCATGAGCCATCGCAGGTGGCTCTGTAGGGCCTGTGAGATGAGGCACTGCCGAGTACTGGTCTTGCAATATCTCGTTGGCCATCGATCTAGTCGCATCGGACGATGTGGCGACATGAGCAGTGCCTGAGATTGACTGAGGACGTGGCTGTCTAGCAAACTCATCATAGATGGCCATTTGATGCTCGTTTAGACCATCCCGGTTTGGTCGCAACTTGTAAGGAGAGGGTATAGTCCAGGACCAACGGCTCAGCTCTGGATCAATATAAGGCTCCTCAGGTCTCATCAGCCTGTGTTGTCGTCGCCTTTCAAGCTCGTTCTCCATCATTTCCTCAATCTCGGGGACAGCGCGCTCCTCGGCTTTGTTCTCAACTTGCTTGCAAGCCAGTTCAAGGTTTTGGTTAACGCACATGATGATCGTGCCCTCGGCCAGACCCTGCGAAAGCTCACCAGAGGTAGACCTGATGTAGTTGGTCATGCTAGCACGCAGTGGCTCCTTCGACGTTACTAAGGCAAGACTCCCAGCGGTCTTCTTTACCATGTTGATAGCAGCTGCACGAACCCTCTCTTCGTCGGGTTCGGTAGCAAAATCCTTATGAATCATCTGAGCCGTTGAAATCGCAGCAATGGTCACTGATCTTTCAACGACAGGTGATATGATCTCAGCAACAGCACGGCTGATGGCAGTGCGCAGAATCTCGTGCAGCCGTGCTTGGTTGACCATGTCATTTGGTGGAGGCAGGATAAGATCCGGTCCAAGGTCCGGAAGAGATCTTGCAATCTGTTCTGGAGAAAATCTTTCACTTGCAAGACGTTCGATGATGGCAAGATTTTCGAAGCGATCCATGACCTCCTGGGACATGACCTCTGTGGCCTCCTCAATCGGTGCGCGATTGAGAATGTCCCCGGAAGTCTCGATGGCCTCGTGGTTCACACCAAAATCTGAACAGAGAACCTCGATCGCAAATTTTTGGTTCAGTTTCACGTCAGGTGCATGGTGGTAGAGCTCCATGAGAAGCTGGATGATGTCCATGACCCAAGGATTAGGCGGTTTGAACACTGTTGAATGTTGTCCTTGTGCCATAACCTTACAAACGAACGGTATGACCGCGATAAGTCTTTTGGTATCAAACGCCTCCATAAGGAGCTGCTTGAAGGCAATGTTTTGGTGTTTGATTGGCTTGTCCCGTGCGAGAGTAAGAGAACCAAGCCAGATTGCAAGGTTGATCAGGAGAGTGCGATCGTTCTGGTTATGGAGCACACTTTCAGAATTCAATAACCTGAAAGCGCTCACATATGTTTCGTGAAGAATGTCAGACCACAATGTCTTGCTTCCGATAAGCTTGATGAGATTCAGGTATTGCTGGTGGTTGTTCGGTTCTCTCTTGGCACGTTGTTCAACCAATTGGCTTGCGAACCATTGCTGGTTTTGCTCTGCTACCATGTCTCTAAGTTCAACATATTTGTCCTCTAGATTTTCGGCAGTGACATTGTTCATCAAAAACTGTATTTCCTCCTGGACTTTACTGTTCGGAACGTCGTAATCGGTACCATAATCATCCACCCAAAGGGCGTTGAAGGGAGCACAGCTGGGCTCCGGGGCGAGCATTTCGTCAATATTGTTGTCGGTAATGCCGCCATTCGGGTACTGATGATCGGCGGCGTTTCCAAGTCCATTTTGACCCTGTTCTTGCGTGGCTTGCCACACTTCTTCCGCTTTGGTCCACACTTCGGTATTCTGAAGTCCTGGGATCTGAAGTAGCTGATTGCAGAACCCGGGCCAATCACTCAGTCGATCTTTCATTTGTATAAGGGCCTGTAAGCCAAATTTGAACATGGACTCGCTTGGAGGGCTTCGAGGTTTGACTGCTTCGAGAATCATGCCTAGACCAACCTCCAATGGAATGTTTGATATCAGATTATGTTGAATGATACCACCAAACAGTACAGCTGTTGTGGCAAGAGCGTCGAGTGGATAAGTTGAGTATATGTCATACTCATCAAAGAGGCCATGAATCATGCATGCGAATATGTCTTGGTCCTCTGGATTTTGCGACCTTTTATATGAGCGCAGAGCCTCCACGACTTGTCTGACCTCCAGGTCTTGATTGTACATCCGCTTGTAATGCTCTTCCATCCGCTCGTTTGCTATTCTCGGGAGAAGATTACCAGACTCCCCGTTTTTGTCGATCACATCGTCGAAGCCTTCTCCGTAATTGATAAGACGAGGATACGCAGTGATGCACTGGCGCTGAACGATTATGAGCTCATGTTCAGGAGGAGCCGTATCGAGTATCTCCCGTAGTACAGTCAATAGTGCGTAAATAGTCTTGACAGGTAATGACATGCTGATGAGACGATCAGATTTCTGATAATCAAGCTCATGTCTTGCTTTGATACTCAAAAATGTGATCAGTGATGAAGAAAGGTTTGGCCTTTGAGCAGCATCCAGGAGCCCGATCCATTTCTTTAAGTCCAATCGGCCTCGAGCATGAGCAAGAGCAGTAAGATCCAGCCCAAAGCCGCTAAGCATAGATACCAAGTCCTCCAGCCAGTTATGGCGAATCGCATGGTCCAATATAAGAGGTAAATCCATTGGTGATTTTGCATGGGCATCTACGAGCCGTGCAGCAACCCATGATTTGTCCTTCTTCCATAACCCGTCGCAGACAAAATCGTAGTTGGGATCGTATTTGTAGAGGAAGCGATTAAATAGGGTATTAATGGTGTCGACCGCAATATCAGGCCAAGGTTTGGGAACGCCGAAAGCAGAGACCAGAAAAATGTCAAGATTAGGAACAACCACGCCCTGAAAGAGTCTTTTTGCCTCTATGGTTTCTGAGGCATCTTGGCCTTCCAATGCAACATTGAACATAGCCGATAACGCCCAGGAAGAAACAAGAGGATGCTTGACGGCTTTCGCTGCTCGTTCATACGTCTCCGGCTCGGTTCCTGTGAACTCCTCTAACGTGAAGGATACTTGTAGGTTAGGAATAGTTGTAGCATCAAGTTGGTCAGATGTCAACGAGAGAAAAGCACCAATGAAAGAAAGTTGCGTTTCAGGATTACGCCATTTTCCTCCCCACATATGCTGGATGTCTAACAAGCCGTCTTGCGCCAGAGGCCGGAGGCCGTTGTAAAGGGCCAAAAACTGTTTTGGTGTAATTCGTAGGCTTTCCTGATCAAAATTTCGGATTACTTCAGGCCAGCTAATTGATGAGACGACTTTGCGGATGCTGTTGACCAAGGTGGGCATATATAAGACGGGTGTTTGACTGATGGCGGCATATATTAAAGCCGCCGCGACCTGCTCTTCATTCAGCTGTACACCTTCACCCTTGGCTGCTCTCAGATAATGTATACAAGTATCTTCTTCCTGTGTAATTTTCGATCCGACTAGCTTTAGATAGTGAACTAATGTGTTTCGATCGCCCAAGCTCTTCAGCAGATATAGAGCAGCCAGAATTTCTGTAGGAGTGGCAGCTTCTGAACCGGTGTATCGGAAATTAATGGCGAAGATAAGCTCGTCTTTTGCGTGTTGGTCGAAATTGGGTGGATGTTCTTGAATGAAACGATCGATAATGGTCGCTAGGAATTCAGGCGCCATATCTCGAGATTCGGGGAATTGTTGGGCGAGGATTTTAGTCAGTTCAATAAAGTTTGCAGCCAATATTGCATCAGCTAGGAAATTATTAGCGTGAGCGTATTGGGCTTTAACACGACTTACATTTGGTTTTGAGGTCAGGCCTCGAGCCTATCTTGAATGCCAGTGCTAGAATTGTCTTCTCGAGCGCGTCTAGGTGGAAATGCTGCATGAAGGTCGACAGGTCGAAATCGCGATAGATGTCCTCATTTGCGGCTTCTATTGATTCCGCAATCTTTCTTGCCTGCTCGACATCTCGCCCAATCTTCTCTATCTCGCCACATAATATCGGATAGGTCGCTGCGTTGTTTGGCGTTCTATTCGACAGTCCAAAGATCGTGTGTGCATTGGCAGTCACAAGGCGACTGAAGTACTTTTGGAATACTTCCATACCGTGGTCATTGATCAGCTGCAAGGCGTCGTTGTCAGTCGCGGATGAGTAGGTTCCGACGTGGTCGCCGACTTACCTTTCTGAGCTGCTCAGCTTTCTCTTCCCACTTTGTGCGATCCTTATCCTCCTTGATGGTGCTGAGGAGGAGGTAAACCTGAGCGACCACGATCTTGGTAAGTGAATTTGATCCAGTGGGACTGCTTGTGCTGGGACTTGCGCCAGCACTAAAGGCACCGTGATGCGATCCGTGAGGTGAATGACTAACGCCAGTCACAATGGTTTGCTGTGCAGGCGAAGGTGTAAATGTGCCCCCTCTTGAGTTGACCATCGAAGTTGCAAGTGTTCTTGCGCAGACCCACTTCGGAGAGCCAACTCTCAATCTCTATGGACGAAAGAAAGGTCTACCGAGGAGGTATGGACATTGATGAGATGCGACAGAGTTCGTGAATGTAGAGTAGGGCGTCCGAAGGGGGCGAGGCTGTATATGTGGTATCAGTGATGGGAGGTAGGATGTCGTCGCGCTTCTGCGATGCCAGAATCGTGAAGTGAATCTAGCTTTGTCTAACCACATTGGGTCTAGCACCTGAAGCTCAGGCACCGAAAAAGGGACCCCAACTTTATTACACTTGCCTGCTGGGTGATAGCAGACAATGTTGCCAAGTGCTCAATCAAAGTTTACTTCTCCTCATGTTTGCTTGCTAACATGTCTAGGTATGTTTCATAGCAGCTATTCAAGCTTCAGTCTACCCCTTCGTGTTGTATGACTTTGCAGCTGCCGTTTTTAATCGGCGTTCATAGAGCGATCAACGCCACATCCTGCACAGGGTTTTATCTGAATTGCGTTCCATTATATGCGCAAACTGCAACGAAGTTGACGACAGACAAGAGCTTGTCAGGATTTATGACTTGTGGTGTTTGGTGGAACTTGTCGTGGGAGACCCCCGGTGTATAAGGCAAAGGTTTGCACGAAAATAACATGTCATATGCAGTCACCATATGACAGATTCAAAGACCGCTTCTTGTACAATCAAGCGCTTCTGTGGATTCTTAATCATCTTGTAATTGTGCCAGAAACATGAAACATTCTCTATGTGAGATACTGGTACTTCCCGCCGCTTAAGTGAGCTGTACGAAGCACTTGTCCGTCGAGGGCCAACCCAGCGCTGTAACAATAGCCATTGTAGTGCTCGAAGCCAGATTCGTGTTATCATGGAGCTATGTCTTTGATTAGAGCGCAGGAGCAAATGGCGAATAGGAACTAAATCTTATTCTCTCACTTGCTCCATAACACAGAACTTTCATATGACACTTTTCTTGATTTCATTCGCCAGGCTGTAGTTTGAGGAAGAACATTTGGCACGTGTGTAGACATAGTTGACTCTATGGTAAAGTTCTGACAACTGCCGCGTACGTCGATGGAGTGATGGATGGTGAGGCTTTTGAGGAGGATACGGCTACTGAAAGATCATTCTCTACTGACTGAGCCGCTCAAGTATATCATGAGAAAGAATGTCTGTTTAGTTGGGAAAGCATTGCTGTCGCTCCACGAACCGGAAATCGTGAAGCTTGCTGTATAGACGCCTAGCGCTGGGAATGTTGCCAGTCAATTGTGCTAAGACTGGGATACTCTTCCTTTTCTTCAGCTGTTGACCTTTTGGGTGTTGAATACCCACAAATCTCAAGGAGGTACCTTTGTACGCAACATCAAAGTTTTGATATGTCAGACATATCCTTGATCAAAAAGGCGCGCAACGCTAACCGTTAAGGGTATAGCCTCCAGACCTTCAGTCAATTGCAGACTCCGTTTGTCTCTTCTCAACAACTAGAATGATCAGGCTCTAATAATCTCGTATTAATATGTTTTGTTTCAATTATGAGACCGAATTAATCTGTCTTATTACAAATTCTTCAGTGCCTTGACATATTCTTGTTGTTTCTGGATCTGAGTTCGAGGCTTCACCAGGCAGTAGATAGCGTGCTTCCAGGTTCCTGTGATCTCACATACGAGACAGACCTTGAATTCTCTCATGGTCTATCGGGGTCCATCAAGAGGGTGCCTGACGTGCAGAAGCCGCCGAAAACGGGTATGTTCCGTCCTTTCATGCATAAATTCTCAGGCATCTCTACTGACACACGCCCTACCGACAGTGCGATGAGACTCGTCCTGTATGTCGCCCTTCTAGAACGTTGATGCCGTCGAATAAGTTTTTAATTACGAAGCTGGACGATTTAGCTTGGTAGGAAGCGTTGACTCTGAGAAACTAATGAGTGAAATTCTAGTCTTGCATGAGATGCATGAAAGCCAGTCGCGCATGCCGTGGCTACGAATGTAATGCATCCATTCTATACGAAATACAGAACACCCAGTCCTATTCTCATCTATCAGCTGCTCGGAAGTGTAGTTTGCCTCTACGGGTCTCAATTCCAGGAACAAATCTATTTCCTGAGGATGCCATACCTCTGGAGCGATCCGAGGAGGAGAGTAATTGGCTTTCCTTTAGAGCTTTCCTCTATGACTTCTGTGTTACGTCGACAAATTCTGATTTATCGCGGGGGTATCTCCATGATGTAGAAGCACTTGTAGGTCGCCTAGGGCCGGCATCTGACCTTGTAAAGGCTTGTCAAGCCGTATCATTCAGCTGCCACGGCAAAGTATTGCGGAGACCGAATCTGGTGTATAAGTCGGAACGGCTCTATCAAGAAGTCCTTGGTTCTTTTGCCAAGACTATCAATGATCCAATTTTGGCAAATACTACTGAATCAAAACTCGTGGCTTTGTTACTTGGCCTTTATCAGGTAAGTCTGTTCTAGTAACTCCCAGATGATCTTATGCTTGGGTTTAGTCTATACCTAACAGACGATTAGATAGCAGCAACCACTGAGAGCAGTTATGGAGAACATCTTATTCATGCTAATGGTCTAGCAGCGCTCTTAAAGATTGGGCAATCTCCCCTTAGCCTTCTCGGCACTATGGGATCTCCTCTGATTCAGGGCGTGGGTATTAAACAGGTAATCTCTTTCAGCTTTTCGACCAGTAGAACTGAGCTTACATAAGTTAATCGTCTTGACAGAATATCGGTGTATTCTCAGCATCCGCATTCTCTAATTACGGTGAGAGCCTTGAAAGTATCTTACTCCAACTCAGCTCAGTGTGGAATAAATCTGAGGCAGTGCTCGAAATGGAAGAAGTCCACGCTCTAAAGAATGAAATTACTGCTTTAGATGGCCGTTTTATCAACTGGCAGAAATCTCGAATTCAAGAAATACAACCCACCACCATTGGCCACGTCGAAGAGCGCCAACATGTCGAGAAAGTCCAAGTTGGATTCTGGCCCGGGAAGATTGACACATACTTTGACTTCTGCGTTGCAGGGATGTGGAATGTGTTCCGGGCTGCTCGACTACTTCTTACCCTACTCGGAGTTAAGCTTTGTGATGCTACAGGGGATATCGATGGATATGCAGAGTACAAGACCATTGCGAACGAGATAGCCAAAGACATTGCGGCATCAATCGCATTTCATCTTACCGATAATCTGCATGTCTTTGTCAACGAGCTCGAAACAAGTTCGGAAATACGAGAACAGGGTAGACTCTTGGGAGGAGTGCTTCTAATGCATCCGCTGTACGTTGCAACTCAGGTACCGTACCTTCAAGAAGAGCTACGTGAATACATGCGAAGTTGTCTCGAATGGATAGGCTCAGAAATGGGTCTAGGTCAAGCTACGCTGCTTGCAAAGGTGAGAGAAATCGATGCTCGCTTCGCATACCCAATTATAGTTTCATGGCTGACTTGCATTGAGTGTAGAACCCAAAGCTTGACCGATGCTTTTTGGAAAGTGGTTGTATGATAGTCTGGTCAGGATTTCTTAGGTGATCATAAGAGGATTGGAGGTCTAGAATCATAGTCTGGTCGGTCTATGAATGGAGGGATAGAATTGGAAATGGTTTGTCCATGTGTGACCGGATTGCCGTACGTAGATGACTAAAACACGGCACTTCTTGAATACAAGTCCATGAAGCAAGCAATTTGAAAAATACACCCCTGTATCTATCCCATAAATTCTATCTTGCATCTCTTTCTAGTTGTGCATGAATATGAACAGGGCAAGGGCTACAATAACCTGATAGGGAAAATTTTACGCATGTGATGGCTCGTTCCTAAGGTATATCTTCAATCTTTCTCAATGCGGTTAGCGTTGCGCGCGAGTAGCCACAGGCTTGGATCGACCTCATTAACTACGCAAATCGCGGGTTTAAGCTGCGGACTCCTCCTTAACGGCACCGGCCAGTTGCGTTTATCCGGAATATTCACGCACAGAGAGCCTCTCCAGAGGTGTATATAATCTAGACATGGCACCCGCTTGAACCAATATTCCAACTCATTCATGAACACTCCAAGAATTCTGTCTCTACGCATTTTGAAAGACACTTGCAAATCAAACTTCTCAACGGGCAGTACTCCAAGACCATATACACGAATTACTCAACTCTTCTACAACCACAAGACCACAATGACGTCCAACACTGCCGCATGGATCACGGCCGCCAAAGCCAAACCATTTGAGATCAAACCATATCCTCTCTCGACACCGGGAGCAAACCAAATTCTCATAAAGAATCACGCACTTGCGGTCAATCCAATCGATGGAAAGCTCCAGGCGTTGGCTATATTGCCACTGAAATATCCGACCATCCTTGGGGAGGACGTTGCTGGCAAAGTCATTGCTGTTGGGTCAGATGTCACACTGTTCAAAACAGGGGATCGTGTGATTGGCAATGCAGCTGGTTTTGGGACCAAACGAGATGAGGACAAGGGGTTTCAAGCCTACACTATTCTCGAGACAAACATGGCGTGTAGGATTCCAGATACCATCTCTTTTGAACAGGCGGTCGTACTCCCGTTAGCCGTTTCCACTGCCTCTTCTGGCCTTTTCAATCCGGACTTCCTCAACCTCCAGCTCCCGACCGAGCCGGCACAGAGTCCGACTGACAAGTCGTTGTTAGTTTGGGGAGGTGCATCGAGCGTGGGTAGCTGCGCGATCCAACTTGCTGTCGCAGCGGGTTATGAAGTAGTGACGACAGCGTCGCCTAAGAATTTCGAATATGTCAAGAAGCTTGGAGCACAATATGTCTTTGACTACAACAGCACTAGTGTCGTCTCGGACATTGTAACTACATTGAAAGGCAAAGTCATCGCTGGTGCTTTCGATGCAGTCGGGGGTGCAGCGTGGGCACCAACTGTAGCCGTTGTCGAACAGTCCGAAGGCGTTAAGTTCGTGGCAACCGTGACGCCTGGATTTCCAGACCCACCTGATGGAATCAGCATGAGACAGGTATACTCATTATCTATCATGGATAATCACGTTGGGAAGGCTGTTTATGAAGATTTCTTACCAAATGCGCTTCAAGCTGGATCTTTTATCCCCGCCCCGGAACCCCTGGTCGCAGGAAGAGGACTCTCGAGTATCCAGACAGCTGTGAATCTCCAACGGGAGGGGACTTCGGCTCAGAAGGTTGTCGTTGTACTCGACACTTGATGCCAGATCGTTAGCTTTTGGTCTGCTGTTGCATAGGCGCTCTCTGTTTCAATGTCATGTTCGTGCCGCTGAACTTATGGGTAGGATAGAAATAGAAATAGAAATATTGGTTCCTTGAAAGAGACTGCGATGATAGAAGACGTGCCTTAGTTATCTCTAACTGCTAGATATAGAAAGAAATATTCACTTTCAAGAGCAGCATCTAGCTAGTGAGCGTAAACATTCTAAGTAGAAGCTATATGGTTTTGAGCTGTATATTGGCGAGCAATGTTGTTCAGGCGAGCATTCGAAGAGCGCTCGAGATATGAGCCTCGCATCTTTCAGATGAATTTTGGGAATGGTCGTCCGTAATTGTGAAATGTTCTTGTCTTTGGGCGCTCCAGAAAACGATTACGCCTGACGGGCGTGGACTTTTAAGTCACTTGAATGATGTACGCTATAATACTAGCAACCGACTTACTTAGCATCGCTTGTAGTTGTTTCCGAGTTTCAGTCGTTCGACAAAGATTAAGGTACGTACCTATTTGAATGGAAGTAAGCGGACAAGAAACATGTGACGCGACGTCGAGGGACAAATAATCCCAAACTCCAAGGTAGTGATCGAGAAAAGTTTTTTTTTTCTATGTTCCTACTGAACTACATTTTTCATGTCTCAATTGTAGCAACAAATATTAGAAGGAGAATATTGCGGGTCACGTGACTGGGCGGGACTTTCAAGGTTTGTCGGTTCTGCAGGAGCTCTCCCATGGCAACCAAGCTCGGACCACACTGTTTACTCTCCGCAGTGTAGCGAAGCTTGTTCCCTGCCGAACGCTCGATCATTTCATTCCAACTCTTCCTATATCGATTCGAGTATTGATTTTGACCATCTTCCATATTTCAAGCGGCCAGAGGAAGCCCATACTTTGTTCTCTGAGCGTCGCGTCTCTGTATTTTCTTTTGGCGTCAACAACAAGTTTGGAAACAAATCATCATGCCTGGAACAGTATCAGACGGTCCTTCGGTCTCCTTGAGCTTTGCCAACAACTTTTGGGGTAAAGATGACGCTGGAGTTGAGCCTCTGCTCTCACGCATGCATAATGCGAAGCAGACTTGTGATGAGTTGAAGGCATTTTATCAAGGTGTGTGACAATGCCACTTCCCGTTTATCGGTGTACTAAAGGACAATGCAGCTCGCGCGTCACTCGAAGACGAATATGCTCGCAAATTACTTACCCTATCCCGCAAAGCCTTGGGCTCCCAGGAAGCAGGAACGCTTCGAGCTTCTTTAGATGTCCTCCGTGGAGAGGTGGAACAAATGGGAAAGTCACATCAGAATATTGCTGGACAAATGAAGACGGAATTGGAGGAGCCGCTGGCGGCATTTGCTGGTGCAATGAAGGAACGCAGAAAGATTGTCCAAGGAGGTATTGAAAAATTATTGAAGGTTAAAGTGCAGCAGACTCATCTTGTTAATAAGGTATGTTCTTTCGATCTGTGTAGGAACTAGGGGTATTGATCATGCTATAGACTCGCGATAGATACGAGCAAGAGTGCTTGAAGATTAAAGGTTACCTGGCACAGGGTCACATGGTCATGGGACAAGAAGAAAGAAAGAACAAGGCAAAGCTGGAGAAGACGCAAATCAATCTCGCAACATCGAACACGGAATATGAAAATGCAGTCAAAGCCTTGGAGGAAACCACAGGCAGGTGGAACCGAGACTGGAAAGCAGCAGCCGACAAATTTCAAGACCTGGAGGAAGAGAGACTCGATTTCATGAAAAGCAGTCTCTGGAGCTTCGCCAACATTGCCTCGACAGTTTGTGTTAGCGATGATGCCTCCTGCGAGAAAGTTCGATTAGCCCTGGAAAATTGCGAGGTAGAAAAGGATATCGTTGCGTTTATCAAAGAACAAGGAA